TTTTCTTTTGTATATATAACGTATATAGTTTAAAAGTATTTTATAATAATTAATAGATATTATTTTTATTAGTAACTTATTATAATATTTGTACTTTTCCTGTTTCTGAATTAATTATATTTTTAATGTAAAATCATGCGTTTAAATTTTATTTTATTTTACAAACGGTAAATAGAGATTGGATACAAATAAATAGGGAATTCAAATGAAAAGTGCATCTGTGAATTGGACCACTTATATGGTAGGCTATTGTATGACTCGATTCTATGATTAATATAGTTTTCTTCTTGTTACAGGTGATCATCGTTGGATTTATCATCAATCCTTCTGGATTCTTTTTTATTTGAGTGCCTTAAATTGCTTCATTTTAAATATACGTATAAATGCATTTCTGAAGGCACACACATGTTTATACATTAAAAATTTAATATATTTATTTAACATTCTATAACAAACACAAATATAAATTTTTGTTGAAAAAACTAAATGGTGAGGATATAGGTTTAATTTATATAGGGTTCTAATTTTGTTTATAAAAATGAAATGAAAAAGTCTATGCATAATAGTAATTATTATAAATTAATTATAATAATATTAGTGTTATATTTTTTAGTAAAAAGCGAAAACAAATATGGATTATTTTAAGGCATCGCATATGCATTCTATATAACTTTGAAAAATAATCACAATTTTTTGTAATACAGTTAAAAGATTTAGGAAAGGTATTATGTGTGTAACAGTAAGAACGTATAATAAAAAAAAAACACAGAAAGCAAAAAAATAAACGTTCTCGTTATGACAGGCTTTCAGTTTTTCTCTACATGCCTTCCAGCTCCCTGACATTTCCATCGTGCGAGGAGCGAAACGTTTCTATGTTTGCCAGAGAAGAAAATTCTTTTCCGACGTATATATGTATTCGGTTTATATATATATGTATATATGTGCGTGTGTATGGGTACATATAACCGTCTTTCTCGCTGGTGGTCAGTCGAGTATAGGGTCGATCCCGAAACATCCCTGAGGCTACCAAATCACAATGTCGAAGAGAAAAGAGTCTCCTTTCTTTGAGAACGTCACAGAGAGAAAAAAAGAGAGAGAAAAAGAGAAAGATATGGAAATCATGCGATTCTTACAGGTGCTTCACCATTTTGTGTATATCTTCTCCTATTTGATGTCCGATAAAACTCGATCGTTCTTGTTTAACTCTATATCTTTTTTTATAACATTATTAATGTTTAAAAAAGAGATAGAAGGAAAAATAATGTTTATTATAATTGTATTTATATAATATGGTTATAACATTGTATAATATATGCAATTTTATACCAACTTTAATAAAATTATATTATACTATAATGAATAGTTATATACCAACTTTAACTAAAGTAATTTATGATTGTATTAAAGTGATGTAATTTTACTCTCTAAACCAACAGTGTGCAATATACTTATTATTTAATTATATTATACAATAAAAAAAATTACATGTATAAAATATAAAGAAAATAAAGAAATATCATATAATATTAATATTCCATGTAGTATAAATAATACAGTAAAATGGACATTATTTATTTCTTTAAATATATATTAAACAAAATAATTGATCATTATTATATCATTCATATTTGCCTTAAAAAACATAAAAGAACTTGTAAATGTATCTTTTCTTTGATCCTAATTAATTGTACTTGAATCTCCGTTGAGAGATCTCTAAAGCTATGCACCACGGTCTTCTTACACTTCTTACAGGTGAACACGACACTCGAGAAATACTCGCTCGCCGCATGAATATTTACGCGAGTTGTGCATAAATAGCCGTGGAAAAAATGGGTTAAACGGGACACACTAGCCTTTTCGTCCAGGGGAAGAAGAGAGAGTAAAAGAAAGAGAGAAATAGAGAAGAGAGAAATAGAGAAGAGAGAAATAGAGAAGAGAGAAATAGAGAAGAGAGAAATAGAGAAGAGATAGAACGTGGACGAGGCTCTACGAAAACCGGCCACAAATTTTCTGCGTCTCTTACGGCACATCCGCATTGCGCATAACTGTCTCTCTCTTTCTCTCTTTCTCTCTCTCTCTCCCCCCCCCCTCTCTCCCCCTCTCTCTATCTTGCTCTCTTTTTCTTTTTTTCTTTCTTTAGTCGCTGACCTATGTACATATGGACCTATGTATGTATGGAGGAATGTGTGTATGTAGGTACATATATATATACAACAGATTGCACTTTTTTTGATAACGTTCATAATTTACAAATGTCACTTCCAGAATACGAACGAGATCTTCTCGATATGTGACTGTACCTTTAACTGTGAAACTGAACATTTATTATTTTACATAGCATTTTCTCTTAATTTTTTAGTGATATAATATGTAGTAAGATATTATGGAAGTATACATATAATAAATTACAGATGTGATAACAAAAAGGTACTATTCTTCAAAAATTAAATTTGGAAGGGCTAGTATGTATATATATATATGTTACCATTAAAGTATATAATTCAGGTAATTCATGAAATAAATGCGTAATGCGTGAAATAAGTACGGGTTTTAGGACAACAACAATTTCATTTATTTTTATTCATAAAAATCGTAGAATTCTAATTACATTTCTTTCTTTGGATATCTAAATCATGCTGTTTCATTTATTATTTAATTTATCGCTTAATTTATCAAGCACATAATTTATTATATGCATCAATAAATATCATGGACAATAACAATAACTAAATTTGTTAAGCATGTAACTATTATCCGAAAGTAAATAGCGAATGTATTAACGTCTATCCGAACAAGCAAAATTCGGTTTAAACTCTAGTTACGAGAATATTTGGTCGTGCATTTTCTTCGTTCATTACCAAGAGAAGCAGAAAACTTTGTAGTTTTCTGAGCTTGGTTCGAAAATTCAGAAGGAAACGCTACTTTCCTTAGAGAGGTATGCAACTTTTTCTAACGAGTATCGAAGCAAAGTTTTGATGTTAAACTTTGTAAGTGTTTTATGCTTTGCCTATAGTCTATGTACACTTCTTTAATAAAGATGAAATCTTCCAAGATGAGATGGGATGCCAAGTGAGCGAGTATTGGATAGGGCAGTAAAGGGAGAGGAAGGATTACAAAAGAAATCTTTATCGATCAAAAAAATCTTTTTCCTCTTCTATCATCTATTAATCATCGTTAAAAGTAATTCATTTTAGTTTCGCTATAGTGATCACGATAATGATTCATTAATAGATCGCTAGATCTCAATCATTTCTACTTCTATCTTTTCCTTCCATGTAGTAACGATATCTCTAAAAAAAAATCAAAGAAAATCTATTTAATTATCTTTAAATAATAGAAAGTGAATTTTACTATGTACAGGGTGAACCATTAAATAGTTTTCAAATATATGTATATATAATATGTAATTCAGATAGTATTAATATTCTTGGAAAAAAATGCATAAGATTATGCAAAACATACTTTATATCTATTATACTCTTGCAAGGATTCTTGAGACTTCTTTAGCTCGTTCATGACATAATTCGTATCGTCTGCTTCCATTTTAGAATTCCTACTGTCTCCATACGTGCTCACGGTAACGAGATTTTCGTACTCATCTTTGTCGCTTGACAGGCATGCCTAAACATTAACAACGTGTCGTTAAGGTACTTTTCTTCGAATCAAAAGTAAAGAAGAATACTTTACTCTCGACTCATCCAAGGAATAATTTCGTAGTCTTTTTTTAAACATTTTTTTTGATTGATACCAGCAAACTGCGATTGGATAAATTAAAAAGAATATAGCATTTAGTAAGAATTCTGTTTTCCTAGAAAAAACCCATGATTATTGTAAAAAATATAGAATGTTAATTATATGTATGATATATATATATATATACAGAGTGACTTATTTTTAATCTTTCAACGGTAAATTTTTTAAAATATTTAAAGTACAATAATTTATATTCTTAGATACTATCATAAAAATATTTCAATACTATTATTTAGGTATAATATTTGTATAATTTTTATTGTGTTTTTTCATTCTTCCTTTTAAGAGTTCGAGTTACTTCTCTACGAACACCTTCTAACGCCTATTTATTCTTATCAGAAGAGGTCGTGTATTTTTTATAATTAAAGAGATTAAATAATTATTTTCTGAGCTAATATTTTTATATTTGCGGGTAAAAATTAAAATCAGTCAACCTGTATAGATTTCAAGTTTATTATTTCAGTGTAGTAAACCTGCTACAAATCCTAATCGATCTACTGCCTGTATCCGGATGAACTGGAAAACCAGATTCATCGAAAACGATACATCTGCATTTTAATTCCTCTTCAAAATACTCGTTCATCTTGGTAGTTTCAATTAAAGTATCCAATCCCCAACGACTAACCTCAGGAATATAGATTCCTATGATCCATTTTGATATACCTACAACGTTTCTTTAGTTTTTTGTATTATTGCACAGTGAATGATTACAATATAAGACAAAATGAATGTATAAATATAAAAATATTGAAATAGTAAATTTCTCTCTCATAGAATATAAAGAAATATGATTGAATAATTTTGGTATTGAATTTGTTACCCATGAAAAGTAACAATGCCACTATTGAGAGAAGCAAAAGTATAACATCGAAGAAGCTTCCATCAAAGGAGGAAGATCTCATTGGGACGTTAGGTACAGGAGGTTGAAATCCTGCTGCGCGATAATGCGTCGTTGACAACGGCCGACAGCCATCGGCTATAGTAACGCAAGCGCAAAGACAATGCCAAACACAGAGGCAACGGTCCATTTTTCGTACTTTCATTCTTCTCCAAGCCACCGTTTTCCCAAGACGGTTTAACAGCTCCACTGAAGAAGAAAATCTATGCTTATCTTAGACTATACTAGTCTCTCTATATCTATTGTAACTCTCTCTTTTATAGTATAGAATCATAGTACTTTATACAATTAGTACTTTCTTTTTTTATATAATACAATATTTTGTAGAATTAAGCAAATATCTCGTGTACAATATATAGCAAAACGTGTATGAGGATAATTTATTACGACATAAATGAAAACGTATTGATAACATATTCATCTACTTATGGTTTGTTTTATTACCAGTACATTGGAATTCATTAAAAGGAAGTTTGCCGTAAAGATCAAAAACTACTCTTCTATTTTGTCGTGGTAAAATAATCTGCACGAGGCTTTTCACGTTCGACCAAGAAACCGGTAGTCCTTGTGGACAATTAACAATTCTGGTGCGATAAATTGATGGTGTTGATCCTACGTTGCGTATCACTATCATTACGATTGTATGTATTAAAGATATACTATCCACGTATATTTGAGTTATACGTCCAAATGGCCTGAAGAAAGAAAAATATAGATTATTTATTTGACTTTTATATTAAGAGAAGCAATCCTAGGTGCGCATTTTTACCAAATGTTTTATATTACATTGGATAAGTCTATTGACATGGATAGACCAGATATGATAAATGAAAGAACCTGTTCATAAAGAAAGTTTGTCAGAAAAATTGTGGTTATCTCAATCGCTGTCCAAACTTTCTTTTGCTCAATGAGTCTTTTTCCGACGTGTTTTCGGTGTGAAATATTTCTTCTATGGCCAAGATCGAACGATAACTGGCGTTTCCTATAGAAAACATCTTGGGGGGAAAAAAGTCCCGCTACCTGGTTGCGTTTAAATCGACTGTATAACGAGTTTCAAGAAAACACGAATCGTTCGAATCGTGAACACGGTTTTTTCCAAACGAAATGTAAATGCATTTTGAATATATTCCCAAAGCTAGCTCTTCTTTTTCTAACGCAGTTTCGTAAAAAACATGGCCTCTTATTAGGATCTATTAATTTGTCGCGTCTACGATCATCGCTCATAAATTTCTAGAAAACCATTTGCAACAATAGTAAGCGACAATTTGTCGTTGAATCGAGCCGAACTATGGAAAATTCGGAACTATCCAAGTGTTCTTGAGATCCTCGCACGTTTTTCAGAGGATTCTCAAAGGTTTGAAAAATCGACACGAAGAGGCCACAGGGTGAAACGCATATAGTCTCATATGAACACACATACATGCACTCATACATGCACTCATACATGCACTCATACATGCACTTATACACGCACTCACACGTATATAAAGAAACGTTTCACGTGGATGATCCGTGAAACGATCGTACACAGATCGATCCTCTCGAACTCACCCTGCACTGGGGACGCTATTGTAGTCGTTTCTGACTTCAATGTCGATCGCAGACACGTGCGGGGAATGGTACTCCAAAGCAAGAAACTCGCCACTTCCGCTTCCGCTCACGTTGTATTTGATGGCCTCGCTCGGCACAGACGCGAAATTGCTCAAGAAGTAGCAACCACCTCGCCCAGCTTCCCGTGCTTCCTGTCGACACACACACATCATGTTAAAAGAGATCGAACGTGTAAACCACCTCTTCTCTCTCTCCCTTTATCTAGCTCTGTCTTTCTCATTTCTCATTTTCATTCGAAAAGTTAAGACTTTGCTGAAACGTTGTAATTTTATGTTGAGGAAGTTACGAGTGGTATTTGTCTCTGCATGCTTTTCTCTTTTTCTATAAAGTTTAAGAGCAAGAGTACAAATTTTGTTACGAGAGAAAGAAGGAAAGAGAGAGAGAGAGAGAGAGAGAGAGAGAGAGAGAGAGAGAAAGAAAGAAATAAAAGAATCGAGTACTGATTTGATGAAATGAGTTGTAATAATTAGAAAAAGAGAAGTTGAAAGAAACATCACTGCTCTTTACAACTGAGTTTAATAATTAAACTTACAATAGATAGAAAGAAATAAAGACGAATATAGTCCCTGTAGAATAAAAAATAAATAAATAGTTTTAAAATATTATAGTATATATTAATCAGTATATTAATGAACCCTCAACAGCTCAAATCTTTTCAACCCTACTAGAGTATCAACTTTTATTTATATGAAATAGATACCATAAGAATTGCGTAAATATGAAAAGTTAATAAATGTAAATAAAAAAGAGAAAAATGTTTCTATCTATCTGTGTGTGTATATTTGAGAAACAGAAAACGTTGGCTCTCGAAAAACGTATCGACCGCGTTTACGAGGATAGAGTAATCCAAGGTTGGATTGAGTTCGATCGACATTTATCGATTCGAACCTCGACCGAATTCTTACTTTCGGGCTCACTTCCGTTCGACGCTCAGAGAATATAAATTACTTTAGTGAGAAGAACGTAACGCGTTTCTAGATTGCATACCACGTCGTTATTACACATCGAGTGTGTGTAGATATGTACACGTATGTACACTTGTATGAAGATAAGAATAATTATATTATAGATACTTACGTATTCATTTACACGTGATCGTTCTAAATTTAGCCGTTTGATATTCAAATGGTTGAACCATTGGTACACTCAAATCGAATGGAATATTATCCAACGTTTTCCGTTTGATCAATATACTCGTCAAAGGACTACTTAATGAAGAATTGTAATATACACGATGAATTCAATTAAGTTTGATAATGCAATAGAGTTTTTTTTGTATATTTTAGAACTCTTGTGATCTATTAAGTTATTTTATTTATAAGTAAATTTCATCAATAAGTTATTTAATCAAAAAGATCTCAAAAATAAGCAATAATATGACTAATTATCTATATTTCATATATTATATATCAAATTATTTAATATAATCTTCTATTCTTTATCTAGAATATTAATATTTCAATATTAATTTAAAAAAAAATGTTCTATAAACATAGGTCATTTAAAGCTTCATTTGAACTCATACGCACTCTGTCATGTTTCCAGTAGGATAAAGGTTGATTTTTCAAACAGGTTCCTTTTAAACGTCTGCAACGATCCGGTTGCTCAACGAACGCTTTAAATCCCACGCCTATTTTGTCACATTCGTTTCCATCTTTGCTGATTTCGCTAGATCTGACAATCAAATATTCTTCAAGTACATCTAAAAATCAATAAATCGTTGATCTTATCGATTTGATCATTCGTTGAATCGTAATAACTTCGAGAGAGAGAGAGAGAGAGAGAAAAAAGCTTTATAATTTATTGATTGAAAGTTTGATAGAAATTTTGCATACTCATGAACCTTTAGATTGATTGATTTTAAAATCTTTGCTCGTAGAAATAGAAGACGGTATCAGCAATCGATCCTTTTTAACATCCAAAGTAACAGGAAATTCTTTTGATACTTCTCTTCTAGCACGATAAGTAAAAGCGAGGGTATCGTCGTTGTTTATGTAACGTCTTGAAAAAGTATCCAATCTAAAAATGTTTATTTATTAATATTGCTACAAAAAATTGAGAAGAAAGAATCAATTGAAAAATGAATTTCACCTAATCATCGAAGGAGTTAGATCTTCCCAACGAGTAGTACCATCAGGTAAGCTTCGTCTTTCATACAATTGAAGAGACACTGCTTGGTTTAGTATCGGTTCTTCCAAGCGATAAACAGAATACCTAGGAATATCTGATCGATAAGAAGCATTTGGGAGTCGTGAAAGGAGCTTATCCGAAGTATCTTCGAGCTGAACTTACCACAGATCACTGAAGCGAAGGCAGTGGGCAGATGCAAAGTATTTCGATTCGTCAACGTCCAGGGATTGATCGCGATTCGAACAATCCTGTCCACCACGGACTTGTTTAGCATCTGTTTTAAATTGCCTCTGTCCTATCAAAGTCGATTCCGATTTCTTCTTCATTTCTTCCCTCATTTTCGATACCTTTGATTCGCCCATTTCCTTATTATCTTGAATACTCAACAAATTCCTTTTAGTCAATTTCCATTTACTTTTGGCTTCAGGTATGTCCAACGTATTCTCTTGACTCTTAGTTTTCTTTTTCTTCTTCTTCTTCTTCTTTTTATTTTTTTTCTTTCTTCGTATACCACTAAGTTTCTTTATCTCTTCTTCAACATCCATCTTCTTCTTACGTTTCCCTATCTTTCGTTTATGGAGATCTGGAAAATTAGCTTTGTCAGTAGACTTGACATGCCTCTTTTCTATTTCTATTTCTCTTTTCGCATTTGACAAATTTCCTCCTATCGATATCTCTCGTTCTATTACTTTTCCTGGAAATCTCGAATCTTTCGAATTTCTAACGTCAAGCCTTTTCTTCTTTGATACGAATTTAGTGTCTTTGGGTTCTAAAAATATATTTAATATGTATCAACTATTATCCACAATTTACAATTTTATATTACAATATTACACCCTGTATACACATTTAACGTGAATGGGTTGAAAACTTCATAGTCTAGCAGAGAAACAAATTTTTTTTTTCATTTTTTCATTACACTCGCTTTTATTGAGAAAAAAGTAAAGCTGGTTTTTTTATTGAAGCTCAAAACTTTTCAAACCCTTCTCATATATTCTATAAAACATTTCAACAATATCGTTACCATGAGTTTTCAACAACATTTCAAAGTTAGCTTTATCAATGGACTTGACATGACTATTTTTCTCTTTTATTTCTCTTTTCACATTTGATAGACGTCCTATCAATGTTTTTGGTTTTATTAATTCTTTAGAAGACCTCGAATCGTTCGAATTTTTAGTATTGCTCTTTCTCTTATTCCTTTTGTCTCTTTCCAAAAAGATTTCTTTCTTGTTTGATAAAAGCTTAGAATTGATATCATTGGATACTGAAAATATTGAACAAAAATGTATCTTATATATATATCTATATATATATATAAATAGGATGATTTAAAAAAGGGGTCCGTAACTCAAACGGATTATAGTACTTACAATGAGTATGAAAGTAAAAAACTACTTGGCAGATTGAAACACAACGAGGTAGCAAATTACGTCTGAAATATCTGCTGCTAAAATGTAAAATGATTTATTTCCGAACAATCCAAGTATCATAGTTTTTTAGGATTTATTTTAATTAAAGAAATGATTCTAGCGTGATCATTTAGCGTATAAACCGTTTAAGTTTCAGACCTCCTTTTTTTAATTACCCGATATTTAAGAACATTTTTACCAGGAGTTTTCAATAGCAAATGAGGAAAATGTCGAGGCTGTTTCTGACGAGAATAAAATAGAAAAGATTTGTCGTTATTCTCGCGATCTTTTAAAAGTGATCGTTTAACAGAACTTTTCGATGATTCGTCGTAGTTTCGATGTTGTTGTTCCTTCATATTCGAGTTAAGGGAAGTTTGATAAAACGGTCCTGTAGAATTCGCCTTTATCGAAGAGAGTAATTTCGAGGTGGAATCGTGAAGAGTATCCTTCGTTGTTTTCTTTTCTTTTATAGTAGATTCGACGAGTGGAAAAGTTGAGTTTCCAAGAGTGCCATTCACCGATGATAACAAAGCCGGTATTATTGATTTCCGTGTATCTGGACCAAGAGTGACGTCTTCATTGAAACGATATTTCATTATTTTCCTTTCAATTTCAGTATTTTCTTATACATTCATTTACGGTGCTTCTCGTGTTTTTCCACACGTTTGTTATATATTTATTTTTAATATTTATAATGACGTTAAATATTAACTTAACATTAAGATAATTTTTACATAACTTGGGTATCAAAAAAATTCGTAAAATGTAAAAAATGAAAAAAATATCTTTTTGTACCTTTTTTTTCAACAATCCTGTTGCATTTCGCTTTAGAATTCGTTATGTTCGATACATATGTATCTTCCGGCACGATGACAACATGTTTGAAACGCATCTGGGACTCGTTCATCTGATTTTTCAATTTTTCTGAATCTATATCACTCGGTGAAAGAAGGGGGAGTTGTAACTTTCCAATAAAATCCGATGTAGCCAATGTATTTTTTCCTCGAATTTTCAAATTTTCTTTTTTCGACAAACTCGACAATTGATTTACTTTTTTAGCTATTGTTGCGCTGGTGGTAGTAGTAATATAAGCTTCATTGTTAATAGTTCTTGGAACATCAATAGTAGTTTCATTCATTTTCAATTCTTTAAAAGTAACTTTCATTCTGAAACAAGTATCTCGAATGGTAGTTGGTATCGTTGTATAATTTTCATTCGTTTCCTTTCCATTTTGTTCAATCACTTTAGCCGTATTTGTAATTTGTTTTACAAAGGCAGCAGGAACCTCTGGTATTAACAATTCGACTGGAGGTTTTTTAGGTCGAGTAAAAGCTTTAGATTCAGTGATCTTTGAAATCGCAGTCGTATCAATCGAAATCTCTCCTCTATCTTGTAAACTTTCAATCGATACTATCGTTGTAGTATCAAATACTACTGATAATATTGGATTAGTTTGATCAACAACATTAATATTGGTTGTTAAATTGTCGTAACGAATGGGATAATTATTTTCATTGGAAGCAGAAATATTAAATAATGGAAGATACAAATTTTCATAATTATGATTGTAAGAATTTATTTCTAAATTATCAGAAAAATTATTTTTCGAATATGATGGTATATCATCATAAGATTTCTTGGGTATCAATTTAATTAATGTGACATTCGCATTCGATAATTTCTCGTCGCATTTCGAATCGTTGTCTTGAAAATTATCTGCTTCTTTTTTTTCTCGAGCTAAATTCATTTCCGAATAATCGTCTGTATCGTCCAAATAATTATCATTCTCTTCGTCAATCAATGGTTCGGAATTTTCATTGAAAATCGCATTTTTTGGATCGAATATAAAAAGTCTTTGATTAGGTCTTTCCGGATTATTGCGAAGTTGTTCGAGCTTGTAATTATCATCATAAAAATGATCTCTCGATTCCAGTGGTGAATATATGCTTTTTTTATTGATTTCGTTAAATTGCTCATCATTATCGCTATTAATGAAAAATTGATCAGATCTATCCTCGTTATTAAATAACACATTAGATTCGATATTATTGAAGGGTGAATCGTCTTGATTATTAAAATAACTATCGTTGCTTATCGTACCTACGTTTGATTCTATGTCAGATTCTACGTCAGATTCTACGTCAGGTACTGCAACAAATGCGATTGATATCGGCCGTCCATTAATTCCACCCTCCACATGAATATTTCCATTAACAGAAATATCAATGTCTTCGTTTTTCCGACCATTAGCATCAAATTCTATTTGTTTTCGATCATTCGAATTGTTTTCTAAAGTTTCTAAGGACGATGATCTTGATGATTTTAAAAATGATCGAGGTCGATCGTTGTATTTCATATCATTTTCTGTTTGATATGTTTTACTTGGATCGTCCAATGAAGATACCCGATCGTCTAATTTTAAATTTTCATTTTGATTTAGGTTCAATTCGTCGTTTGAATCTTCTAAGTTGAAATCAAAATTCGTTCGAGTTTTTCTAATATCGTTAGGCCTTCCAGAATCAAAGTTTAAATTATAATCACGTTGTGGATAAAATGGTACATCATGCACATTTTTCTTAACAATTTTTAATCCTTTCTTTGAATTTTTATGCTTATCCGATTTAGAACGTGAATTACCACGATCAGCAATGACCCCAGCCATGTGTTTAATGTATTTGTCAGCATTTATCATACTCTTGTCATTTTTTGCATTATTATATAATTCATCTTTCCTAGAAATTTGTTGTTTCGATGAAGTATCTACTTCGTCTGAAGAATCATTTTGATTTTTCTCATTCGTAGAATCGGTTTGTTGATCAACGTAATCTTCGTATTCTAAATTCTGCGAGTCTTTATATTCAAAAGAAGATTTAACATTTAAATTTTTATTCGAGCGATCGATCGATAGTAATCGTCTGACAGTTCTTTCTATTCGATCATACGAATATTCATTATCATCATCGTCGTCATCATCATCATCATCAAAAGTATAATCGTAAAATATAATTTCACTTGGATTTCTAGGATTATTTTTCACGCTTTTAGTTATTGAAAAGTTCTCATCGTTATTATCATCTGTCGATCGATGAAATTCATGAATAATATTATATTGTTGATTAGTAAACACGTTCCTATCTTGATCATCGTTCGTTTGATAAATTAACGGGAAGTTTGTATCACCCGATGAATTTATCTTCCTTAAGACGACGATCTTAGCATCGTCTAGATCGGGATAAGAGACAGCATTTCTTCTTGGATTAGCAACGGTCGTACTATTTAAACGAGAACGACTTATAATCAGATCAGAGATTTGCCTCGCTTTCCAGCCACTCGGTTGAACGTTTGTACGATATCTGGATTCTTGAGCTCTCTCAGTGGACTTCTCCACTCCATTTACCGGATTCAACGAGAAAGAGGATTTATTTGAAGGTATTACTTTGTCTAAAGAAAGTGTATTGTCTTTAAGAACCTCAACATTCGTATCTCGACATTTTTCTACAGGACTTTTAAACTTTACCATTTTTTCTCTTACATTTTTTATTAATTCTGCTTTATTTAAATTATTTACAACGTCCAATTTCTCTTTTATTTTATTATGGGGCAAATTTTCTGCTTCGCCCGAAACATCTTTAGAAACTTCTTTTTTCTTATTATTCATTTTCATTTCGTATTTATTAGGACAATTCTTAGCTTCGTTCGAAGCATCTTTCAAAGTCTCACTTATTCGATCAAATTTATCTTCAATGTTTTTATCGATGTTATTTTGACGAGTATTTTCTTTCGTTAAAAATGGATTGTCCGTGGAATTGAAATCTATAGTAGAATTTAAATATTTATCTTCGTGGAGATCGAACGGTTTATCGATAAAAATCTGAATAGCTCGAATAGTATCATTTATAGCTTTAGATGGATAACCATGTATTTTTGTCAAATTCTTTTCATTCAATGACGTAGAAGACCCGTTCCATATAAAATTCTTTTCAGGACCACTATTATTTTCCTTTTGACTAATTTCTTGTCGTTTCATTTTCGATTTATTTTCTTTCCCTTTCAAAGTAAATTGTTCAAAGCTCTTTAGAGATCTCGGAGATCTATCAATCAGTACTGTGATATTACTATTTCTTTGTGCAAATATAAATAATTTATCATGAATTTTTCCTTCATTATTAGAACTATTCAATTGTTTATTAATAACCGTTGAATTACTCTTGTGAAAATGATTATTTATCATATTTATTTTGTTATCCCGATTAATCGGTATTTCTTCGTCTGTTATCAAGAGTCTCGTTAAAAGTGCAAACACATCGTTTTCATAAGAATTAAAGGAAGAGTTCGTAGACTTGTTAACAATTGAGTTGGATGAAAGGACTGAGAAAACGTTATTAGTCTCTGATTCGTTCGATATCGTCGTCGTTGTCGTCGTAGTAGCAATATCATTAATCGAAATATTCTCTGTTGTAAAGTACCCAGTAAATTTCATTTTCCTTGGAACTTCGATATCGCACGATTGATCTTCATAAATCTTCTTGAAAGTTCCAACAGACCGTCTTGGAAACTGTTTCAATCTCGAAGCAGCGAGCAAACACATAGACCTTCTGGAATTTGATTTCTCTTTATTTTTCTTTTTCTTTTTTCTTATTTCTTTATTATTTCTTCTTAGATAAAAACAATTCTTCGTCCTTTTTCTATTCGTTTGTTCATCCTTTGAATTCTCTCTTTTTTTCGGATTCTTCATAAATTTATTATATTTTATCGGCAACTCTACATTTCTTGTACTACGATCCTTTCTTCTATTTCTCTTCATTTTCTTAAGAGTATCGTATGTCTTTTCTAATTCGGCCAGTTTGTCCATTAAATTTGTACGTCTTCGTTTGCTGATGTCGTCGATACGATCTTCGTCATTTTTCAAAGTGAGACCATTAAAGGTATCACGAGATTCGTCGATGTAGGTTTTTGAATTGAAAGGTACCCTACTTTTACTATCATTTAAATTTCTTGATTCCCTTATTGCTTGATCTTGGACTATATCGATGTATGATTCGATTTTTCCTTTGGTTTGCATTTTTGGAGAGAATAGAATTGTCCTTATTAATAATGATGTCGTGTTTTCGATACTTTCATCTTTTACGAGGTCTGATTTTGTTACTAGCTTCTTCTGGATATTTCTATTTTTCTTTCTCTCGTAGAAATCTACATTTTCGATCTTGATATCTGTATTACCAGTAGTGATATCATTAATATCTGCATTATCAATTGTAATACCTTTCTTACTAACGTTTATTTTGGCATTATCAATGTTATCTTCATTGTCGACCGTCGATACATTATTAACAATATTACTTTGTTTTAATTGTCTACTGTTATATACCAAATAACCCTTCTTCATTCTTCCAATTTTATCAGTTTGCGCTGCAGCCGATAATTCGGAATCATCGAACGATTTTTCGTATGCATTATAAAACGTCGACTTTTTGTTAAATTTCTTTGCCCTTTTCTTATCTTCTGTTTTTATCTCGGATGAAAAATTTCCAGCTGATTTGTTGGATTCTTTTCTCAAGTGACGCGATACATTTATTTCGGAATTGCACGAACAACAAAAGCCCTATTAATTAAGAAGATAGAGTGAATTTTTCACAATCTAATTACACTAAATATAGAATACAATTTTATAATTATTATACTATTTTACAAAAGTTACGGCAAATGACTTAAATCTGATTTAAGGATTCATACCTGACTAAAAGGAATAGAATTTCCATTTTCATATGTAAGACCGCAAGTAGGATTTTTTAAACCATCGTTACATCCCGTATAATTAACTTGTTGATAGTTAATAATCTGCTCCTTTGCTTCGGCATTAACAACCTTTTTTTATAGAGGAGAAAAAAAAGTCACAAAATATTTGATTATAGATCACTCATCGACAAAATCAACTACATAAACGACGAAATCGAAATAATACTTAAAAATGTGTTAAAATCGAATAATTAATTACAATAATTATTAAAATATTTTTCAATGGACCAAAGCCGATTATTATCCTTACCCTTTCAAATTTCAAGCCATACAGCTGTAATACCGACTCCTGACGTACTTTAATTACATAGGGATTCTGCAATCGTGACTTCTGCATTGTAATCGGATCTAAAGCATGACTGACTACTATGTACTCTTCCTCTGTTCTAGTCTAACGTAATTAAAAGTTAAAACTTTATTAGTATAATTAAAATAACATCTTATATATCCTATTTCATTAAAATAAAATTGTTGACTTAAAGTTAAACATTTAAACAAATTATGAACAATCCACATTGCTAGAGACCTTCGATATTAAAGTAATACCTTTCCAATATTATGTAATTTTAACGTGATGAGCAATTTTTGACGACAATTTCGAATTTCTTCATGATCTAATGTTTCCAAATATTCGATTAACGTTTCATTGTTATTAATATTTATTTTTTCACGTTCTTTGAATCTAAATGAAAATGATGCAATAATATAATCACGAATTCAATTGTAGTTTAAGAATTAAAGACAGATTTTTTATTTCTTACGTTTTTTCAGATAATCCGGGACAAGGAACTAAAATCGCTCTGATCTCAATCGACGGTTCTCGATCGATCGGAAATCTTTGTTGATATTGAAATCGTTTATAATAAGATTCACGTTCTGATACTCGAAATTGGCAATTAGGATTTTCGGATGGATGCAAGTATGGAAATTGATAATCATCGATAAATGATCCATACGAACGAAATTCTAACAAGGTAGTGTAAAGACTCATTATATTGAAGATCACCTAAGTTATTATAAAATGATCGTATGAATAAATAATCAAAATATATTGCATAATTTTGCGAAGAAATGTTCATGATCTTACCTGTATCATTATCAAGATAATACCAAACGAGTATTGAATTGGCCTAAGTGGCATTGTAAAATATCAGGTGGAACTTTTCGATCGATTATCGAATTCATCTCCAAAATGAAATGTTAACGATAAGTCCGTCGAGACTTAGAATTTCCAATAGAGAAATTTTGAACATGTGAGTGTTCCGTTAGAAAAATGTTTGAATTTTAAGAGGCTAAACCGAATTATCCAAATCAAAATTTTGTCTTGTAGATATTAACACTCTTGCAGATATTAATTAAATAAAATATCTCGCGTATATAAAAATTAGTTTTCTTTTTTTTTATGAAAATAATATTTTCAAGAATCTCAGGATTAGCTTTCTTATTTTAGTTTAGAAATGAATCGCTTTTATCTCAAAATTCGTTGTAATAGATATTCTTTTGAGAATCTCGTTCGATAATCGAAATAAAATATCGTTATACATTTTAATCGAATGTTTTTGATATAAGTCTCTAGATGGCGAACCAGCAACGATTTTCCGCATATTTGCTGAATTTTTTGTGAATTTTATAACACAGTAAATCATTTTAAAAAACAAATATCGTCTATCGAGATCGCATTAAAAAAAAAGGAAGGAACTTATGGGACAACTTAATATATTTTTCAAATAATATTTATAAAAGAAACACTAATATATAAATCATATTTATTTGCATTATGAGTTATCAGCCATTTATCTTTACAACGGTGTTTCAGTAATGCGAAAACATGCTTTCGATTTGAATATTAGGGTTTGAAGTGGGCCGAATCCCGTGCACGAAAACTAATTCTACTAACTTACGATTAAAGACGATCGAAATACTAATGTGTCTCCTATGTATATATATTTATATACTTTATTTCTTTTCAATAAATTTTATTTACTTTTTCTTTTTTTTGTTGAAATTCATTCCTGAATTCGTCGCACGACTATCGGACCGTCGTATTTGTTTAAGGAATGCTTAAGAATATCACAGATCGCGATTCTTGCGTCAAAGCGCCAAAAAGTCGCAAAGACACGGTTATTTGAAGATAATAATACACGCTTTGCTTCTTCTTCATGTCTATGATAATTTTAATACATGGCAGAAAAAGTATTGAAGGAATATTTTGCTCATTCTCGAAAGACTCTCATGTTCTCTTACCGACCAGAATCTAAACAAATCTCTTCATTGTGTTAGCAATCGTAGAATTCAACGTTTCCCAAACTGACTGGAAACAAAAATATTCTTAAAAAATATTCATTAATCAATATATAATCTTTTCAGTCGTATATCACGAAAAATGAATTTATCGGATGAGAAGTACTGAAGCTTTTTTTTTAAATTTGAGTAACGTAAAAACATGTATAGAAATTAAAATCAAATTTCAGATTTCCTTATTTTAAAGTTAAGTTCGGAAAACGTTGGCATAATCTAACGAGTCAAGAACAAGATTTTGTGAAAAAAGCAAGAGCAATTTTACAAGAGCGATGATTCAAATCAATTGATTATTCATGAACGTAGAGGTACACTATCTTTCATAGAATCGATTAAGTATTTTAACAATATGGCGTGTAATATCTTATTATTGAATTCTATTCTTTGCTTTGATAAAGTGCACAATTTTTATTTATTTTGATTTATCTATGCACCCACAAAGTATTCAAGAAATATTGCTGTTACGAAATTTAATCTTGCAGTTTTTCTTAGCATATAGTTATGTATGTATATGAAGTACGATAGTATAATTTTATGTATATTTTGAAATACGCAGGTTTAAGAAAAATTTTAATTGTTCTATGAATTATATATTGCTAGATACGTATAAATAAGCAAGTATAAAATATAATAGATAGAAAATGAATGATACGTGTATTATAATGGAAAATACTTTCGATCATCTGTAATAGAGATTCTCTTTGAAAAAATCTTGTTTGTTACTTTCCAAAGATTCAAACAGTTTTAGGCATTCCAAACTCATAGATTATAGTTGAATGAATACTTAAACATTAAATAATTTTCATCTTCTTTCAAATTTCACAATTATTTAATGATTATTTAAGATTGTGCACCTCTAGGTTTATTATTATGATACATTATAATACGTGCATAATGTTATTTTAGCAACAATAAACATACAAACCAAGAACTGGATATTTTATAATAACACTTTACACAGTAATTATTATTTACAATTGATCGTGGACTAATGAAAACGAAGACAATCGGTGCTGAAAAAGAACTAAATTATTTGTTATCTTATAATATATATCATGCCTGACAGATCTAGTTTCTTCAATCTATGATTAAATATGAAATAATTATATCCAAGGATAACTTGTTGACGGTTTTAATGATTTACGATCACTTTCGCAACCGCTCAAGAATTAATTTATAGCAATTGCTTTATTTTTGCGCAACCAAAGATGCTTGGCTTTTAATGTGTCAGTGTTTTTCAAACTATCTATATACATAAGTATAAAATAAACTTTTAGTTAAGTATATTGTTAATGAATATAAACTTTTTAGACTCTAAAAACAATCAAAGATTACTAGATTTGTTATGTTTCAAAAACATAATATTTGAAGTAAACTTTCTCTTGTATATAATTTGTATATATATATTGGATATATTTATGTAAAATATACTTCTTACATAGCATAGTTATAAGAGACAAAGTTTGAAAAACATTGTTTTACGCAACTATTTTCTCAATTATACAAATATAGCTTAGAATATGCTCTAATAGAATTTGTCGATGGCCAAGTAGAAACATCATTCTTACGTGCCTACAAAACTGCAATCTGAACGAACAAAATTAGCTTCTAATTTTCTCATCTTTTCTTGCGCGTTAACAATACACACACACACGCACGCATGCACACACACACACACTGTCCTTTTTGTACATATATATTTCTATTTTTCTTCTCTTTCTCTTTTTATTTCATATCTCTTTCATCATCAAATAATTTGATTGCTTTCACTATTAGGCTATAATTACATAGGTGTTTAATACGTTGCGTTTTACACGTCACTTTTTTTCCACTGAAGTGGGATCTTGACCGAATGAATGTTTAATGTGTTTTTCACACCCTGTATTCAATATAGTTGTAACTTTAAATATTTTTCTTTATAAATTTCTCGCCAAAATATACAAGCTGTTGAAAAAGTTGCTTTTAAGAATCAATATTGGTTCATTAATAGAATTGGGACATTTTGTTTTTCCTTTAGTTAGAGTATCATTCAAAAAATATAGGCCTATGATTTTGCTGTGTTATCAAATCGATATTAAACATTGAGTTATATTCAACATTACCAGATTGAGAAAAAGAGAAAGAATTGGATACTACTGGGGAAAAGTAGTAGCAATAAGTAGTTATTAAAATTATGTTAGATTAAAAACGTGACGACTTATCATAAAGCCCCATAAAGTTCCATGATACAAGTAACGTAGCATAGAGTGGCAGTGAAGGATAATGTGACGTCTTGTTATCCCTAGCGATGGATTTCTCACGGTAACGCTGATCACATCGCAAGCACATTCTTTTTTTTCCAAGTATATGTGATAAATGGCATTTCGTAAAAGTGTCAAAGAAAGATTTTATTAAATAGTTCGGTGGAAAAAATGTGACGTGTAACATGCATTGTATCAAACGCTCGTGTATGCGATCGTAGCCTCATAACTTAAAATCCTAAAGCGCCGTAAATGGAGAGATAACATCGATGGCATTTTAAACACCCTTAATACGACACAACGTAACGCCATTTGTAATTTACTAAACAAGCATATCAATTCTCATTGTCTCGATCGTTTCACGATCTTAAGAATTTCGTCGATGATGTCTCCTAATGGAATTATTGCGCTGAAATAATTAGGAATATATATATATATATATATATATATATATATAAGTCGTTTTAAATAGTTAACAATGAATCATGTAATATTAAAGTAGAAACGATACTCACCCGAATCGATGGATTTCGACGCAGGAACATTTCGACGATTCTCAAGAGTCTATAAAAAAAAAAATACAAACTACTTTGCCGAAAAAGCTTCTTCCTTCAAAAGCTTTTGTTTTCTTTTTTTCTTTTTTTCTTGCGTTTCTTTTCCTTTTTTTATTTTTTTATATTTTTATTTTTATTTATTTGTGTTATACCAAATCTCTTGAAAAAAGGCGTGCTTCGTTGAGCCGAGTCCATACCGCTGACGTAATCTCATAATTATCATGGCGTCCATAATTATCATTACCTTTGCCCGATTGTCACCAAGTGGTGCACTTACTCACCGGATTCATTTTAGCTCCGATCGGACAGCGAAATGCTTCCGCAAACGCATATGAATTCATCATTATACCGTTGACCCTGAAAGTAATTATTTAATAAATGCAAGTTATAGGATTTAGCATTGAGAAGAGCTACACTAATTGAAAGTTTGATTTGTACTACTCGTATAACATGATTTGAACTTTGAATGTTCATATCTTTTCAAATAAAAATAAGCAAAATATAGAATACCTTTCGGGTTGAGGAGTATGATAATCAAGTTCAACGGAGAGGATATAGGCCTCGGCAGTCATGTTAGAACAATAAGTCTGTAAAAATATGATTAATTAAAGGTTGAAGCCTTGAATTTGTAATTAGTATGAGTGAACAAACCTGGGCGGCGCTTATGAAAAAAAGTTGGCTTGGTCGAAGACCTTCCAAACCAGGAAGACTTCGATCTTTTCCGTTGGTTAAAGTATGCCAAGTTTTATGAGAAATTTGCAAGGCCCCAATATCGGCAACATTCTCATTCCTCGTTACATTCCAATCAAACTAAAAAGCAAGAAGAAAAAGGAGGATAATTGTATATACATATTTCTTTAGCGAATGTAAAGTTTGATCTTGTATTTTTATCTTCAGATAAAGAAAAATGTATAAAATCGATACCTGAACAGCAACATCGTTTCCATAAAACTGAACTTTACGCCAAAAACTTCTGGCATAAAGCTTAGCGACGCATTCGATCCTAGCCTCGAGTCGTTTCCAAGATTCCGTAGTGATCCATAGCCATTGATCGACGTTTAGATCAGGATCGAGAGGCAAGCGACGACGATGGAGATCGAAGGCATGAAGTATTTCATGGGCGATTACCGATCCAAGTGTAGCATGAGCAGCATAAGCTGGTCCACCGTCCCAAGACCATGCCCAGGAAGTCATCATGGCCAAAGGAATTCCTAGGATAAACAAAATAATATTGAAATTTTATAATCAATCATTTTCTATAATACAATCTCTCTTCTAACACATATTCCGAATTCATTCAAATAATAATGATATTTCGTAAAAGATTATTTATTAAGAAACGTACCGATCGTATTCGTCGATGATTCGTAATAAGCATTCACTGTGTAAGGATGACGACATCTGTGAAAATTGGATATTAATGTTTCATTTCTTTTTTCATTTGGGCATGACTTTCATTTATATTTCAATGTATAGAATGTAAGAAGAAAAGAAGTCGTTCTGGCCAAATTACTAAAGAAATAACAATTTTTTAAAACAGAAATCGACATTTTAAGTGCAATAAAAATTGTGAAAAATATCAATATAAATCCAACGGTAAGTTACGGTATAATTTTTCATTCATATTCCATTGAGTTAAGGCACCTTAAAGATTAACAATGTTTGCCAAAAATACACAGCACAGTATTAGCTACTAATATGTTACTGTAACTATAACTGCAACTGCAATTGCAACTATAACTGTAACCGTAAATGAGATTGTACCTGTGCCATGTGGCCATAACTGTGACTGGTGCCGTGTATTTTGACAAACATTTTTAATCTTTAGGACGCTTTAGCTCGATGAAATATTGATCAAAAGTTATACTCTAGGTGCTCGTGGATTTTTTATTGATATTTCATACATTTTTATTGCGCTTTAAACATTGATTTTCAAAATCATAATATTAATGAATTATTAATAAATAAAAATAGTCTTACTTTGCGGTGACGTTTCTTCGTAAAACCTTGTCATCTACGGTACGAATTTGTTTGAACCTATGAAGTACCATAGAGAAAAAGTTGTCAGGATCGATCAGAACCTAAAATACAAAAAAATAAAATAAAAAAAGAAACGAACAAAAATGTAATTAAATGTCATTGGAAGTTGAATGAAAAATAATATTTGAAAAATAATGTTATCCTTACCTCAGCCATATCACGAGCCAATAATGTATCGTTATGAAAACCAGGCCACACGTGAAATCTTCCTTGCAATGTTCTAAGCTTAAGCAATGCTTGCGTTCTCGTTTCTTCATCGAGCCAAGGCTTTACTAAAATTCGTTCTGCGACAGTTTCCTTAACTCTTTCGAATAATCCACTAACCTATCAAATCCATAAAACGAATTTACTAGAATTTATATAAAAAATCGCTCTCCTGTTATCTTCACTCTCCCCTTTTACTCCCGTCAAATAGAAAAAAGAGAATAAAAATATAATAGAAATCTAATGATTGATCTTACTCTATTCGCTAAAGTCTCCAAATATTGTAAACTGTATTGCTGAACGTATAGAGCTCCAACAATCTCTCCAAAAATGTTCTTTGTTAACTTGTAACAGGAATTGTCCCAATCCTTACTAGCAGTCACGTTGACGATATCGTGCAAGGTATCAGCAGCGTAAAGCAGCAACAATCCATTATGTATAATCCTTTAAAATCAAAATAACACACAATTCGAAGAGGGAAACAAGATAGATTGTACATCAGCATAGATATGCAGCATATTTATGAAAGGAGTATAGGTTGTTGTAGCAGCGAGATCATGATCAATAATTCGGAAAGAGAGTGAATCTTGTGCATTTATAATGTTCATTAGGCATTAAAGACGTGTAACATTGTCAGTGACGATATTTCATCGAAAGGGGATAATAACTTGGACGTCGCAGTAGTGCACAGCTGGGCAGGAAAGCGCGAATGAATTAGTACCATCGATTTTTCCCTTTACTGCGGCATAATTCTTGCGAACGCATACGACGTGTTTGGAGGAGAGATTTAGTTACGTGATACAAGTTTGATCTCAAGAGACCTACCTATGTGCCTCAAACAGATCGCAAAAAATTCACATTTTATTTAATTAATATATTCATAATATAGAACTTTTAATCAATTTTATTTTTCGAGTAGCATTTTTTTAGATTTATTTCAATATATATTTAACATTAATATTTCATTAATATTAATTAATTTTTTTACAAGACTTATCGAAAGTTCAACCCGTAATCCCTAAAGTTTCTACGTGTATGTTATTTTTCTTATTATATATTAATTGTAAATTAATTTATCTCGGACATAAGAAGAAAGATTAATTGATTAGTTATTTCATTACAAATGACACATTGCAATATTACTAGTTGAAATTATACTTGCAGTAATTATATGGAAAATAATGTTTCTTTAACTATATAAATATGTATGTATTTTAGAGAACGTAGAGAGAGAGAGAGAGAGAGAGAGAGAGAGAGAGAAAATGAGCTTGATTATGACAGTTTGTAACACTGTTAACCTTGTTAGCACATCCACACTTTGTGGAATGCACACTCGAGTGATTATCGTGCTAGCAGTTACATTTGGCTCGCGTTTCAAAATGTCGAAACTACGTGTATACTATGTATGTACGTCTCTTCTGGCCATCGAAATGATCCTCAACTGCCAAAGGACAACACTATTGTTTCCAGCCAAACGTATTCGCTAATATTCCATACATCTTCGTGTCGATAGATGAAAAGAAGAATATAAGTCAAATTTCTATCCTTAATAATATAATCATTTAAAAAATAGAAATGTGAATAATATTGTAATTTTCGCGATTATTTATTCATAGTTAAACGAATAAGTATCGATAATTTATTTGATTCGATTTCTTTGAAATTCGATGCATTTTCTTTGGCAAATTTTTCTTCAGATTTTACGTGCTTTCTTTATCACTCGATGCGAGTTTCAAAGATATTCAAGATTCCGATGAAAAGAAAAAGGCATTGGCACGCGTCGATGATTATTTTCGCTTCGGTTCGTTTTCGGCCAAAGCTTTTGATAACTCCAGTTATTTCGCGAAAAAGAACGAAATCTCTAGAAGAATTTTTATCCAGCGCTTTGATCGAGAGAACGTAATCTGCTTTTCGAGACATAATCGTGAAAGACGTTTTCTTACTCCTTTTTTTATTTCTTTAAAAGATGTTCCTTTTACCCACTTTTTGGCCATAAATCTTTAATGTTTCCGAAAGTTTGCTACGAACATAATTCGACGAAATGAAACTTTTTAAAGCTTTCTTTCAATGTTTTCTTCTTTTTCAACAAAATTCATCTTTAAACAATACATAATAGTATATATAGGCAGCGAAGCCTGTAATTATTTTCTTTTCAAATTTTCACGACACAATTTATTTCAATGGTTATTGAAAGGAAGAAAAATTTGCAATCAATTATCCTTAGTCCCTTTTTCTTTCGCCCACGATTTTTCTACTCTTATATCAATGATGTGTATTCAATAACGAACGACACCTCTCACTCTCGTCATTCGATTTGTTTCATTAACGGGGCTAACGAAGGAAAGAATATTGTGCCATTAAATTAGTTCTAATAAATGCAATAATTCTTTACTTTAATCAATATTGTATAATGAATTTCCCTTAGCATTTTTTAATCGCATTGTTAAAGCAAGCGTACCTTTAGATTGCAAAAGAAATCGATTAAACAATCGAGTTACTGCGGAATTGTTATACAAGACGGCCTGTTTAACATTTCTATTGTTGTCGAAATTATTAATAATTAAAATAAATAATTGTTTAACATAGTTTGATTTGCCCATTATTCCCATTATATTCTATATATGTATATACTCACCGTCTCGAAAATCTGTTGAGTAATTTTCCAAGGCTACGAAAGTAACGGGGAGCGGTAACGTAAACGTAGATCATTTGATCGTCGGTATTAAATCGTCGATCACGATCTAGCGTTTTGTTGCGATTAAATAAATCGGCAGTGGCAGCGCCTAACGTGGCATTCAACAGCGTCCCCCACCTTATCTAACCGAGGATCGGCAAATCATATCAAATTTATTATTTTTATTCCTAGATTATATCATTTCTCTTAAAAATGAAATTATTAAAAAGTCGTATTTAATAAGTTTAAAATGGATCCTGTCAAAAGGAAATTAAAATATAATGAATCTTATCAAACAAAATAATATAGAAATGGATCGTATCAAAATATATTATTCTTATTCCAATACGTAGAAGTAAATTGAATTGAAGAAAAAAAAATAAATTAAAATTATCTCTATTTAGAGCATATCAATCTCTATACTCACATAACCAAAACTTTCCTGAAGATAAGTCATGTTGAAAGGAACGTAAACTCTTTGATCGACGTCCACCCAATTGTACAGGTCCTTGTGCTTCGGATAAATCTGGATTGAAATTGACAAAATGTCAAGTGAATAACGAGAAGATTTATATGTAATCTGCAATCAATATTTTTTTCAAAATTCTTATACTCAAAAACATAGTTTAGGATTATTAAACTTTTAAATTGACATATATTGGTCTCTGATAAAAAATAAATAAAATTATAGAATGCGAAATAACTAGGAAATGAATAATGTTAGCACGAACCTTACTGAGTGACAAACAAAATTGCAACAATAAATCCGTCTCGGAGGAACGTTCTTTTGGACTCATCGTCTTCGGCAGCATTCCTTCGACGATCTTTTGAAGTCTGCGCGATCTTCGTTCCTCTCTCTTATTCTGTAAAGTTAAAATGATGACATTCTTAGAAGATCACATGGGAATAAAGAAATAAAAAGAGGGAGATGAGACTACCGACGAAGAAAATCTTGAAAATCTGGAAAATCTTGAAAATCTCTCGTTCGGAAATTCAGTAGAACTCATGCCCGATAGTTTACTTTCAGAGTATGTTAAAGATCGATAAATTTCTTCAGTACACGACATATATATAAATATACATATTCATAGATACAGCGAGTAAGAAGATACTTATTTCGTAAAGGTAGAATATATACATAGATACAGTAAATGCATCCTATCGCATATTGATGTGACGTTACATTGAGAAAGATTAGAAACATTATAATTGATTAAAATTTCTGCTTTGAGGATTTATTTTTGTAATCGTTCATTCGATCAGTCGATAGTTCGATCAACCTCAAATATATTTCTTTTTTATGTTTTCATCGCCTATCGAATCTTCTGTATCTACCCCTTCGTTTCTTTCTTTAGGTAAATAAAGCAAATCGTTGGGATTGCTTTCTTTCTCTCTCTCTCTCTCTCTCTCTCTCTCTCTCTCCCCCCCTCCCTGTCCATTCTGAAGTGCTATCGAGGTTCGAATGGTATGGTAACTAAAGCAATATCCGCTAGTTCGTGGTTTATTCGAGACGAGGAGTAGGACAAAAATAAAGAAGATAAAGATAGAGAGAGTTACGAAGTGAATTTGTCGTCGACGAACGAATATTGAGAGAAGTAAGTGAAAAAAGGAAAATAAAAAGAGAATTAAATGGGAAAAGAAATCATTTCTAAATCGTTCCTTAGGACTATCAAAATCGTTTGCAAAACTGCTATCGTTACTTTGAAAAAATCCATTACTATGAATAATAACGAAGCTACGCGCGCGCAAATATATATCAAATAAATGAAAAATATAAATCAATGAAATCTTTTGTATAGTTAGTATGGAAATTGTTCTTATTTGTGTATGCAAATGAATTATCTACTTTAGATCTATGATAAATAAAACTAAAGTTCTTTCTTGGACAAACGATGTAATTTTGTAAAGATATTTCACGTTTTTTAATTGATTTTAATTTTGCCATTTTATAAGATAAAAATAAAACAAAAAATTGGTTCGAACGTCGAAGAATGGGGAACGTGGAAGAAGTAAATGTGATCGTAAAATACTTTTTACGATTAAGTCGCGCGTATTTCGGGCAGAAAGGTGTTATTTCAACGACGAATAAAATGCTTCCCTCGACGGTACTACTAGAACCACCGAGAGGAATAATACTGACCCTCGGAGGAAAAAGTAGAAAAATGAGACATAAAGAGAAAGGATTTCAACGTCATCCGTAGAATCAATTCGATGGATATTTCGTATATTTTGTAAGAAATCAAAAATACACTTATAGAGCAATCTGCAACTATTCATAAAAGTTATTTTGAGAACCTTTTCAAGCCCTCCTAGACAAATATTAAATCTAAAATACAATCTAATTTCGAAAGAAGAAGTATACTCTTTTCTCGTATAAAATCTGCAAAAAAATAAATGAAAATAAATATAATAAAAAGTATTTAAATAGATAAAAAAAAAAAAAAAAAAAAAAGAAAAGAAGGGAAGAAGATACTACTTTAAAAATAAAGTCCCTTTATCGACTTTGCTTTTTGATATACGAGTGTGTACCATGAGTACATATACTATATGAAGGAGGAAAAGAAAGATGAAAAAGGATGGTAAAAGAAATAGGTAGAGAACATCGATTCGATTTCAGTTATAGTCCTTTAGGCGATACGAAACGTATTTCGAGGCTTAGCCAAGATCCTCCCGAGCATGCAAATGAGTTAAGCGAAGGAATCAATTCGATTTGTCCTTAATGCTCTACTACATTTTCTCTTTCTCTCTCTCTCTCTCTCTCTCTATCTATCTATTTATCTATCTATCTATCTATCTATCTATCTCTTTTTCTCTAATCTATCTCCTTGTCGACGCTTCCTCTCGTACCACCTTTTGATGTCGGTTAATTAAACTCTTTGGATAAAATAAGTTCTTCCAATCTCCCATTAGATTTATATACGGTGTACTAAAATGTTGCTTCCAGACAAATTTGTGATATAATGCTTTTTTCGTCACCGAGTTTGTGGTTAATTAACGTCAGTAAGAAACGATCTTGACGAATCGCTAGCCTTGTGCTATCGTTTTCGTTCGAAATTAATTACTTTGAAAAACGGGAAAGAAAAAGAGAGATCATTATAGAATACAGTAATAAATAATTATCTAGAATTATAGTATTTTTTTGTTTTCTTAATTTTGTAGAATATAAAATAGAATAACAAATTTTAAATATGTAGATAACGTCATACTTATATTGACTTAAAAGAATCAAATTTTGCAAGCATTTTAAATGGAAGCTTCGTATCCGGGTAATAAATAATAATCAGTAAAATATATATAGATAAAAATATTCAATACATTCAACGCGATTTATATTAAGACTAACATACACTCATATATCATTTATATATATATTTTATTACATTTGAGAGTTGAGAAATGATTTAAAGCAGGTTAGCATATCTACCAATTGGAAGCTCGATAAATTGACAAAGCAAACACTGAACTTAAATTGTGCCAGCGTCGGTATGTTCCCAAGCTGACCTAGAAAATATCAAGCAATTAACGAACTAATTAACTAACTAACCGTACTATAAATAAAAAAGCAGCGTGATACACATAACGATAGTTCAAACTATAGGAGTAGAAACCTGCTGAGCTTTTCTCGAACCGTATTACGTGACGATGTTCCTATCGTATTGTTTGATTTTCTTTTAACATAAGTGTTTTCAACAGTTTGCTATTCAATTTATTTCAAGAGCGCTACTTCTTCAAAAGTTTAAATAGTTGAGGGGTTTTACTCTAGTAGTGTACTCAGTGTTAAAAAGTTTATAAATAACACATCTGATTAATTATAGAAAAGTTATTCAAAGTTACTATTGAAAATAAACGGGTCATTTATAAAAATGTCTTGATTTCGTGTCTATCTCGAAAATTGCTGTCTTTTTTATTATAAATATTGTCAAGAATATAAAGTATGTGAAAGATAAGAAAGTAAATGGATTTTGTATTATAAAGATGGCTGTGCATGCATAAACAATGTTACGTCTACTTTTAAACATAAAACGAATGAGGAGAAAAATGGGAAAAAGGAAAAAAAAATAGGATCTTCGTAAGAAAGAAGAAGAAAAAGCACGTAAAGATAAAAGCATCGGCCTGCGCGATGCTGAACTTGTGATTTCATAGGATAAAATGAAAGATAGAGAGAGAGAGAAAGAGAGTGACGACAACTTATTGCATGCTTTATTTTCGTTTGCTGATGAAAAATATCTCGCGACGCGAAAACGTATTTTAAATAATTCTTTTATATTTTTTGTTCATTCTCTACTTGTTGGGTAGAAGTATGTTAAATTTCAATCTAAAGGTTCAAAAATACAGACAAGCATTGAATAGATACTTAAAATCATTGTAATGTCTATCGATGAGAAATGGTAGGTAGAAAAAGGATGGGGGTGTAGGTTAGAAGAAGGGCATAAAATCAAATCTCGACGGATCTCATTTTGTAAAAGCGAAGACGAAAGAAGAGAAATGCGAAAGAAATAAAATTGAAGAGAGGGGTGGAGGGAAAAAAGGAAGATGGATAAAAGAGGGCTGGTAGGAAGGTAAAAGGAATAGGAAGAGAAAAGTGGAACTTGGAGAAATGGCTGCCGTTTGCGTAGTGGTCTTTACGATCGCTTAATGCAGATAGAGAGTTGGTTACGGAACTTGTAGACGCAAAGCCGAGTGCTCCAAGTTGCTTTTGACGTCAAACAAATGCAATAAACATCTTCGAGCCCAAAACAAAAAAAAAACGAACAATAGAAAGAAAAGATAGGCATCGCTTAGGCGTACATTTCTAATGGCGTTTTTTTTTTTTAATAATTTATGGCAGCTTTATTTAAAAAAAACTTCTTTACTTTATTTTACTCCATAAATCATATAGAATTAATTTTTGTATATCCTTTAAAAAATTCATAACGCGGTCTTGCCATTCATTTTTTTTTCCTTTTTTTTTTCTTTTTTAAAGGGAAAGTAAAATTAAATTTTGGGAAATGTGTCCAAATATTTGAGTGACGCGCGTTATACATTTTAGTATACGTTCTAGTTCGAAACACGAACGTAAGCGTCGTCAATGAATGTTCTCGCGTTCCTTTTAAAAGCCGTATGCGTATTTCACTCAGGAAAAATATGTCAAGGGTCATATAAAACGCATATAGACGAGTCGATTCGTTACTTGTCTCTTTCTTCGATTTCTTTATAGTATATACACGGAAATATATATACGTCGGCGGGGTTACTTTGCGAAATGACTAGCCACCAAACCCATAGATATATAACCCATAGTTTTGATAATGGACGGTTCACTTAGAAAAAAGGAGTCGAGATGATAAGATAAGATAAAAATCGTAGAATTTTCTTGATAATTATTCTGCTAGTTCTCGTTGTTTTTGTGGATTTTGTTGGGAAATCGATGTTCGAAAGATTAGACCGAATATCTTGGTTCCATTTTGATCGGACTAACAAGGACAGAGATGTCATATGGGTCAAGAGCTCACTCGCAAAGTATTCGTTCCGTTCGTAGGACAATTTCGAGTCGTATGCAAATTTCCAACGGGGAAATGAAAAAGTGTAGGTAACTCCGAGAGAATAGTGCGTCGAAGCGGCTTACCGTAACCATCCCGAAGCGAAAACTCTAATTGCCTAGGACGTCGCCCGTTCTTCGTCCAAGTGTCGAAAATGTCGATTCGAAAACACCACCGACGTTGTCGACGCGCACGCAAACAGAAAAACGAGACCAAACAAAAACAGAATTCTAAATGTTTCGACTCGCTAAAATCTTCCACAGAGAGAATTAAATTACTCGCCCGTTGTTTTTCATTTTCATTTCATTTACATTTTTAGCCAAATTATTATTAGATCCTTTATTATTTTATTTTACAGAGAAAGAGATACATCATTTATATAATTTAGTCAATTTTATTTTCATTTAAATTTAACGATTAATAATATTAGTCTTCCTAGTGAAGTTACTCGAACCCGTGTAAAATGGCATAATATTTATACAAATTATTAATATTTGAAAGACCTTTGATATCATATTTTATTAAAAATCTAAGCTATTTAAGCTTAACTTTGCGAGTATTTACATACTCGTATGCAAATAATGAAATGAAAAAATTTTAGAGAAATGTAAATTACATACAAAAATATACTTTTCATAAATTATTTCTCAACAACTTTGTACAAACATTCAATATAAATACTAGCCTGCATTTATACGAAACAAATTTTCTTACCTTTATCATCATGTACGCTTGACTTTCTTCGTGAACCGATCTTTTTCTTCTTCTCTCATACATCGACACAGTCTTAAGCCATTTTGGTATATCTTCCTGTAAAAATGATGAAATAATAATAAGAAAAAGTATTTCAAAAGTAAATTTCTTTATTTAAAAACAAAAAATAATATAACGAGTTATTAAAAAGACACACACACACAAATATTAGAATACAGAAAAGAGGTATTTATAAAAGTTTGAATCGGATGCAAAGAGTGGTATACTTTTTCGTCACTTTTGTTAATCACATAAATATTGAACCAATTAAAAAGTAAGTTAAAAACACGCGTGGCAAATTTCGTATCGAGTTATATAAATATGAAGAGATCATATGTGTATAAGTGTGTGTTTACGTGAGAGATAGGAAAGTTCATACAGCAAAGCTTTCACACCATAAATAAGCTCGCTTACGTGGGTACTTAAAATGGCGAGGATTTCGCATTGCACAGACTCGGCCACCGTAGCAAACATCCTCGTCGACATTTAATTAAATGATAAAAAATGTTTATCTGTAGAAGAAATATTAGAGAGAGCAAAAAAATTAAATCCGAACGAGGCAGTTAGATTTTTCTCCTTTTCTAACATTTTCTCACCTTTTTCCGGACTCTAATTATTATGTCCCTCTCTTTTTTTTTCTCTCTCTAGAAACATATTCGAAACAAAAAATAATCAAACAATTTCAATTGATTGCGATTGCTATGTATATTTGCATATGCATATAAAGTACAAATCCACTATAACATTATATAATAAATTTCCACGTTTGTTAAATATAGTTATTCATCCTTTCTCTCTCTCTCTCTCTCTCTCTCTCTCTCTCTCTCTCTCTCTCTCTCTCTCTCTCTCTCTTTCTGGAATTATTTAATTCTGACGTTTGTAAAATCAATTTCGAGATTAAATCTATTTGATTGTTAAACTAATTTCCAAAATTTAATTAATTTTATACTAAAATGTAGCTTGTGCATGATTTTGCCAACATTCTCTCAATGAAAGCACATTTAATATTTTCTTCTTATCTATTTTTAACTTTATATTTCCAATTTGTTTTCTAATTTTCACGCTAAGATTTTGTTGAAATCCTACATATTAAAGACATAATTGGAGAAAATTTCTTGGAAAAGAAACGGGCAAACAAAATGGAAGACGGCACAGGGTCAACTAGTAAAGCATAAAATGAAAAATTAGAAAGATACTTCGACGGTGTCGCCGACAGCTTTTGGATATCCGCCAGTCTACTGAAACTACTCTTTTTTAAAAGAGAGAAAGAGAGAAAATTTGATTCTTGGCTCGATCTTCTGTCTCCTACAATTTTATAGCTGTATGTACCGGGTGGTTCCTATAAATTTTAACAAATTGTCTTAGTATTTTAGTTTTTGCTAATTTTACCTAACAATAAATAGGAGCTTTTTTATCTAATTCCCTTAGTAATATACAAAAATTGGATGATAAGCACGTATCGCGTATTATGAAAATGTTCAACCCTTTAACGATAACATAAATTACATTTTTGTTGTTTTGTTTTTCTTTTAATTTATTTTATATAAATTTTCCATTTGATGGATATTCGTGAAATCAAATGCAAAGGTATCGATATCATTTATGCATACGTGACGAGACAGTCACGCATCGTGGCACCGGATTTGAATCCGAGCTGATGCGAGCTTCTTGCCAACCAATGCGACGACGATATTGAATTCGTGGCTCGGACATTATTGAACATATGGTTCCTGCCGAGATTGAAATGCATACGCGCAGTGGTAGCAATGCTAGTGTACGAATGCTCTGATATCGATATCACTATGCGATGACCATTATTACATAGTATATACCGAGTATTAAACCTTCAATTCATTTATATTAGCTCAACTTATGTATATATATATATATATATATATATATATATTATATAATTAATTTAAGCAATATAAATAAATAAATCCAAATAAATTGAAGCGAAATAAATAATAAACTAATAAACGTGTGGTATTATAGAATAAATGAAGGAAATTTTGTAATAAAGCTAATTGAATCGTTTCAATTCCACGTTCGTCTATCCTTCTTTGATACGTCTTACGCCATCTCGCTTTTCGTCACTGGCTAACTGCTGTTTTAAAGTGGCACTTTAACGAGCTTAGCTATTGAAGAGGTTCTCTCTCTCCTATGCTTGCTTCAAGCTCGTATCACAATTACAGGAACACCCTGAAGAGACAAAGGACTCGAGCGTGTCGAGTATGAGTTATGCTGTCTTCCCTTCGTCTCGCACACCCACACAAACGTCTTGCTTTATGCTCTCGGCAAGGTGTAAGTCCCTTTAACAGCCGCCTTACGAGTGTCTCTACGTGTCTGTCACGTGCAAACAGCAATGCAAAGAACGCGCAGAACCTCGCACGTTTAGGCATTCCAGTCGTACGTGCATATATATCAGAGAGATAAAGATAGTAGATGGATTAGATCGCTTATTATAGCATATTATCATTTCATTACTTAACGAATAAAAAAAAGTCTTTTTTTTTTATATTTTCAATTACATAATAATCATTAATTCAACTTTTATTATAATAAAGACATTTTGTCCATTAATTTGATCCACAACTTACAATCTATTTAACCTAATAACAATTGTACTTAATTTAATATCTATTTTACTCGCTTATAATAAAATAGAATAAAGAATGTTATTATTGCAGACATAAACGCGTTTATCAATCAAGCATCATTATAAATTTATCATTTGACTCCTTGGAACGAAGGGGATTTAATAAAAAAAGAATATACCGTAGGTTCGTAAGATATTTAATGCAGGAAAATGTTGAAGGTCAAGGTGAAATAGTTATAGTAAAGAGTATCGTTTGGTACAAATGATTCCGAAACTGTGCACACGAATGTTACGAGCAAACGTCATCGTTATTCCCTTCTCGAAACGTAAACTGGGCAAACGACTCTACTCGAAAATTTTCTCGTGTAATTATCTGACCGTCGTATAACCACTATTAACCTTCTTCCCTTTTAAAGGGCTCGTTTATCTACTTAAAGATCCAACCCTGGCACCAGGTGCTTTAATCGTTAACAAAACCACGATGTGCCTCTTAACAACCAGCTGGCATGCGATCACAATTATTTACTTTGATGAATTATCATTTTAATTGGATGAAAAGTTACTTTTAAAATGCAGTAGGACCTTCATTAATCAGCGTAATCGGGGAACAAACGGCAACAACAATTATTTAACGTTAACGCGTGGCCAGGAATAATTGTCAGTGTTTATAAATGGGATAATAAAGTGACGAATCATATATTGCATTATCGACAAAAAAAAAACAAACTTTAAATAAAGTACTAAAACGTTGAAGTACTTTTCAAAGTATTATTTCGCAAAAATTGCTCGTTTATCGTATTATATAGACCCTTTTGTAATGCGATATCGATTTATTGGAACTACTTGTATCAAGTATTAATGATAGCTAATAGACTGTGCAGAGCGACGTAACTCACCAGATTTTCCATAAAGATGGCATCTTCTTGATACTTGGTGGGGAGATCCAGAAAAACGGAGGATCTAGAATGATCGTAAAGATCGACGTCTACGTACAAATCAAAGAGGGGTGCACCGTTCACTCGAAGAAGAGCCGAGACCAATGGAGTTATATCAACTGGAACGACACTCTTCGGTGGTAAATAACCACCGAGTTCTCGAAGAAGATCGTAAACTGAAAAAAGAGACAAAACTTTGTATAATAATAGTAATAATAATTAGAACAAATTCGCGGAATATTTGGTAATACATCGGTATGACGAAAAACGATAGCAGCAGGTGTGCTGAATATTTCCGAATATCGTTGAAAAAAAGAAAAGAAATTATAGAAAATTCATCGATCTGTTCTGCTTTCTCTCTCTCTCTCTCTCTCTCTCTCTCTCTCTCTCTCTTTAAGCTCGTTCACGGTTGAACAAATTTTTTCTAATGTAGAAAAAGAACCACGTGGCTTCGAGTGATTTCAATCTCGCGAAAGAATCGCGTTGGCTTCTACCTTTCCCTAAAATAGATGTTCTTCGTAACATCGACATCATCGTGTTCGTGTTTGTATTCCTCTGATATATACAGGATTCCCCAAAAGTCACTTTTCCGAGAAAAAGGAAAATGAAACGAAAAATCCATATTTGTTTATAATAGAACTCTTTTTTACTAGAATTAACATTTTTTCTTCCGCAAAAAGAGAGATCTCGTAGGAAACTGAGATCGCAAATTGCACTTGAAGAAACTCTTGGAATTTTCGAAGGAGCAGCTTACAGCACCGTAAGGGCATACGTAACCCTTATACGTGCTTCGCATAACTTCCCTTACATACATATATATGTACCTACATGTATTTAGCTAACTTGCGAACCTTACTTACAAAATGGGTAAGAAGATCTTAAGTAATTTTTTAAATGAATTATTCTCTTTTTCGAGAGAAAGAACAGTTGACAAATTTTTAACAAGGAAATAACTTCTTTATCCCGTATGAATATTTATGAACATTTGTGTTCGCATGCATGAATCATCTATGTGAAAAATATCGTGCTCGAAAACTACGATATATGTATTATTTACGAAATGTATGCTTTTTTGAGTGTATATAATACTGTATGCAGAAAGTATAAATGTATTGAAGCGAGTGTTGGTTTTTACCACAAGTTCGATAGATTAGTTGAAAGTTCTCCAACGATCGATAATCTCTTCTCTCTAATCGTTCGAGTCTATTTCGAAGTTTTAACGAAGCTAGAGAAGTAGCGCTGACTTTACATTAAAACACCTTTGCTGTAATTAATATGCGGTAAGCCAAGTTCGATACTTATTCTACAGTATACTCTACGTAGATGGATGCTTTTTGTATCATGCATGTTTCAAACATAAATATATAAAACGATTCATTTTTATATATTATCGTGATACTTTTTAAGTAAATACATGTATATACATATATCAGTTGTTAGTGACTCGCAAAGAGAGAAATTCAAATGTAAGAGAGTAAATTGGTAAACGTTACCGTCGAGTACACATATATGTACGTACACACAAATGAATTTCTCAAAATATAGTACAACAATCTCTGTATTTGCCAAGAGTACGATTCAAGATACCTCGTAAAGACACATTCACTGGAAACTTAGTTAATCATAACTTGGACGACAGACGGTGAAACGAGAAAATAATAACGAGCATTACGAGTGAGAGACTACGTACGCGCGTATGAGAGAGAAAGAGGATTGTTATGGTGAAATATATAGCAAGGAAACAACGGTTTGTTAGACAAATCAAGAATTCAAACTGTTTCGTGATTCTGCAGTAATAAATGTCAACGCTAAACCGATATAATGGTATCTAAGTACATATGAACTTACACGTTTTGTAACACGAGAATTGAATTAAGATTGATTCAAATAGACATCTCACAGGGAAGAAATAAAGAAATATAAATTAATCAAAAATAATTTAGAGAGCGAATATAAAGATAAAGCGATACTTCGTAATAAATTATACGTTTTGTTTGTTCGTATCTATAAAAAGAAAGCCAAGTGTTGGAAAACAAGACACAAGTGTTTAATTGATTTCATAACTATTTAAATAGATATTACGATCAAGTTAAAATTTGTAATATTTTAAATTGTTTTAAATTAGCGTTTTCTTAGGAAGTAAACTTTACTCTCGTGAAAGTTCGATGACGAGCGAATGCGCGAACATTAATCATAGCCGAGCGAATGGTCGTGTCGCCGATCAAGGTAGAATCAAACATGAATATCTAAAATACCGGAAGCCTGAAACTCCTGCGGCTAGGACTAACTCAGAACTTCCATTTCCGCTTTCGACGGTCTTCCTGTTTTAATGTTGGAAGGGATAAATCTGATTGCAATTTGCAGAAATTAGAAGAACCAGATGAATGTAGAGATGTAGGATGCGTAAACAGAATTTATGTGTGTGTGTGTGTGTATATATAGAAATAGAGATACGTATGTAAGACATTTAAGAATCATTCCCCTATCATATGATAGGGAGATTTCTGTGCTGTTGACTCCAGAGAGAGAGAGAGAGAAAGAGAGTAAAAAAATAATATGAAAAATACAGAAAATGAAAAAAGTTCTATAAGAGGTTTTATCGTGTTCGGTACGCATTAATGCATCGATGTAAATGTGTCCACGATATGGAGACACATCGATCGACATGTCGAGTCCATTTTGTATAATAACAAGAATACGCGTCTCCGACAACGAAACAGCTCGTTCTTCATATTGCCGAGGCAACGTCAAAAACGGCGCCAGCTTTCCGAATCTCTTTTCTCATCTCCCTCTCTCATTCGCGTATCTCGTTTGGTCTACTTCCTTCTATTCTTCTCAGTTTCGATTAAATCGTAAATAAATCCACAGACTCAGCTTGAATGAACTTTTCTTCTTATCTTACACAAAAAGAAATATTCATTTTTTTGTTATTCATTTCGATATATACTTTATTATTCAATATCAAAATTTAAATATAGCATTAAATGGTTTATTTTTTATTTTTAATTTGTTTATTACTTTTTTCTAACGTATAAACATAAAATTCCAAGACTCGACAAATTCACAGACAAAATATCTCTAATTTTAAAAGCATCACCTTTTACTAGCTCTACCCAGAAGATATATTTTATGTTTGCATTAACGTTGTAGGAATCGGATTTCGTCGAACGGTATTCCAAAGAAACCACCCCCTTCGGAAGTTCGCTTTTCAACTGGCAAGGACAAGTAAATCAATCAGATACTTGGTTATGCTCGTGTAAAATATCGTCTCGATCTCACGCGAGAGAACGATTAAGTGCCAATCTTGATAAACATTTTCTTTTGACTCTCTCTCTCTCTCTTCCTTTAGATTTCAGATCAACTCTATTTTTAAATCGAATTAGATATAATTATTAGAGGAAATGGTTTCCCTTCAAAGTGAATTAATAATGGATGCGCATTTATTTGGTAAAATGCTTAAAATACTATCGAAATAACTCAGAGAATCCCATAAAAGTGATTACAAAAAATGGTCGAAGAAGTAACAACGAGCCAGAAAGACTGGTCGTGATTCTGAAGATAAAATGAAACGACTTTAGCAAGAATCCAGAGAATATCGGACTATCAGGCTAGCTCGAATCGTGACTTGGATAACCTTGACATCCTTTGTAATACAACTACTTCCGATTCTGAAAGCTCGAGCAGTTGTACAAACCTGGAAAGCTCGCTTTAACAGACTAGTTTATTTCAAGGTAAACCTTTTATACCATACTAACTTTTCTTGCATAGTAATTAATCTATTATCCTTAATTGATACTAAGAATTCTCTCTCTTGATTAAGAGATATTAGTATGACGTTTAAACTTTTTGACATACTTATTGAGACATACGCAAGGCTGCTAATGTTTTACGTTTATCGAAGAAAAATTTGTAGCATTCGTGAGCAGCATAAAAAAAAGAAATAAAAATTTAGGAGGGGAGGGAGGTTGTTAACGCGAATCCAAAGAAAAAGTAGGTCAGATCGTTGTTCGGATAACACGTTCGACCATCCCCACTAATTTTCTTTCAAATTTTACTCTTCGCGTATGAGATTGTGTGGATTGCGCGCAATACGGGGTGGGCGGGTGTGCGTGTAAGCGCTGCTGAATAATTGCTGGGAAAATCAAAGTAGAAGAGCATGCACACCGTTCTTAGTGAATAATAATTATCGCATTATGATTACATTACGTGTACCAGTTTCATGTCGAAAACAATTTTTTCTACAGATTCTTTCTTCTGTTTTGTTCTTGTAGCTTTTAAGGATTTTATTGTAGCTTTTATTCGAATGCACGCATGTCTCTTTGTTTCGTATTAAAACGAGATAGTAATCTTTGACAATATTGAGTGTTTAGCTTTGTCGAGGTTGAGATATTAATCATATTATCATTAGGCCCACGCATTTCCTATTTTGAAAGGACCAATTGTAAAATCGTTAGAACTGTATTTTCATCGAACAATTCTTAAAGCTCGACGCCCTGAAATTTTGTCGGTTGTCCGGGATGTTCTTTATACGTCACGATATGATATCGAAAAAAACAGCATATCGCGCTGTTGGTTTAAATCAATTTCTTTGACAAGAACTAATATTACAAACTAACGAGAGACATTACGTGTAATAAGCTAATTGAAAAAATATTATTTACGTCTAATTATACTATGTATAAAGGACAAGTCGGATAATTTATTGGCGACATTTGGATCGGATCGAGTACCTAGGGACTGAAACGAGATCGATGACGCGAATACGATACTCGCGAGGATAATAATGTCCTTCCCAAAGGATTAAAGTGTTCACGGGGACGGACGAGGACAGATGTGTAATTAATCGTCTGATAATTAAAGGAGATTACAAACACGACGATACGGTTTTACGTTCGAACGAGAGATCGAATGCGATCGACTTTTCGATGGATACAAAAAGAGAAAGAAACAAAAAAGAACGATAACGACCCTCATAACTTCTTCCTGAGTTCAACTTCATACTTTTTCATTGAATTGTTAATATCAAGCGCTATACGATACGCGGAAAGAAATGAAAAACATATCGAAAACACCACAAAAGCTCATTGTCTCGATCGTTATGCGTGCATCCGCGGCTATTGACATTTTTTTTTCTCTTGGAGTATACATCTGCGCGAATTGACGTAAACAGAAAAATAGAAAAGGATCAAAATCGATATAGATAGATAGAAAAGAAGAAAAGGGTGGGGAAGGGAAGGGAAGGGAAAAAATGAGAGCAAAAAGAGGGAGGCAGCAGGTTTACCGATGTGGTTTTTACTTCGTTCTGCTTCCATCCTCTTCGTCGACGTAACTCAGTCGTAAAACGTTGACCAGAGAATGTGTTAAAGTGGAATACGTGTATTGTGGATAAAAATAGCCTATCGGTTGGAAAGGGAAACAGAGATAGAAAGAAAGCGTGAAAGATAGAAAAAGATAGCAACGCGAAACAAATAAAAGGGAAGAAAGGAATGTCACAGAATGCAAATCAGTGCAGGGAAAAAGGCGCACACAGTTCGTGACCACTAGACAAAACCACCATGACCACTAGGATTCGATCGAAATTCGACGCGTAAAATTTCCCAGATAAAAGGCTAGGCAATCTCTTTTTCCTACGTGTAAAATACCTTATCGAGTTCTAAATCGATTTGCAAAGATTCAGGCTATATTTTCTAGACATTAGTTAGACAGATATTCATAGAGATTTCCACGAAAATCTGTATCTTTTGTTCCCTATCGTATCGAAAGATATACAGGTTTAGAACGAAATGTTTTTTACCTGTATGGGTTGTTTTGGGGGGAGGGGTTTCGTATGGCTGTGTCTGCCTGTCCCAAGGATGTACTCTTTTTAACGTTGTTTAAATAGTAATTTGATATTCTCTATAGGATAATCTCTCGAAAAAGTCTTATTTTCGACTTCGTCTGCATGCATAGTAATGCCGAGGAATTACTAGTAATGACTGATTTCTGGCTTTGACGGTAACATATATATTAATAGAAATTAAAAAATGTAATAACTTGGATAAGTGATTTCGAGAAAGACAATAATGAAATAGAGGATATGGCAAAAGTTTTCTCACCTCAAGAATGTATCAAGGGGATCCCGTAGAAAAACTTTTTAATAGGACCAACTTAGAACGCTACGGGGTTTAGAAGTTGGTCATCTTGTTGCTTATCGTACAAAACACAATTAGATTTTGATTATTTAATTTAACTGATATAACAAAAGTTATACATCAATGATATTATTTTTCTTTCCGTTTAGAGAATATTAAATTGGCATTAAAAAGTTTTTCTATGGAATTCTCTGGATACGCTCCTGAACTAGGACTCGAATCTTTAGGGACATCTAAGTACACGAGACGTAAATGTTTTTGCAAAAAGTATTTCAAATTTTGATAAAGTGAATTCACGACGAAGGATAAGTAAATAGAGCTCTTTACTTTTAAATGATGAAACGTAAACTAGAAAAGGGTCTAAACGAGGCTGGATGCTTAAAGGGCTACCAGAAAGGGGTTGGAAAACAGAAGTTTCTGTGTTATCGATCGCTAGATGGTAACTTTCAATGAGTCAGCCAAGGTCAAGCCATTAGACGGAGTCATACAATCTCTTTTTTTCCTCCTTCTTCGTTTTCTTCTTTTCTTGACTAGAAAATACTGAAAAGTAGCTTAAGAAGTTATCGATCTTACCAAAAGGCTTCTAAAGTTTACAAATTTCCGGATCTTAAACTTATAATCTTTCTGATTTAGACATATTTTCGATATTTTTCATTCGTGAATTCTTATTAAAATGTTCATTAATTTGTTGCTCGATCCAAATAAATCTTACCGAAAACTTCTTAAAACTTATTCGAACTTTATTATTTCCATTATTTTTAACGCTTCTTTAGAAATACCGAATATATCCAATTTTAATAAAAATTAATAAGCAAAGAATTTCAATTTATAATTTGTTAAATCTCCTTGATCTTTTATTTAAGAATTGCATATGTTTATACGATATATCATGAAATTTGTTATTTAAATTATTTGAAATCCTTGATCGTAACAAAATACTCTCTAATAGGAAGCAAGAGAATTTAGATAGTAATCGGAATAATACTGATTTTAAAGATATACAGATTTGACTTGATTTTACGTTATTTTATCGTCAATTTATTCCAGACTTCTTTTTATTTTCGTTTTGATTTGTAATGTATTGTACTCCTCGTAATACTGGTAGACGAACAATAAACTGTTCCTACTATAAAAAACAAATTTAGTTCACCAAATTTCGATTGCACATACAAATTTTCAAAATCCATGCCAATATAACATTTTCCTATGGAAATTATAAAAAAAAAAAAAAATAAACAAATAACACTTCATAAAACTCGTCGTTTAAATAATTCTGCCTTGTTTGAAAAAAATCGCGCATAAACATGCAAAATTTAAATATGAAATGTAAAAAGGAAAAAAAACAATTTTAATCTTTCTTCCATTACATAATTTATTAACATATAATGCAAAATTCATGTGAAATTTCTTTTTCGAAAACTCTTGCATGCTACTTTATACATATATAAAGCTGTGACGTACATACGTATGTATATAGAGAGAGATTTGAATAAATAAAACGTAGTAGTTTATCTTTAATACGAAATAGGTGGATTCCCCTATAAACATCTATCATGGTTCCGAAACGTTAGACGGTTACTGGCTAACAGACGTGGTTGCTTTCTGACCGTATGTACCTACAGCTCACATATTATCGACACATATAAATAATGCACATGATCGATCGATCAGGATGTAAATATAATTTCGAAGGCGAACGAAGTACCTTTCAAAGTTTATTTTAGAATACCAATAGTCCGAATACGTCTTCGTCATTAAATATATTCGCGATGAAAAATTCTTAATAAAGATTTGAAAACTATATTTTAAAGGAACACTTTGAGCCGAAGCTTTTTTTATATTATCACCGAAAGGTGTTAACAAGAATCAGGACTGCATTTACCGTATGGTGCATCAGGCTCAAGCTGGGCTCTCGCAATCTATGGGGTCATATTTTAAAACTTTACTACTCGTAAACGGCAAGACTTATGAAAAAAAAGAAAAAAAAAGAAATAAGGAAAGGAGAAGTAATTCTTAAAAATGTAATTAAAATTTAGGCTTGTTCTTTTGAGACGCTTCGTGATCGCGTCTTATTCTATATATAACCAAAATTTATAGTAAGAAAGTAGATAAACATTTTTGCCGTATTAGCGACACAACGTTCGCCTCCTTAGTTCTCTACAAGCACCACCTATCCCTACATCGTTTTACATCTACTATTCTATAGCATGATTCTTCATTATCATTTTCTTATAGAAGGACAATAAGGATATCTCGAGTATCGACTTACCAGGTGCAAAGTTGACAGGCTTCTCCTTGAACCCGAGACAACTAACGTAGAATTGACCCAGCTTCTCGAAGACACCAACCATTCGATCAGTTTCGTTTAATAACATTTCTGAAATAAAAGAACAAAATCAACAAATTCAATTAATTCATCAAATTTTCTTGTTCCCAATCTAACAATAAACTGTAGTCAATCAAAATTATAACTAATCATTATTAACGCGATTAATAAGAATTAATTTCACTCGTCATTGTCATTTTATTAAATATTTTTCGAATTAATGATACGAATCGGAAATAAAATTCTACTACAGTTGTTCTGAAAATATTAATGATTTCGAAGGATGAATACTATAACAATCGAATTTAGTCTCTCGTTTGCTAACGAACCAATTAAAAATAATTAAATTAAATAATTGATTGACGTATATGAATTCCTCTACTATATTTTTATCTCTTTGTATTTTTTTTTTTTTTATCGACTATTCAAAGGATTTGAAAATATTCCAATAAATTCTTTAATCCATACATTGTACATGGAATAATAATAAAAGTAGTACTTGGGTATGTATTGACGAAAGCTACTTGAAAAATAAAACTTTTTTGAAAAATAGTTCATAGGGACAAGCAATGATGCGTAAAATGAAAGAACACAGATAAAACAAAAGTTTATTGTACTTGAAATGTTGCTTCGGTAAGAGAAAGAGGAGAAGAAGAAAAAGAAGGAGCTTTACAAAGTTTGACTGAAGAGTAATAACAAAAGGTAGCCGATAGAAACATTTTTTCGAAAAAAGAAAAGAAACCGTTCTCTATACTTACGTTAGATTGTTTCTCCTAGCTTTTCAAAGTTCAATGAAAAAGATAGAGAGAGTAATACGAGTATGTGGAACACAGTGACTTATCATAGGACATTAAGAATGTAACATACACACGTATATGATTTTATATAGATGTTCTAACCCTAGTGCAACGTATATCGATTAACGTGAATTATTTATAGTACGGACAAGCGAAAGTACTCGATTCGTTTTTTAGCTCCGTATACCTGATGTACTTGCTATGCTTCTTAAATCTCACTTCGCGACGGACTCATCAATTTATTCGACTGCAACTGCTATGCTATGCTCTTCTATTTTCTACCTACGAATTTTTCATTTCCTTCCTATTCGTCTTCTTCTTCTTCTTCTTCTTCTTCTTCCTTTTACATGTCCTTGGAAATACTTTTCCACTCGAAATTCTAACTTGGAAATAGGACACTTTCTTATGGTTCACTCTTTTTCTTTTTATTTATTTGCTTTCGGAAAATATTTTAATAAAAATGATGTCAACGATGACAGTGTTAACAATAGTAATGATTTCTAAAAAGGTTTGAAGTAGCATAAGAAAATAAAACATTGTCTAGAGAAGAAAAAAAGAACTTTGTTTCGTTGAATTTAGTCGATTCTACAGAACGTTGACGATGGTAAAAAATCTCATTCTTTGTCTCTCCCTCCCTCTTGCTCGCCTGGTTTTTCCCTTCTTTTCTTTAAGGGCATTCTTGCAAACGAGGACAGAAAATTCGGGTAGGAATAAAACGAGCGTTTATTCATAATGACGGTAACAAAACTTAGCCATCGTCTTCCGGAAATTATTATACTAAGCTACTATTTACAACGTTCCTTTCTTTATTATTTCAAAGCCAGGGTGAAATTGAGATTCTCGAATCATATAAAGGTGGACAAATGGAAGAATTATCGAAGGTCTTAGCAGAAAAAGGATGCGTATCGCATCAGCTTTATTACCGAGTCATAAATGTAATAAATAAATCGTAATAAATAAATCGTAATAAATAAATCGTAATAAATAAATCGTAATAATAATCGTATGAAGTGTCACACAACGGATATTATTAAATAAATACAAATATGAATTTGCAAAAGGGAAGGAAAGAAAACGCTTAAACGATACTAGAATAATGCGACGGAAAAGGAAAAAAATTTTCTTAACGAGAATAACTTAATTTTGATTAAAAAGAAAAATGGGGCTTATTATTTCTACGACCCGCTCGAGTTTTAAAGGAAAAGTAAAAGAGGAAATTATGTTTATGGAATAACTGTGTTTTAAATAGGTAGCGTGCAAAAATAAGTAAGTAAGATATGCTAATGTACGTGTACGCATAGGTTGGCCGTATGCACTCGTGCTTAAACAATATGTATGTAGTACTATATACGTACGTATAAAATGGCAAGTTAATGTTGATCCAAGGCGTCACGCACAACGATTATGTTCACACGAAAGATCTTTGCTGCATTTATAATGATCGATACAAGCTACCTCATGCGAGAAAAAGTATTATACGTACAGCAATCATCATTTTGTAATATTCTTTTATTTTTATTATTGACAAAAATTGTAATGTTACGACGAGCTTTTATAATTGTTTTGTAAAAATATTTAAGACAAATCTAACAAACTAGATTTCGAAAACATGCTTTTACTTTCTTTGTCCAACAAGTATCATGTAGGTATCTTCAAACACTCGGAAACTTCTCATCTGAACTATCCAAATGCTTGCACTCGCCTAGAGCTACAAACTTGGCAACTTAGGTTGATTGAAACTTTTAGGCGTTCCTAGAGAAAGAGTTAAAAGAAGAAAAAAAAGTGAGAGAGAAAATAGAAAGAGCAAAAATAGGTGTAGAATGACGACGCCTTCAAACTCGTCTCTCTAACTACTTCAGTTGTCGATGTTTGCACCTTTGTTTCGTTTCTACAGAAATGAGAAATGGAAGACCACGATGATGCCTGCCGACTTTCTCTTTCTCCTCCATTTGTCTCTGTCTTTCTTTGTCTCTTCTTGGTTTTATGTCAATTCAACATAGATAGAATACAATACATTTATTCTTTTGTCTATTAAAAACTATTCAATTATAGATGGCTAATTATTTTCATCGTGTCCGTTAAATATGATTTTGTTTCATAGCTAATCATTTTTATTATTTTCCGTATTTTCATCTAACAATAAGTGTTCTTTCTATTTTAACAAGATTATTCTCTTGTAACTTTTCTTTTTCCTTTTCTTTCATTGTTCGTTTCTATCACATAGAAGTAAGTGCATCTCTTTGAATTGCACTAAACGTTTCAACGAAAATAGTAGCGATGCACCAGTTGTCAGGAAGTAACTAATGACTCTGGACTCCTCGTCCTTCCGTCTTTAAATGCACGTACAACCGGTTTACATTTTTTTCTACAACTCGCGTAGACACGAAACCGACAAAGTGAACGATTCAATTGTCGTTAGCAAACTTATCTCCAAGTTTCGACGTAAAGTCATTCATCTTCTTTTATAAATCTTTTCCGTTTTTATTTGACAAACTTGAAATTCAAAAAGACGTAATTGTTGGCGCAATATTATCGCCAAATTGATTCCTCGGACAATAGAAATTGTAATTTTCATTAATAATAAATACACATAAAAGCAAATGAACATTGTTTAGTTTAAATAATGAATAGGAATAGTAAACACAATAGTGGTATTAAACTAACGTGTCCGGATCGTTTCCGTAATAGGTTGGTAACATTAACAGAGCAAAACGTTGATGATATAAATCACGATCATCGTACAACACCATAAAGATATATCTTTACGAGTAGATTCATTGCAACGAAGCATGATCTGGTTACTCGACGATATTCCACGATACATGAGATACCATTCTAGCGTACTATTATCCACTAATACGTGCATACCACCTATGTAACATAGTAATAATGTGTGTGTGTGTGTGTGTGTGTGTGTGTGTGCGTGAATGTTCGAAGACACGAAAAGCGCCATAAAAGATAGAGAAATGCTATTAAGAAAGAGAGTAAAGATATTATTTTTGCAGTTAAAATAAATCTTTCTATTTCTCAGTCGATAATGCCACTCTCAACGTTACTTTATCTTTCATTTTAACGACAATTTTAAGCATAATTCTCTTGATAATAAATATGTAAGTATGTAATGAGTCAAATAATCGATCACCATGATGATTTTTCGTGGACGAAATGAATACTAATATATATGATTGTAATACTTTAACCATATACGATATACATATATGTTGTATATGTCATGCTTGAATTTAAAAATAGCACGATTGAATTTTTGCCGATGTAAGAGCTCCCCCGTGTGGGTCTATCGATCGTCCGCCATTTTTACTCTTCTCGATGATGTCCGATATCGTTTTTAACGCCGAATGACATCGATCTTTGCAACAATGTATTCTCGTCTCCGAGTATCATATAACATATGTATATATAACATATATAATATTTGAACATGAGAAGAAAAGCTTGATACGCGTTTAGATTTGTGGTTTCACGCGTGTGCTTTCGCCTATTTTCGTGCGGTTTTATACGTTACTGGTTGTGACGATGATTGCGGTTAAACCGAGATATCCTTCCGTTTAACATCTCTTCCCTGAATCATCTCTATCCTGATATTAAATCAATCTTGCCATTTTCTATATGACCTGTCAAAATTGACACCTCCTCCCTCTTTTCCATTTATCTTCTATTTATTCGTTTTCTTAAATAAATACAAAAATTACAAAATCTTTTTGAATGAATTCGTTTAGAAGAGTAAAGATTCAATTCGCTCGCGTCTTTTCAAGTCTTTTCTTCAACTTTTCAAGTCCGCAATGAAGCTTCTTTACTGCGAGAAGTATTCAAAAAAGGAACAAAAAGAGAACAACAAAAAAAAGCAAGATACTACGTCTCTTGTTTCTCTTTTTGTGAAAAGAAAATAATGGCCATCCTTAAGAAGGAAAGAGACAAATTTTCGTGAATACAATATAAGATATACAGTAATATTAAACAAAAGTATGAAGCCGAACAATATTTACGAGCTTGAAAATAATAAAACATTGATCATTTTGCAATGATGCTACTTTTTTTTTGTCCTGAAATTGGATCTTTACGTACGTAATTTGAAAAGTTTGTAAAATTGTAGCTTATCCTATCTCGTTGGTATAGTCGTTAAAAAGAGATGGCGAGAACAAGTAGTAATGGTTACTTCGTCGGCCTGTTAAAAGAGAATAACGGTTAAAGTTTCACCTTTGTATATTTTCTCTCTAACTAAACTCGTATAGTTTCTTACGCATAAATGAATATACTGATTTTATTCTAAATTGGAAGAATTCTTGACTTTTGATTGATCAGATTGATGAAAATACGTATTTACTTAGGTACGTAGGACAATCGATTGCAAAGGGTCACCGTGTATATTGGCATACGCTTGAACCACCTATTGTTCCTGTTAAGGTCGTAAGCTCTAGCTTTGGTAGTAGGTACGCGAATCGCGTGGTGCATCGATCATACGTAATACACAGTAGTCGAGAATCCTTCTCAAAAACGAGGTCGTACTACCTATTCCCCAGCTCATTTATTTATCCTATTAATGCTTATATGATACTTCTTTTATTTCTAACAATTTTTCCACTTGCCCACACAAATCTATTATACGATGCATACGAACAATTTTATTTAGCTTCGTTAAATATTAGATTACCTTACATTGTATTACCTCTCATTCAAAATTCAATCATTGAAGATCCATCATTAAGCGACGTAAGCTAACGAACAATCGTCGTAATACTTTCAAAAGTGCACGCGCCTGCAGTCTTTCAAAAGTCACAAATGTGAAACCTTTCAAACCTATTTATTGTAATAATAATATTTTCATTTAAAGGAAAATTGTCTATCTTTGAAATTAAAAATAAATTTGAACGGGAACGTATTAGCATTCTCGTCGAACGAATGCATTTCATGCATTAACGAAAATTAGAATCCTGCAGCAAGGACCATTTAACGGGAACGTTATTTTGGAAAGAATGAAAAGAGGTAAATAGATAGCCCACGTAAATTGTTACGAACTGTCTACACCGTAACCGTCACATATTACGTAGATATGCTGGCTCAGAGAATTCGCTTATTTTTTTTACATTAAATGGAAATTGAATTTTTAATAGAAAAGTAAAAAACAGAAAATACAATGTCACTTAATATTCTTTACAAATATTTTTATCGATTCTAATAAAAGATCTTGAAAGAGTTATTCGAAGAACTATCATTTAATATAAAAGAAAATCGGTGTGTGTGTGTGTGGTTGTATTATAACATCATTCGATAGGAATAATTTGTAACATTTTATATGGATCGCCTATAATACGTAGTATATAAAAGGGAAAAAGGAAAAAGAGAGAAAAAGAAAGAGAAAAATGATAGTTTACGAGTGGAAACCGATAGTATACACTCGTGTTTTCCTTTCATTATTACCACAGCAAAGCAACGAAAGTCTTTTTCTGCCCACGCACGCACACAGAGAGAGAAAATATATTCTCTCATCTCGGGCAAGGAAGGATCTTGCAATTGGAGAAACCGTAGCGCGAATAACACTTTTGCTGCGTGATGCTTTAGAAAGGGAAAAAGCAGATCGGCGTAGAACAGAAAGAGCGTAAAAGAAAGAAAGGGAAAGAGAAAGAGTTGAAAATGAAAAGAACGTACTTCAGGTTTACCAAGCCCTTTCAACTTTCCCAGCTCGAGAACATTCTCCATACAGACGACTCGTTACGATTTAATGAACCAACGGGCAGCTTTCAAATTTCCTAACGAATTGTTCGCCGTCCGTAAAATTTTTACGGTGGTCCCTGATCCTGACAATTATTAGATTGTATTTTTATATTTAATACAAAATATTATATTTATTAGAAATCATTTCTAAACGTTATGCTTACAGTGTCCCAAAAGAAACAAATTAAAACAATACGTAAAATCTATATACAATATTCTGTTTTTCTTCTTTTTCTTTCGAGATATGAATCTCCAGTTGCAGTATTATTAAAAAATGATATAATTGCAAGATGATACAGCTACAAATATTTGACAGACAAAAATCTATATAAATTGAATGAATGAATTAATTGACTATTACTATCGTATTAGGCAAACATAAGAAGTAACTATAATTGGGTGTCTATTAAAAGACGAACTTGACCCTTTTAAATACGATTAATCAGGTTTGTAGAAAACGCGTACACGTATCTCCCCTAACTCTCCTTCCCCATCTCAACGTTTTTCCATCTTACGTAAATTCCACTACTACATAAGGCTTCATCACCGACACTTCGGCAACGAAGACGGCAAGGGATGAAAACGATTAGCCAAATTCTCTAAACTTTAGGAACCTTTCAAACGTTTCTTTTCATCTTCGAAAGGAACATTTTTATACTCCGAATGGTATCAATGAAATTCAAGCTATTCAAATTGACTATTGCATCGGGTCCAGTAAAGTTTCTTCGTATTTTAATGTCGCTTTTACATTAAAAAAGTTTTTTCATATTTGGTATCTAACCTTCTCCAAATGATTTCAAATTGTTCAGCAAAGTGCATTTTGCATGTCAAAATTTTCACATGTATCAATTTTAAAACGTTAAGACAACTTTTGATTTTATTTAATTGCATGTCGCAAATATCGCCTGATCCGATTTATATTACTTAAGTTATACTTTCGATCATTTAAATGTAGATCTTTATAAAGAGAGAGAGAGAGAGAGAGAGAGAGAGAGAGAGAGAGAGAGAGAGAGAGAGGAAGAAACGATGTTGACGATTCGAGTTGATTTAAACATTTAAACTGAATTTTTAGGAAGGAAAATAAAATGACGTAAAAAGTTAAAAGAAAGATTGTTTTTTTTCGAAAGGAAAAAGGGGTAAAAAAAAAAATCTGGCACTGGTTAAAAGCTTCGCTATCAGCTGGCGATGTTTAAGAGAAGAAAAAGAAATAGAGAGTATGAAGAATAGAAAAGGTGGTTACTTTTCATTCTTTTTGGCCAACTCAACCGTACGTCATACGATTCTTCTACTTACTTTTTCTTCCTCCTCTTCGACGCCGTGAGAAAAACGACGACTTCTTTTCTAAATTCTGCCAAGATAGATTTATCTCTTGAGAGAGAAAGAATAGGAAAGACCGATAGAGAACATTCGTTAATGCGATTCCTTGAACGTTCCTTTTACTCTTTCGGAAGAAAACTAATATTCGACCAAAAATATTTATATACGTTATAAAATAAACTTATAATTCGTAAAACTTTATTATAATAAAATGAGTAATCTGTGTGTGACATGAAAATTTGATATAGCACAACTTAGAAATAGATTTTCGAGCTATAGAAAATGCATACTTGATGGAAATTGATTACTCCTATGATTCTAATCACCGGGATAATGGAGAGTTCTAAGTTTTCGTCGCGTTAGCTAATCCAACTGATGCAAAAAGATAAATTATAAGTGCAACTTACTATGAATACGTTCGTCGATTTGAGCCTGCAACATATTGAAACTCGAGCTTGGTTGATAAGGCTGTTGATCGCGAAAACCACCACAGGCAAACTGATAAAAGTCTTTGCAAGGATCCACGCCTCTTTTCATTGAAGCCAAGATCCTTTTGGAGGCTTCCATGCAGGCCTTCGATTCGCAAATGCCATCCGGACCGTCTCGTTCTCTGATACAGGCCTCGTCCTAAAACATTCGTTATTAATTCATTCACATTTGTCTATACCATTTCTGTTAAAACATTATTTAACTGCAATTTCTTATTTTAATTAATAATTACTGTCAACCTGATGACTTTCTTTTAATTATCTTTTCAAAAATAGAATTTAATACGATTTGGACTATCTTATTTTTCTATTTTTGTTGACTTGTCAATTTGAATTAATTGGATTTATTGATAACTAATAAAAAAATAAATATAAAAAGAAGAGAGTCTGGATAAAATGAATCAGTATTGAAAAACGCACCAACACGATGATATCTTTTTTAAGAGAGAACGCATCGTAGATTTATTCACGAGATCGATCCATTCGATGAATCGTAAGACTATTCAAACGAATTCGTTCCTCGTTATATTAGTAAGAAGAGAAAGAAATGAAATAAAAAGCAAATAAAAGAGAAGACAAATTCAATTTATAAGGTAACAAAATAAAATAGACTCTTCCAAAAATTTGTTTCTTACATTAGTAGTAAGAACAAAGGTCAGGATGAAGGGTAAAGCTCTGATCTCGGTCGAGATTGACATTTGCCTCGAAACCTTACCTTGGAATACGGCTTCGGCATGGTCTAGCACGTGCTATGTTTTAACTATACATCTAATCATTTCTAACAAAATGTACATTATTTATAAATTCTATGACTAACAATAAACTATTATTTCTTTAATACAAAATTACGAGTATAATAACTGTAAGATATTACAATAGAAACATAAATGATTATCACAATTGTTACTAAAAATCTTTGTAGAAAATCATTCAATACTTTATTCATACATACATATTTGAAAGAAATCAATCATATAGAATTTTGGAAGTAACCAACTATTGTATTTGTAAGTTGTCAATGAAATCATGGCACGTTAATCGAAATGATCGATAACGATCGTATGTGCTACTTCTCATAGACGGTATCGTTCAAAAGCATTTCGATTGTTCCCCAGTCATTTGTAAAGTAACATCGAGGTATTGTATACTTTCGATCGATAACGTTACGCAATCGGAAGTAGGAAAAGAAAACAAAAAAAAAAGAGAGAAAAAGAATGGGAAAATATTTCCCTACCTATCTGTTAATTCCCAACTTTAGAATTGGCGATTTGGAAAAATGGTTAATCTCATTGAAAATCAGTATAAGGAAGCGGATACTTTTAAGGAGAAAAAAAGGAGGATGGACGACAACGGAAGGCGTGTAATAGCCATCTTATCAGCAAAAGGCTTAGAGTTATCTTACTATGGTTTCACGATCAACAGTAAGCAACTCGTAATTCAGTTAAAGGTCCTTGAGTGAAATTTACGGTATAATGAGCAGACTATGTGTAAAAAGGAAAATGCATTTGTAATATATATTAGAAATATTATCATCATATTTAGAAATATTTATCATCTATTTTTATTTCTAAACTTTTTGATCAGTATATAATAATAAAAATAATTCTCCCCTGGAATTTGAATTATCGGAATAATTTGACAAATATAATTAATTCGATAAGAAGGTCGATTTAATTGAACATTATTCCTCGTTTGAAAAAGAAGTTAAAGGAGCTCTTTCGAATCTATGGAGGACAGTATTATCCACGGCTATGTTTCGTACGGTCGAATAAACGATGGATTATAGTCGAGAAAATGAGTTTTCCTCGATGTGCTCGTTCGTGTTTGTTCGTGAATTTGCGAAAAGGTTGGAGGTTCAAGCAGTACACCACCACCACCACCACCACCGCCACCACCACCACTAGCAACTAGGCACACCCGGGCTTGAATCCTGAACTAAGCGTAGGATGGTACCTCAATTTCTCTTACGTGAATATAAAAATACAATGGCAGATGCGCGAGCAAACTATTATTTTAGATCTCTATTTCGAAGACGTGTTACATGTTCGATATATCTGTGCTAGGGTTTGTTTCCAAAAAAAAATTGCGTTAAAAGAAACGAAAGGACTGATTTAGAAATCGATAGCAGCTTATCATCTTTCATCGAGTTTTTCTTTCCCGTAGAGTCTATCGTTTTCTATCGAGATACCTAACCAGAATTATGCGGGCGGAAATATGATGCTGTCAGTTTGGAATTCTCCCTGCCATTTTGCAAATCTCACGCCTCGTTTGTCACGAAAGATATTCCTGAAAATGGAAGCCAAAACTCCAATGACTCTTCTTCTCTTTATCACTTTATCTTCTTTTGTTCTTCACTGGTCAACGATATAAAAAGGTGTTTTACTTGACTAAACGATTTTTCTACATTACATTTTTCGATGATATCTATTTTTATAAATGTTTACTGGAAGATTAAAATCGTTTGGCTCGTTGCTTCACTCTATGCGATAGAAAATAGAGATCTAAGGCGATCGAGAGTTCGGATAAGTGTCATATAATTGTAAGACAGAAGAATATTTATGGAGAAATATCTTTTATCGAAGTATCTTTATCGAACATTTTGATAATAATCAGATATAGGTAATACAAAAAAATATGTGAGAACGTAAAAGATAATAGTATTAGGATTGAAAATGCAACTCACCAATGGCGCGCAATCGCGCGGTTGTTCTCCTTCGGGTAGAGTAGTGATAAGAAAGAGAACAGGACTAGTGACAAGTAGACTGGTAACGAGTAACATGGCAAAGGTAAGCAAGGCCTTGTGCACGGCTTTACTTTTCCTAAGCCAATAACACGGAACACAGCAAATCCAAGTTCCTTGTTGAGACGGTCTGTCAACGTGTAGCATTGGTTCGTCTTGAAGGGCCTGAACTTCTTCGGGCGAGGCAGTAGTACCGGGGGTGCCACCTCCACCAGTCCCTGGCCCCCCGCCGGCAGTCTGCTGGTGAGCGTGGCCATGCGTCTGGGCCCCAACGAGCGGGCCAGCTCCTCCTCCCCCAGTAGCCCCGCCAGCCCCGCTCCCTGGAGCGCACAAAGTGCGGGGACTTAATGGCAATCTCACGCTTGCCTCTCCTCTCGATCTTTCGAATCGACCACTATCTCGAGCACCGCAACTTTTGCTGCTTCCTAAGCCACTACCAATGCCACCTGCACTACCACCTGCACCAGCACCTGCACCACCACCTACACCACCACTACCACCGACACCACCACTCCCGCTATTGCTACTATTACCAACACCAGTACCACCTACACCACCCCCGCCACGGGCCCCACGGCCCCCGTAACCTCGGCTCACCGTGCACAGAGCCACATTTGCCGGGTTCCTCGGAACCTTCCCTCAATATCCTCGTCCTTCGATAATCTAGGATCGACCCCCGCCACCTTTTTGATAGATCAACCTACGCTGATCCAATGATATCATTGAATATCTCTTTCTATGTCTTCTTCTGCATAGATTCCGATCTGGAATCATAATCATTCCTATTATTTGTTCATTATTCACTAGTCTACGAATCCTATTTCCACGTATTATAATATACCGATCACTAGTATGTTTTTATTACTGAATACATTTATGTACGCTTCGATGCTCATTGATGAACACGTATGTTACTAACTGTGACAGAATAATCGCATCAATTTAACTCTAAGCGTAAAGCTTATTTCAGATTGTATTATTTTTCGATAACTCGAAATACAATTATATCGACTATTTTCGTTCTCAATGAATTTCATATAATTATATCTTAACTAATAATGAAAGGACACAAACAGATACTGAAAAGAAAGAAAAAAATGTATGCAGAGATATTACGGGGACTCGAAAAAGGAACGTTAGCACACATTTGCGATAGAAACGTGCAAAGAATTAACAAGACGAAAAGTGCTTCACAAAATACCGAATTGATAAATGTATAAAATTAAAAATAATATATATGAGTTTCAAAGGGAAAATTGAAGACAGTTAATAAATTTTGATGAACAAATTTATTTGATCTTGTTGAACGTTTCGTCCCTTACTGGGGACTTCCTCAGCAACTACAAAATTTTTTTTTTTTTTTCTTTATATTATTTTATAATTATGACTTGTTAAAAAGATATATAAACATTACAATAAATAAATAAATAAATAAATAAACTTTAAATTTTTTACCTCGATCACCTAGTTCACGCGTCAATACATATTATTTTAGAGTCATACATTATAATAAATTAATTAATCCTAAACAACCTTACATCATATACTGTATATGATTACATGTGACGAAGTAAGGTTGTTTAGGATTAATTAATTTATTATAATGTATGACTCTAAAATAATATGTATTGACGCGTGAACTAGGTGATCGAGTTGCTGAGGAAGTCCCCAGTAAGGGACGAAACGTTCAACAAGATCAAATAAATTTGTTCATCAAAATTTATTAACTGTCTTCAATTTTCCCTTTGAAACTCATATATATTAATATACTGTTGGGACAAGAATATTGATTATTAATTAAAAATAATTTTAAACGCATATAAAAGATGAATAATATATCCAATCATGCTATACTTATCATAATATTCTAAAAATATTATATAGATATGTAATATAATGCATATATATATAGATACATACATATGACCTTTTGTTTTGGAAGACCTCGTTCTCAATGGTTATTTATTGCAATGCGTCGACCTATCAGGCATCGTTAAAATGGAACAACGGCCGGAACACGGGACGGTTTTCGCATACTTCGAAGGAACAATTTGCTTTTGGTAAGCTATAATTCTCTCTCCTTCTCCCTCTCTTTTTCTATTTTTATACCGATAAAATTTCTATTATCTTACCGAATTTATATTTAAATCTCTCGAATAGTTGGTACGTTGGAATGAAAAGAATCGAGCAATTCTTCATCGTCAAGAATAAAGTAAGATGAATTTGATCGATGAGGACGACTCCATAGTTGGTTCGTGAGTAAGTGAAATTAAGGTTTCTCTATTACAAATCGATCATGAGAGAAAGAGGAAAGGAGAAAAGCAGATATTTTCATCTAGATCGAAAATGTTTACCTGCTGAAAAGAAATTTCGTGTTATCGTTAGGATCGAATATAACTAAACTCTTGCGAATTCTATAGAAAATATCGTTAAATCTAACTATAAGTGTCAGAAGTAGAACAATCTAATTTTTATAATATTAGATTATAACGTAAGTGCAATAGCAAGTAATAATATTTTATCTATTAGATCGAACTTATTTATTATATATAAAAAAAAAGCCCAAAGAGATATAATTTAATAAATAATAAATTTGCGCTGCAATAAATATATTCGAATAAATATGTATTACGCGAAAATAAAATACAAATGTTTTCTTAAAAAGGAATAGATGCTGGTACATATATTTAGAAATAAACGCATACATATATATGCGTCTATATATATAGACATGTATTACCGAAGTGCATATAAAAGACACGCTCGTAGTATTAAAGATGAAAAACAAAAGCAAGGAAGTCTGAACATCGCGGAGAGATGAGTCCTCGTGTTCTGAATAAATAATTCTCTACGATTTCAAAGTACATATATACAAACGTACACCCTAACGTTCGATCGAGAAATTTCTGTGGAAAATTCTCGATCGGGTGGATTTCTCTCTGGAAAAATAGTCAAGTTTAGGTCGTAAATCATTCGTTTACTCTTTGCTTAGCTACACCAGTGTATCCCTGTGTGTATCAACGATCGAACCTTTCGAATCTTTTGTTTCCCGCTTCTCTGTTATATCTTTTTTTTTTTTTTTCATTTCTCTTTAACTCAAATGCAAGGGTGCAAAAGATAAAGAGAGAGAGAGAGAGAGAGAGGAAGGGAGAAAAATGAAAGAAAAAAATAGAGAAAACTCAACGTGTTATATTTTATATGACCATGTATTGGTCCGTTCGTGTTATTAATAGTACAACACGCGACCGATCGGTATATTCTCGTATTGCTTTTTGTTGCTCGTATAAAAATACTCGTGGGTGACGTGAGATTACATTTTCCAGTCGACGGTGTACGTGATCGAGAGAGGAAGAGAGAGAGAAAGGGATCGAGCGTAAAATGCGTTGTTGTAAATGCAAGATAATCGTGAAAAGAAGCACTCTTCTCCCTTCTTCTCCATCTCTCTCTCACACACACATTTTCACCCTGCTCTTAGATAGCCTCTCTCTTTCATATTCTCTATACAACCTTCACTCTCTCTCTCTTTTTTTATCCCTCGCGTCTCGCAGATCTCGAGACCTAGTTTCGCGCGAAAAAGTTCTATCTTCTCGAAGTTGACGATCCGGAGAGTGCAAAGAGCGGATCCTTCCTACCGCGTTCCTTTTCCTTTGGATTGATTGAGAGAGAGAGAGAGAGAGAATGTTCATATTTTTTTGTATCTCCGTTTTTTATTTTTCGCTACCTCGCCTCGTACTTTTTCGTCTTATTCTTATCGCCAAAAGTTTCGTTTTATTCGACGATTCGAACGGAGAACTAACGAAACTTCTACCTTCTTATGAAATCTTCCGACACCATTTTTGTAATCTTTATTGTAAACTTTTGAAAAGTTACAAAAATATGGAAGAAGCAAACGAATACGATTTAATCTGGTAAAAATCTTATCGATTGACTTATATAAAAATTGGTTGTTCGTAAAATTGTTTAAAATTCAGAAAGTAGTATTATCAAAGAGCATCGAGGCAAGAAGAAACTTACTATTCACTAAATGTAAGTGAAACTTGATTAATGAAAAACAGTAAGAAGAAAGTACGTGGATCCATGAAAATAAAAAGTAAGAAAAAGTTCTAAAAGTTCTTCGCGCTTTAACCTACAAACGTGGGAATAAATTTTCTCTATAAAGGCATTATATACATAACTATACCACTTAACATAATTAATTAAAATAGATGGAAAAAAATAATTTTCGTTAGAAATAATTAATGAATGAAATTAATATCGTAAATAATGTTTTGCATCTTACTTTTATTTACAACGATCGGAGTAACACGCCTAATCGTCCTTTTCTTTTTGTCTCTTTTTTTTTCTTTTTCGTTCTTTTCTCGATTCCCCTTTACTTCTCTCTTAGTTTTAATCTTTTTAATATTTCGTATATAATTCACAAATACATATGTATATCGTCGGGTAACTTCACCGAGTTAAATTGAAGGAGAAACATTGTTTGAAAAAAAAATTTATGTAATTATTTAGTTGAATTCGCGTTAATAATTATGATTTATGATGCATTTATGTATCAAGGAAGATGCATAAAACGCGGCACCTGTTCAACGATTCGTGGTAACACGCGGACTGTTAGTCCGAACTGAACTACCGCGCTACCATAGAACGTCTCGCGGTCTCTCCCCCTATTTCCTTCCTCAAACTAGTGCGCAAACTCTTAATATTCAAACCTTTAGCATTATTTAGTATTAATCCTAATCTAATCGAAAATCATATTTACATTTCGTCCTATTAATAACTATTTTTTAGTTCAGTAAAGTGACTGAAAAAGGATACCCAGAGTTTAAAGTTTAATATATGTAAAAAATAAAAATAAGATATTACTTTTCTATGCAATTGAATTGTTCGAGAAGTTAATAGAATATCTTCGTTAATAATAATTAGAATTTGATCTTAATCGTGTTAGATATTTAGTAGTCTTTGATAATTTCCGTTTGGAAGAAAATTTGCTTGCAAGGTGCGTCATCGAATACATAAGACACGATTCGATTAAAGCTTTAGTCCCACGCTCGTTATCCTCCCTGTCATCCCTTGTCCTCATCCGAACAAACGGATGATCGTATATTTCAAACGATATTTATTAATCGTATCAATGAATCTCATAAACGCGCTAACATTCTTCTGCCATTTCTAAAATATTCTCCAAACGTAATCGTTCTATAATATACTCCTCAAAAATATCGGCAAACATTTCAAATGAAATATTTTATAGGTATTATTCGTTGGAATAAAATGACGGTAATAAAAAGAAAAACTTTTTGTAAACTACAATAGTGTTCGTTAGAAAAATGTAGAGATAAACGTTAACATTGATTAGAATCAACTGATAAACATTTTCATCGTTAATAACGTTTATATATTATGATCCAATAAAAGCTTCTTGTAGCATTACACATACAAGTCAAATATAAGTACACGCAATTGGTTAAAATATAATTAACTAATAATTCTATTATATTATAATTCTAGATAAATATATGTATAATCGATCGGACCATTTGAAAAGATAGAACTTCGTACATTCTTAATTTGTAATTTATCGATCGGTTGGTTATAGGACGTTTCTATGCAAGGAACTCACGTCATCGTAAAGAGCATACCGAGGTCGAGGTAATGAAACGATCGTAAAAATGATATCTTCGAAAAGAGTGTCCTTCCTTCCTTCCTTCCTTCCTACGTATCGAACGTATAACCATCTTTCCATGTTGGCTAGAGAACAAAGCGATACATATACATATATCTATTATCTACTTGTCTATACATAAGAATACATGTATACGGAGAATATACTTATAAAATATACGCTGGAATAGATAAATGCATAATATACGCAAGAATATAAATATATAATATAACACGTAAAAATACATACATATATATACATACATATATACAGAAAAATGCATTAATACTGAATATAAATATAAAATGTAATATACATTGGAATATATAAGTATATCTAGCAATACATACGTGTAGAATATATATATGTAAGCATCCAAATGAAAATGAATCGCGTGATAAGTTAATTGAGACACTTTAATGATACTTTTGTCCGACTTTGTAATCTTATCGATGCATTATCAAAATTAGTACATCTGAAAGATTTCTAATGAAAAGAAAAGAATTCTTAAAGGGATGCTTCCTTGTAGATTTTTCGAAATCTCTCATAAGCTTTGCAGTATCCTAAGCTTTGTTCTTTTTCGTATAACGTATCAAGAGAAAACTCTAATTTATCATTAATTATGATCACGTCTCAAGCGTACGATTAACGAGAACGTCAATCCTTTGTGTTTTCAAAAGTCACATTCATTTTTTATCGCTTGACTACGTTCGTTGTATGCACCATATATATATATATATATATATATATATACGCGTATGAAGCTGTGGTATGCTTTACGAGAAACTTCGCGTGGTAAAAGTTTAAAGGTTAAAACGTTAATAACAAATTTTGTTTACGCTATCAATATTATTAAAATATTTAGGTGTATATGTGACATACTCTTGCATTACTTTAAATAATAATCTATTGGAATTTAAAAAGAATATTTAATTTCAAGTTATATTATTCGATTATATCACATTTATCACTTACCTTGTAATATTATTCATATTATATGCATATACATATATCCGTAAACTCAACTTACAAAATGAAATTTGTTAGAAGAAAAAAGAATGTAAATTAATTTGTTTAGAAATAAATTTACAAAATATGAAAGTATATTACATAAAAACGATGCAAGCCCCAAAAAATAAACAGTTTATTTGTGTTGTCGTTGTTGTTACTGTTGTTTTTGTTGTCACGTACATTATCTATAGAATAAGGTTTTCGATTAAACTTTCAATTTAACTTTAAATATATAGTATGTATTATTTTTATGTTTATGTATATGTATATATATGTATATCTCTCATAAAACTTTGATCTCTACATCTCTCTAATATACCTACATAAAATTTATCTTGTAAACTTTTTTTGTTAATTCTTTTACGTTTCATGGTGAATTATCTTAAAACGCGAGAATGAAAATAGATATATATTTCTAAATTCTCTTTCTTCCTTCTATCTCTCTCATACATGCATATATTCATACGTATTACAAGTACATACACATACATTAATCCACCCTTTCTTTCTTTTTTTTTTTTCCAATTTAATCCGATCAACGAGCATTAACAAACATTTGCATAATTACAATACGTAACTTAAAATATTGTTTAGATTATCTTATTTTGTAACAATTTATAAATTTTATTGATTTTTTAACGAAGAAAGATCTGGTTCAGAAGTATGTCGAACGGAATAACAAATAATTATGAAAACGGTATTGTCTTACAGATAATAATAGACATTTTTCTTTGTTTTATTGATTAAACAATCAACGTTATGCACAATACAGTAGAACCTTCTTTATCTAAACGTTCAACATTGTATATTATTTTTGAATCGAATGTGTTAAATATAATGTTTTATTTTTTCTAGATAATTAATCGGAAAAAGTTTCAGAGTAATTTATAAAATGATAAAAATCAAATTTTCAAATAATTCGTAATTGTAGCAGATATTTTATAGATCTTTATTTTTGTTATAACAATCCAAATATTGCTATTAAATATTTGTTGACATAACAAATATATTCTACATAGAATTTGTTATTTTCTTCATAATAATGAAAAATAAATTGCAAAATAATTATTTTCAAAACTAAAGTGAGATATTAATGGTTCTACTGTGTAAATACATATGTATTTCATTGATGCAATTTAAGTTAGCTTAAAAGAAGTCCAACGTTTCGTAGGAAACCTTTCATCAGCACCCAACAACTGTATAGCTTAACTTGATAAAGCGTTAGAACAATGTAAACACAGTAAAATGATCTTTGGCCATGAATCCTAGCGAATAGTGTTGCGAAACACTCATGTCAGATTCATAAAGTATAAACTTTGATAAACGCGCGTACAACACTTATATGATATAATATATATACTGCATCTTTTTACAATCTATATATTGTTTTCTCTTTAACCTTTTTAATAAATCGTTGAGTTACTCAAGCAAAAGCGAAAATTTATGTTTTAAAATATGCTATAAATAAATAACATTCTTTCATCTAATTGGTCCATGCGTACAAACATCGGCGCTTTTTTGAGTTTTCGATTCGTTACGTTTCTGTTTTTATATAATAAAATCGAATGTTAATTAAGAGATTTTGCCATTACCGAAATCTAACAATTTCGTTTCTAATGTAAGATAATCTACGATCGAATTTATTAGAATTAACAATTGTATAATTATAAATTAATGTAATGATAATGAAATATTTCAATGTTTCAGGATATGAAAATACACGAAAAACAAACTAGAAAGAAATAATTACGAATTGCTTATATCATTTTAAAAAATGGCGAAACCCCTTAATCTAAAATTCGGTAAAATCGTAAACTTGTTACTATTATAATAGTTTGTGCAAAATAGTAAGATAGATTTATGGATCATCGTCGATATGTATGCTGGTCCTTTTTTTCGGTAATTTTCAACAAATACAAACAATATAGTAGATATGCATACACGTTATTTGGAAAAATTCGTGCGTTTTAATAGGATTTCTTAATGAATTATTTTGTATTATTTTGATTTAATTAATTATTATACCATGATTATTATAGTTGAATTAATTTTATTTTTACTATCTTTTTTTTTGTACTTATTATTTGAATAATATGATCGAAAAAGGACAAGAAGTATTGATCGGTAAAGAAGAATATAAGCGATATTTTATATGTGATTAATTAAATACACAATTATGTTTTTTATACAGGTTGAATCATACTATACGTTATATTAATTTTAAGAATTTTTTCTATAGTAATGGTTTCTAAAGATTCTATCTTAATCTTGCATAATTTAAAAAGATGTTTATGCATGTAAAATGCGTATTCCATAGATAATCTTTTTAATTAAGAATTTTTGTAACCCTTTGCAGACGTCGCAAATTGCCAGATCAGAATTTTTATTTCATTTTAATTGTTAAATATATATGTGCCAATCTCAACCACAGCGATATGTTTTCACTGTTGTTCGTCGGCCAAATTGATGGTTTAGAAAAAACATATACATACGTAGTCCGCAAAGGGTTCAATATACGGTTCATTCTGTGCATTTAACATGCAAGATACTAAAACCTTTGTCAACGATACATTTATATTTAATCTTATATAAGTATACGAACAATTATAATAAGAAACAAAATAATACAAGAAAGCATTTTTCATGTATCGAATAAAAGATAGTCTTAAAATCGTGAAAATAAATGTATGAACAAATGAACTTATCGATAAATGGATCGCCAGCGATCATTTGAATAAGAACAACTAAACTATTCTTCGTTAAAATGTTTAAAATTAGATTTAGTTTATAACTCGAACATTGGCACACATGGACCAACAAAGATTTTCTATCTTTATTTTTCATTGTATCATACAATCTTCCTCTCACAGTAACATCTCGCACTGGTAATCATTACAGTCGACTCTAAAGACGCCAGGAGACCCTGATAAGGAACAAATTTAATGTAATATCTCTGTTAAAATTGTTGGACGGGCTCGTTGATTTAACACGAGCACGACTTTCTTTTATACAATAAATTATTATTGTTCCCAAAAAGACTACTACGCGCGTCAGGCTCAAATTCGCTCGACATTGGAATAGAATAAATCAAATTTCATTGTATTTTATTACATACATATTATTGATTTTCGTGAAATTTCAATTTCTTTCCCCATTTATATATAATTCCCAATCATTCTTAATATATATTTTATTTGTTTCGTAAGAGCCAAAAACGCGCGTTTGTGACATATGTATGTGTATATTCTTTTGCATTATTTTCTTTTTAGTAATACTAGTAATAGCATTATAATTATTATTATTGTTGCTGCTTTTGTTATTGTTACTTTTAACGTTTCATAAATCTATTCCATATTTTGTGTGTACATTGGATAAGTAAATTTTGTTCTTTCTTTTTTATTTTTTCTTTCGTTTAATTTATTATTCCTCGTTTGTCGAATTTCATCGGGTTTTTAATGTTGAAAATTCTCTTTTAAATTTAGCTCCAGAAAATGTTCGTGCGATTGAAATAAAAATAAAAAAAAGCTGTTTCATTGTTTCGTTTTGCAAGCTTGAAATAAATGAAAAAGTATATATGTGAAATGAGATAAAGGAATAATTGATGCTTAATAGCACGCGCGTACATACGCGAACACACGAACGCAAAAATAAAAGAATAATAAATCAAATTGTGGAAATTTATTTCGCGTAAACATTTTCAAGATTGAGCGGCCATTATGAATGTCGGTCGTTTATCGTTACATCGCGTTTGAACGTTCCTCGTGAGCCTTTTTCACGATTGCCAATTTCGAATACGGATCTGCAGCTGGTAACCCAGTGTATGGTGGTTCTCTGGTACCGTGTAACATCAATGTCCATTCTCTAATCCAACCATGCTGCGGTACTTGCGAATTTAAACTAACCTGAAATAGAATATTCTTGTTATTGTAAAGAAACTGCCGACATGAAATACAGATGTAACGTAATAAGTTTGAAGGCAATACACACGTCCACGTACAATAATGATTTCATTACGTGGAAAAGTGATTCTCAATGATATCATTTTCAGTGATATTACCACATAATTTATCTGACATATTCGTATGCGTCAGACGATACTCTAAAAAGATTGAGAACCTTTTGTATAGTGTAATAAATTATCTTTATCGCGCGGCTTATTATTTATAAAAAAATATTCAAATGTAATATTTGTTGATATAAAATATAAGGTCGTATCACTCTTTTTTGTGAAACGTCCAGTACAATTTTGTAAAAGCATTTTCTTGTACACTTTACAAGGAAGCCTCTGCAATAGCACGAGATCTTAATCAAAAATACAAGACGTTTAACTTTTGACCTTTCGAATAAAGAAACAGAAAAATCGTACCTCTAATAACCAAGTTCCTTGAGGATATTCGCCCCAAGTATGAGTTGTCATAAACGGCCATTTCGTAAATCCATCTCTGCGATCGTCGTCGTTAATTCTGCGACTTAATATCATTGACCTATAAAAAAGTTCAACAATTCGATAAAAATGATAATCGAAATTATCGCAATGAAACATTAAACGCAAAAGGGAGGGGGGAGGAAGGGTAACTCACTGAGGTAAACCAAAATGGTTGAACGCGTTCGTTTGTAAAACCGCAAAATGTGGAAACCAAAATACATTTGTTTTTTACATTTGTACATCTGTAAATGTGATCTAAGACGACATACCTAGTTCCCATCGGTGAAGTTAGAAACAACTCGAGGTCTCCTCGACGGGTCGCATTTACGGAAATAACGGCTTGAACATGCTCTAAGTAGTTAACAGCATATTCCGTACCAGCACAAGCGTCGGTCTTGATTTTCAACAGTACGGAACGTTCATTGGTAACTTTCCTGCAAGTATAAACGCGTGGGAAACAAATGTTATCGAACTTGTTCGATCAATTAGAAAAAAAGAAATCGTTAAATACTTTTATTACTTTTTATTCTCAAAGTTGCTCTTTAAATCGGTGATGTTAATTCTCAATGCGATTATTATTTTGCTAATAATAATATATATTTAGCCAGTTTGGTAATGAATTTAAAAAAAGAACAATAGATTAACGCTGCTTCGTAATTCTATTGTATTATTTCTTATAATTTTCTATTTGAAACATTGATGAAATGGTTGGAAAGAGATAGTAATTGGAGAAAATCCCTAACACACCAAAATAACACCTAATTACTTCGAAAGCGTTGGATGAGCGAAAGCTAAAATAAACCCAACGTTTTGCAGAGAGAGATAGCAAGTCCCTTTAGATCGATACTCGACGGTCCGTAAATAATAACATTATTACGCTTTAATTTGATTGGTACGTTGTTCAATAAATCCAAAAGAAAATCTTTTTTCAAAGGACAGAAAGAGATAAAAGTAGATATACGAACATTCGTTGTTCGCGTTTATTTTATTTTCATTTTCATCATTTTCTAAGGAAACCTAAGTTAATCGCTTAAATCAAAAGAGAAACTCTATCTCGAGAGATTAGATACTCCTCGCTTAGAAAGCCTACAAATCAAAAAACGCATATTTTCTCTTCCCGAAAAAAAAAAAAAATTTACAAAATCGCAGAATATTGTTCTTATAAGATAAAGTAAAAATTGTACTTACTGTGGTTCGATGACGGAACCGGCTTCACAGTGATACCTAGGTGGTACAGTTTTCCACTTTTTAGCCAAAGCCACCATAGCGCCTGCATCAAGAACACCATAACCAAAAAGATGATTAAATTCTAGTCCAACACCGTTCATAGTCCAATGAAATCGTCCTTTAGCATCGAACAATGAATTCCTTTTTGAAGTCAATACCGTTAAGTGTTGAATGTCCCTCCAAGTCAACTGTGAACTAATGCCAGCGACTCGTTAAAGTGTTCTCTTGAAAAATATTTTAAAAAAATAGTTGGCTTTCTAATATGTGCGAGGAAAAATAAACTTTGTCAAACTAACTTTCTCAATATAATATTGTTTCCTTTCTAAACAAATATAAATTACGCCGCATTATAATATTATGAGTGAAAACAAAAGTTGGAAACCATTGAAATCCAACAATAAGAAATTTTCATTAAAAATTTCATTTCATTATTCAATATTTTATATAACTATACATGCATATACATATATATTTCGAAAGTTGAATTCTTTAATATATAAAAAGAATTTGGATCTCCTATACCATAATAATTATCGCTAATTGAATCTATTATTACTGAGTACGCATACGCGTTCGATGGAAAAAGACAAATTTATATTAATTGCGTGTTCAATGCGATTGTCGCAACGTAGCTCGTCGATGTATTAACAATTTAATATAATTTATAAAAGCCCTTCTACGTATCTATATAAATTTTAATATCTTTTTAAGGGAATGATTAAATCGAGTTACAATTTTAATGACGAATTTAATCTATTTCAAGGTAAAACGAATGTTTCACATTTAATGGCTTTCTTTATATTTTTCTAAGGAAAAATATTAAAAAGCATTGGTAAACTTACTTGGCTTCGAGGGCGAGAGCAAATACCCCAGCAGCTTCCGGCGCCGCAGCTGATGTTCCACTATGAGTCGTCGTACATTTCCCATAAAGATCAGTTGTAGCCTAAAAACAATGCCAGGAATGTTGGTAATTTTATATCAAAATTCAACTTTGATTATTGTTTACTTTGAAAAAAATGTCAGGTTTGACTAGAGTGAGCAACGAGTCAATGAATTGAAACTAAAAAAGGGAGTATGAATAAAGTCTATGTGGGAGGAAAGATTGAGAGTTGTGGCCAAGTAAAGCTATTAGAGGAATTGATCGATCCTATTAAAATATGTCTTTTGAGTTTTAACCGACAATTCGTTGACATGTATCGATGAGTAAAGGAAATTATATTTCATATATATAAATGATTGAAAATGATAAAATTCGCCACGTGTAGGCGAATTATAGATATTATTTTCATCCCACGTAAATTGTTCTGCTTTCTTGATATTTATTTAGATAAAATAATAAAGCAAATATAGACTATAATCTATCTTTAGTACGATACCAAAGGTACGATTTGTAAACGTGTGCAATATGAATTGTGAATTGCGTATATTAAAATAATAGAAATTATTTGTACTAACCACACCCGTGTTTGGATCTTTGGCGCCATTACTAAAGGTGGAAGCTAACGTACTGGAACAACTTTCGTCATAATGAGCGTTTTGACCATCGTTAATAGCACTGTTTATGCTCACAGTCCACATACTCGCTGCGTATCCATCGCAATTACAGTCGTCCTGTTCGCCTCCATCGCCAGAAGCCCAGACATAAATATTCCCTAAACCTTGTCTACCCTGGGAATAAAATGTTCATTTTCGTACTGAGAAAATCAAGACGGAGAAAGAATTGCGCTAAATGTCATGGTTCAAATAAAAGAACAGAAAGGATGTCATTTCCCACGGAAACTAATTTCCTTCGAAAAAAGTTGTATGCGTTTGTAAGAAATAATCAACGAGCTCTAATCACAATTTTCTTCTTACTCTGCGACGTTCTAACGTTGAAAATATTTGCTCGTACTCCTGAGAAATCGATTGGTCTGACCACGTCGTAATTCTAACCACAGAGAGAACTTTATTTATTTTTCTCTTTAATTCTTTCTTTTTCATTGATACGACTCAAATGACTCTAGGATGTTCGTTCACAAAAGGAAAACCCACAATCGTAACTTTTAAAAAGATATATAAAACTATGTACCTACGTATCTTACTCATAAAATAAAAAAATGATTCGCTTCTTTCTATAGGACGCCGGAAGAATACCACTTTGATCTCAAAGAGAAAGATAACGAAATGTTTTTAATAGTATACAAAGGTGTCTTCTTTATATTTTTATATTTTATTTCAATTATATCATATTTAAATATCTGAATCTTTTTTTTCATATTTTTCAGGTCACGAATGTACGTTTCATATTATAAAAATATATATATATGATGCAATGCGTATAATTTAAATATAAAAAAATCGATTACAGAGTGCTCTATTTACATTTTAATATCTTCATTAGGTTGTAATTAAACAAGGAAGTGTTTCAACGCGAAATTATAGAATAATTGTTCCTCTAAAAGCCTTGATCATCGATATTTTATTAGCATATAATGCTTCAATATTTCTATAGCAAAATACTAATGAATATTTTAATGCACACACGAAAAATGAACGTTTACATCAAATGTTTTAGCATATGAATATTGTAAATTACAAATTTCCATTATAAGAAGCCCCGTATAATGAAATCAATTACAGGCTGTCTCATTAAAATTTGAATATGTAAAACTTAAAGATCAATCGCTCTTAGTCGTTCATTTTGTAAGGGTTCATAGATTAGTATGCGTTCAACGTGTGTGCGCGTGTGTGAAAGAACGTTCTATTTACGCATCCTTAAACGGTATAAAAGCTGTTTAGATAAAAGATAAGAAAATAGTTCAATGGTGGTTTTTCTTTGTAACCATAAGAAAATGATAGTAAAAGAAAGACAAACATGTCATAAGTGCTTGAAAAAGATAAAAAAGAAAAGCAATGCGTCGTGCATCGTGTTCAAAATGATGGAGATTATTTCTGCAAAGCTGAGGTTTAAGAAGTTGCTACGATAAAATCTAAGTATTACACAAAAATCAATGCGACGAAGGAAATGAGAATGGCTTATCCAATTTATCCTATGGCTATCCAATTGAATTCGACGATTTGATCAAACGTACGGCAATCTACTAATTATTATAAATTATTGACAATAATTAAATAACATTGAAAAATGATAAAAATTTGCATAAAAATCTTTGTTGGTACTTGTTGGGTCACACAAGACACCCTATATATTAATGAAATATGAGAATATCGATCGTACCTCGTTAACCCCACGTACGATGGCCCTCATGGTCGCATTTCGCGGTCCATCAACGGTCTTCCCATCATCCGTTGGTCCCCAAGAGGCACTATAAATGTCGATCAAGTCAGGTTCGTGGCCCATACTATTTGCTTCGATTAAATCAGTCATATAAGGCTGATCCAGCATCCGTATTCCGGCGATCTTCGAATCGTATGCCACACCAACACCGCAAACTCCGTTATCTCTAGCTGCTGCAACTTCGCCAGCACATCTGGTACCATGGCTTCGACAAATTCATCCCAAATTAGTCAATTAATATAATTATCCGCGTTTACACATACACACAACTAGTTTCTTTAACGCATTATCTCCAACTTAGATAATTCAATATTATTTATCAATTCAAAGTTCATTCCTCTGTGTTCATACGTTTTAACAATTTACTATTTTCATAGAGTGAAAATTCTTCAAGAAAATGTCATCGCTGTTAAAAAAAAGTAAAGAAAGGAATTAAGGATATGACATTTCTCTCGATACATTCGTTAACTCAATCGATAACTGTCAAGTCCAATCGCAACATCGAAAATTTCAACTCGAACGATTCTTTTACGTAAGTAGAAAATTGTTTTATCAAGTGAACATTTTTAACGATCAATCGAACAATTGTGTACTATTATTCTACATTTTAAACATTCTCGTAATACATTTAATCACTTTTATATCTCTCTCTCTCTCCTTCTTAGCAAACGAGCAATTTCCTTATTTAGAATAAAAACAAATTTAATGCGAAACAATTTCCAGCATTCCCATCTTCTCTCCGGTAATAATAATTAAACAGAGTCGCGAGCTAATTACGGAAGCTTAATCAATAATTAGCGTTTAATCAACGTTGTTATGACGTTATAACGAAGAGCCGATTTCAATTGATTTTAACTGTGTACCCTTGTATTTGAATTTTACACGAGACCGTAAAAAACGATATTTCTGTAATTTCTGTATATATATGCATACATACGTAGATACAAAATTTAATAAATTTTAATTAGATTTAATAAATTTCATATAGAATTTTCCTTTTTTTGTATTTTTATTTAATATTAAAATTGTTCTCACCTGTTAAACCAATCGTCCGTATATCTCGGATACGGATATGGATCATTACTGCTAAAGTCGTAAGAAGCTTTAGCGTTCTGCAACATTCAAATCTACATTATCTCTGCGGTAAAATAAAAATCGCATAATTTAGAAAAAAAAAAAAGTAAAGATTTTCTTTTCTTTACTTTACTTTGCTTTTATTTCTTACTATCGTTTGGAAGAATAAACGACGAAGTCTTGAAACGAGTCCATCAATTTGTACGAGCTACGCGTAGCTAAGTTTATCTCTTAGGAGACATTATTCATAGTGGTAGCGTGAAGCTGCTTAATGAACATTTGTTTAAGTCGAGCTCCTGTTTCTTCTCTATCGATTTATCTGCCTTCTGTATCGCGAATCAAGTGCTAATAAATTATCTTTAATCAAAAATATATAGGATTTCCGCGAATAATATATATTTGTCATTTTTTTATACAATAATTAATGCCAAGTGTATATGAAGGACAACTAGGACAAGCTATTATTGTTTTGTATTAATAAGTAAAAAAATCATATGGCATAATACGTCTTAACTTCCTCTTTTTTTATTTCGTATGAGAATGCACCGTTCCACTTGCATTTTATTCCTCAATACGACCTAATTTTTTGTTTAAACCAATCGCCAAAAGAAAAGTAATTTGTCTTGTATTTATCTTCATCGTTGCTTACTTTCTTGTTGGTCAACCAACAGGATATATGTGATATAGTATATATAGGATAACGATTTTCTAAAGATAATAATAACGTTACGTTGAAATATAAAATCCGTCGTAACACGTCGGCGTCTTTTATTCGAAAAGAAAAGGTCACGGTTATGAGAAAATTTGAATTTCATCGTGTCTTCAGTTTTATGCTAATGTTAAACTCCTCGTCGGACATCGAAGGACAACGAGGACAAGACGAAAAAAGGCCTAAAGAGATAGAACAAAAATATTTCGAGAGAATTAACGAGATGTTTAACGATAATCGACTTTTTTAAATTCGCTGTTGATGCTTTTTCCTTGACTTAGGATAAAATCTTGAAGAAAGATTAACCGACGCCTTCGAAATTTTCTTTTGAATATTTTTCCTTTATAAAAAGATCTCGTTTGATCTCTTTTTATTACGACTGCGTTAGAAATTTTTCATCGAATAAAAGCATGCACAACGACTGTGTTTACTTACATAATTATACTTCAGATCTGGATGCATATAGTCAACGCCTAAACAAACAAACAAACAAATGAAATCAAAAGAATTTGCATAAAATCGAATATAAAAGTTGAAAGCTTCGCGTGGATAAGTTAAATAGAGCGAATTGATGTCCTTTAGAAAAGACAAGAAAAAATTCTACCGTTGATATGCATGTCAACCCTAGTGGAAATAATGCATATTAGTATAGGACTTATGATCCATTAGATCAACAATAGAATGACGTGTATGCAGTTAACTCGATGATGTTTTAACATATAATCTCTAGAGAATAACTAAAAGATTTACATCCGTATATTCTATTAATTATGTCTATCGTTACGATATAACATCCGTTTTATATTTCTATTAAATTATAATGAAAGTGTTTATTAATTAATTATAGAATTCCTGTTTGTAGAATTCTTTTATAGATTTATAGATTTTTCATTTATACATTTATTCAAATGTATGGTGTTAATCATATACGATTGATATTATTAATAACTCTCTCTCTCTCTCTCTCTCTCTCTCTCTCTCTCTCTCTTCCTCTCTTTTAGTTAAATTTATTATTTTAATATATAAAAATAATATAAACGAATTTTTTTTCTGCAATTTGTAAAGGAACGGAAATAGTCAACGAATAGACAAACGAACCCTATTTATACAATTTGATTCTGGAATAAAAAAGACATGGAACAAATAATCCACGTAAATCGAGAGATGGGTGTATATCAATTTAATAAGCGAATAAAGAAATTTAGAAAATTACCTTTTTATGTTTCTAAAAAGTTTCTATTATTTATACTTTATTATTATAGTGTTCATCTCAACTGTCTTTGTCGGTGAAACATTTTATCTTCAATTCGTAGCCATTCAAGTTGAGTTTAACGTGAAAATAAGCGCATATATATATTTTACATGAATATAATCGAAATTGATGAACTTTGACATATACTACGTAGATATTTAAAGGTCGTATGTAAGAGACTTGAAAATAATTTCTACAGAAACCTGCAATGAAACGATCTAGTGACGCTATGATCTAACTACGATCTATGACGCTAACAAGTAATTTAGTGGGAGCTTTACCAAAATCCTATTACTTCGGGGAGTATGTGAGGATAGAGAGAGGGAGAGAGAGAGGGAGAATGCTTTTATCATGGATTACGTACACTATAGAACTTTTGTATATAGATTAACCGGCATAAATTTCGTTCTACGAGAGGGAAAGTCAATTATCTCGTCGATCTATCCATCAACAACACTCTCTCAAGTATCTCTCACGAAAATTGAAAGAAACGGAAAAAAAAGAATTACAATATTCTAAATGTTGAATTATACATTGATATATATACATGTAAATCGATTATTTCATTTTATCGAGTCAATATATTTGTTTATTATTTTTCCAACTTATTTATAAATAAAAGAGAAACTTTAATATAATTATTTTAACATTGTTAGGAAATGTTTTATAATTTTATCTTTTTAATCTCATACAAAATTGAATAACATTTAATAAGCATGTTCGCTCACCATCATCCATAATTGCAGTAGTGACATTTTTTCCAGTAACCCCTTGAGCCCAAGCAGCTTCAACGTTGAGATCCAATTTAGGTTTACCGCCATTTTGCCCAGTATTTTTTAAATACCATTGATATTGAAAGTAAGGATCGGTAGGATTTCTACGTGCTAAATCCGCTGAATTTTTAATTTCGTACAAAGATGCGAGATTATCCACGGTGAGTGTGTTGTAACCTCGTTTCACTCTTTTAAACCCAGGTTGCTGCACGGCCGTATGCACCTGCGAATCATTTTATATATTTCTTTTTATTTTTGTCGAAGAAATATTATCATACATTTTTATGATATGATGTAACAAAACGAGAATCTGATTGAAGAATGATACGTTCTCATTTTTGTAAAGCATTGAAATCAGGTCACGTTATAACGAACATACATTAAAGGTGTTTTTATTATTTATGTTTCAAATGAAACTGGCAGATATATATAATACTCCTATAATACTATTTTTAACAATTATTTTATATAGGAAAGGAAAGATATTTATTATATAAGATAATAAAAAAACACATTTCGAACATTTTTAAACAAGCATATTAATTAGTATGATTCAATAAAACAATCCAAGACGATGAAATGATTTCGTAATGTGAACATAAAATAACGACTATGAAAAGAGGTAGTAATCCTCGTGATTTATCTATCTCTCAGTGGTGCGACTTGAGGATTCTTATTCTTTGTAGAAATAAGAGAGAATTTAAAGAATGATATTTGAGTGGGAGAAGATGTTAGTGGGGATTAGGGATAACTTAGTGGATGATCTGTAAGTTTGAGAATGAGAGACAAAAACAGGAAGCAAGAAAAAATGCCACTAAAGGATAAGCAGATGTTAAAAAAACGTCGGGAAAAGGACGTGTAACGCGTGACATAGTTAGACAACGAGGAAAGAATTCTGTACGAGATAGATCGTACATCGAAATATATAAGTAAATACTCGACTTCGGGCTTCAGAAGAGAAAGATAGAAAGACTAGAAAATCGTATTTTATCGCACGCATCTCTTCTCTTGCTTGAGAAGGGTTTCACTTGTCATAATCGGTAGGAAGAACGAAACGGCTTCGCCTCGAGCGCAACAGCTATCGCGGCTTCTATTTATTATTCACGATGCTATGACAGAAAGGTTAGCTGCTGAGGTTACGTAAGGGGTGTCTCAAAATACCTGACAATCAAAATTATAATTATAATTTCAAAATGGTCTCTTATGCAATATACTTATTAAGGCGATAAACTCGGATTAATAGATGTATCGTATAAATGCGTATGATTGTTTAAGATCAAATTTTAATCATCGTTAGAATATTACAAGCCAAATCCAATTGTTGGCTGTGAAGTTGAATACATTTATTATATATTATAAAATATAAAATGAATTTTTGAAGTACAGTAAATGGTCTAGGATGGAATTTCTAATGACTGACATATTTATGGATCGATAAATTCAACACGAAATGGGAGACACGTTTATTTAAATGAAAACATGTAGTTCAATACAGTAAATTGATACAATACAAAATAATTGTATTCAACGCTTCAGATAGAACACCCTGTATATATACATATACATATATACATTTTTTGTAGATTATATATATTAGGGTAGTCGTTATTTGGCCTCTGAAAGAATTTTAATAATTCCACCCCTGAACTCACCTCAAAGGATATATAAAAAGAAAAAACGTCTCACAAACTCAGCCCTTTATGCTAATATTGTTGAAAATGTTCTATTTTCTCTCTTTAAATAATATTAGATTAACCAATAAAAAATTCGATTGCATTAATCTAATTGTTAATCGGTAATGTCAATTTCCTAAGATTTTGCAGGAGATTTTATTCTTTTCAACAGCCCATATAAAAGAACTCGAGAAACGTTCATCGTAGGGCACTCCACTTATGTTTTATTGCTCCTTACCTCGATGAAAAACGTATGACGTTGCGCAATCATGTCGACGAAAAGAAAAAATATTATACAACGAAAAACTAGAAGTGGATGACTATGATCTAGAATATCATATGACCCATGATAGTATTCAATTTCTCTTTCAAAGGAATTCACTGTAAATCATATATGTAGTGATTTACATGTTCAAAATTTCAAATTTTCGTAATATCGTTAACTAATAAAGCTCATGGATTACTCAATTAGATCATTAGAAATGGAAATTTTAACTGTGAAAGTGTAAGTTGAGGTTTTCACGATGTTACTAACTTACAGTAACTCAATTATTGAACTCCAAACGATTGTTAAACGTTACTTACCAATGGATCTACCTTCAAACGTCGCATATGTGGTACAGATCTTTTACTTCGCGCATGTGGAAGAGCTTTGTGAACGAAATGATATTCCGTTTGACTTCCTAGGATCTGAAAAAAAAAATCCAAAAATATATAATTATTTATAGTTGCTAGTAATGTCTGAAAAAGGAAGATGTTCGACTTTGGTGTGCAATTTACTTCAAATGACGACGATATTATTCACGCAACCAGGAGTTGCTGCCATTCGAGCTTCGAATATCAAATTGGTTCCAAATAATACGTACAAATTGAGACCTTTAATTCTAGTATACTCGACAGATAGTATATACATATAAATATTAATTTCGCGTATATAGGTGTATCGAGTAATTACTAAGAAATATTTAGCAAATGTTTAGATATACAAATTTAGGATGTTTTATTGTTAAAAAATGTGGTGATTTGATATTATTGTATTGTAAATTTTGAATAGGAAAATCGTAATTTTGTTAACTTTTAAATTTAACTTTTTACGTAACGTTCTTTTTAACAGTAAAACGTTTCTCAAAGCGTACATTCTCCTGTGTAAGAATAAAACTTAAAAGGATGTTGGTACTTGGAGTGTCGTAACGTTGAAACTCTTCCATTTCCCATCATGGTATAACACGAAAGACGGAACACGTTGAAATGAGTTCACGTCGTCGTTTGGTAAAATTTAATTTCCCTCAATGCCATTTTCGTATTCTACTTCGTAGAAGGATCTTTATTATATATGTACATACATAGAGATAGATAGGAAACGATTCACGCGATAAAGTATATTTATTTTTTATGCAAGTGATGTGCATACGTGCGCGAGTGTGTGTAGTGTTGATGAGTGATATGTGCATATATGGATATGGATATACAATATGTCAGGTAATCGAATTCTTTCTAATGATTTATCCTTCTTTTTTTACTTTTTTTTATCGGTTTCACCTCAGATCTTAACCGACCAACGTAATTTGTTCCAGAGTTCTAAGTAAAAGATCGAATAACTGCGTCGACGAGATAAATACTAATGTAAGAGAAATTCTGCTTATCGGTAATCGATGATTAGAAAATAAGTACATTTCCTTCGTTAGAATTTTCTCATTTCAAATAAAATAAAATCATTCCGAATAATAATTTAACTTTCAAACTTGCCTTCAAACGAGTTTTATATTAGTCTATAAATTTATTCTAACTTTTATTATATTTGCCAACCAATATTATAAGTCAATCTCTATAGGCTGCATTACCAAACGTGATCAGCTTTGATTATTTTGTTCTTAGTCGACTGATAGAAAAAATGTTAATAATATCAATTTTATATACATATATACTTTTATTTGTAAAACTTAATAACAGAGTTAGCCAGCCGTGAACAGAATTGAAGTTTGGTAAACCTTTCCTCTCGCGAGATACGAACTTTTTTAAAGTTTCTTCAAATCATTACTTACTTTTACAAAACTTGAGGAAACACGTTCTGCATCGTAATAGATGTCAAGAGAAAAAAAGAGAGAGAAATAAAGTTTATATCGTAAGTATTAATTTACGATGATGCGTTATGGATAATTTATTCCAGGAGTTAAATGAAAAAAAGGTTGTTGAAATGCATCGAAATCAAATTCCTAGAATCACATTGGCTTCTCTCTCTCTCTCTAAAAATATGTGCATAAAAGCAAAGCATTATAGTGATTCTCTCAATCAAAATGAAATAGACAAGTTCTTTATTGGATTAACAAAATAATATGATAAATTATATAAACTTTTTTTGTCAATTAAATATATATTAGATTAAACTCTTACAAATCGTTATAAATAAAGGTGAATTTGATCGTAATTTAAATATATGCATATCCCTCTTTCAACTTATGTGGATTATTAATTCAAGTAAATATTTATTATAAAATTTCTTTTTTATTATTACATTTGAATATATTTCTATTCGAATTAAACGAATTTTCGGAAGTTTTTGATTGAACTTTGAAATAGGAATAACTGAAAATGCTTTCGCTGGACTAACTGATGCGAATAAATGCATTTACAAATGAAAACATCCTATGAAGCGAGCTCAAGTTCGTTTAATAATGTAAACTGGACGACGATTCTATGAAGATGATACCTACTACTACTTTGGACGTGTCATGTCTTCCGTTTCGTTCACTGTGGGAGAAAGTATCGTTATCTGTCGATGCCAGACAGTTTTTGTGTCGCTTCTCCTCGCACGGAAAACCGATACGGGTCACGGCATACTTTGATGTTCGTTCGTACCTATAGAATATCGTTGTGTTGTAACAACCTAACAACTACGATACTCGAGATCTCCTAGCTCGTTTGCTTTCCCTCATATTTTTCTATATAAAAATAAAAAAACGTTGATTTTCAATATGGTTGAAAATATCATCCCAAACGTGTCATCATTTTTTTTTTTTTTTTATTATCTTTAGATAATAGCTATCGTTCGAGGGAATCAAATATCGAAGCTGGTAATTAATTTCAAACACACAAAATGTATGAAAAATGACGAGGATAATACCAATAATTCAGTTCAAACCCGTTCTAATTTCGACCCCAATTATCTATTTTGAGAGATGAGGATAGCACCTCGTCATTAAAGATTATCCAAAACCATCATTTTAAATGTCACGCGAATGAGTACATGCGTACGCAAACATATAGATATATGATATAATTAGTAGATTATGAGAAGTATATTTCTTAGAGGAATGATTGATGGTTAAAGTCATGAAGTAAAACAATATTGAATGAATATAATAACACCAACAATTAACGTTGTGGAAAACAAGAGGGGAAAAAAGAAAAATGAAGAGAAACAATGAGACGAAAAATCACAATTCTTACCAAAATCTGATGACATTTGATTTATTATTTCTCATAACGAAAAATGATTGATCAAAAATGATATTAATTACATCGCGTGATCATATCCATCAGAATATCATCGATAATAATCTCTTGTCTTTCAAAGAAAAATTGGATCATTTTTCTTCGTTCTTGTATTAAGTAATGACAACAAATGAAAATAAAAAGGAAAGTAATAATTTTTTGTATCATAAATCCCAACGATTATCGTAAAATTTTGTGAAAAAGTACCATCGGCAATATTTATGATCAACATCGTAAAATAGACGGTCCCATCGGTCACGAACGGTGATAAGACGGAAAGTAAAAAAATAAAATCCATCTCAGGTCTCCTTTACGCCATCTCTAATGGGTTTACCCCAGCGTTCATGGTACGACGCTAAAAAGTGGGATTAAGAAGAATCACGAAGAAGAAAACGAAGAAGGTAAATAAATAGAAAAGGCCTCGCAATTAATTTAACTTTCGATCGGAATCTTTTACGATGACTTATAAATTGATTGAAACAAATTAAGCGATTTTAAAAATTGTGAAAAAATATTTCTTCAATATTTTCTTGTCAATACAATGTGTCCGTTCCCTTTACAATTGTTAAACAACAAGTCTTATCATCTATCTGCCCTACTACATTACTTATTTGTACAATATGAATGAGAAAACTATTACCCTACGCTGAAATAACATTTTGTGTATAAATAACAAACAAATTACATTATATATACAATAAGAAAAATCCTAAAACTTAAATAACAATACTTAACATACTGATGCAAATACATCTGACGTTACTTCAATCTGCTAGCTGTCTTTCCCATTCATTTTCATCGCTCCCCTTTCCCCTTGACCTTTACTACTTTTTCTCAGCTCTTCTAGTTCCTTTATCTACTTTTCCCCTTGGCCATTTGTTCCAGAGCCCAACACATCCTCTTCCTGGTTTCTTTTCGCGCACCTATCTAACACGCGTTGTTACGATTCCGCTTCGTACCCACACACCCTACACAGTCTTTCCTGTTCATCCATCCAATACCTTACACCCTCTTCCATTTGGTCTCCTTTCTTAAGCCGCTCAGATATTCCGGTTGGCCCCTCTGCTATGACCATCTTATACCAATCGTTATACTTCGACTTAACTATTCCCTCTCACATTTCAATCCAGATCACGACAAAATTCATAATCTATTGTGAAATTTTCTATCCAGCTAAATTTACATAGTAATTCTATTTTTCTTATCCCTTTTTGCAGACACTTTCTTCGATGGAAAAAAACTTGGATGCTCATAAACCATTCCAGAGGATCATTCCGTTGTTGAAATAGTAATACTATCTTTTTCTCTCTTTCTTTTTTTTCTAGATCAAACGCTTGCATACCAAACTTAATCTCACACCCCCTATCCCATTAATTCCGTTTGAATACGCCCACACTTGATCGTATATAATCCAATTAAAAAGTGTCTTCGAAATACGTGACAAGAATCATAAACTATGATACACAAATACTTAACAACATCGTCCCTCTCTCTTTCTAAATCATACATTTACCTTCAATGAGACAGTACAACATAGGGTTGATCACCCTTGATCATCTAGATTTATTTTCTCACTTTACATAAACGAGCAGATTTTATTGAGTGATTTATCTGTATCTTTTTTTTTTTTTTTTTTTTTTTTTTTTCCCCGTGAGGCCTGTTTTAATCCGATTGTTATCTTCTCTACTATGGTCGCTAAGCTAAGCATCGTGTTACGTCAATAGAGATAACTATCGATGAAAAATTTTATTTAATCTCGTCGTAGTTTTATGCAAAAGGAAAAACATCAGGTTAAAATAATTTGATCCAAAAGTAAAGTAACATGGTTGTGTTAGTATATGTGCGTATGTGGTTATGCGAAAGCTTCTATCGCCTACGTAAATATATAAAGTTGGATGAAAAATAAAAAAGGAGGTTTTCGTAAAAACGTTGCTCTGCTTTTACGTTTTACGTGAAATATTGAGTTACTTGTTCGAACGAATTATTAAATTACAGTATTTTATCATGAAAACTGATTTCCTTTTCTTCTGAAAAACTATCGGAAAAAATTCTTACTAGGAAATAAAATTTTGTATTCTTTATATGATTGTAAATAATTTTAATCGAATATAATACTTGAAGAGTGTATAATACTTAAACTATAAATAGGGAATCAGATTTGTAATATATGTGAAATTATAACAAATAATTTTGATCTAAGAACATCCGGTATAGAAAAGTAACATACTGAAGGTTGCTTTAATCAGACATTTAATTTCCACGTTCGAACTATTAACAAATGTTAATTTAGCTAATTAAACTTTAAATTTGCGTTTGAAAAACAAACAAAGAAGAAAAAAAAGTAACATTCTCCAAGCAGAGCGAAACAAGTTCGAAAACTATGTGCGAACATGTAAGTGAGTCTATAGTAAAATTATAAAAAGGAGGGAAAGGGGGTGTTAACGAAATACGATCGGTGTAACTTTGTAAAAGCAATTTTCAGTCAGCGATTTAAGTGCATAAATCGAGTGTATATTTTCCGCACAATTTCCCAGGCAACAAATATGCCATAAAACTGCAATACATGCTTTACCTTTATAGGTATAAGAGTTAGCCGATAGTTTCTAGATAAGCAAACAGTGCCAACATTATTTTAAAAATCAATTACTCTTTTTACAGATTTTTATGTATATGTATTTTTATGTATTTTTATAATTTGAACGTAGTTTTGCGTATGTAAGTGTATATATTATATATCAGAGTGTATATTTGAAATCAATGAACACTAACGAATCGATCTAGTCACTTTATGCAACCTACGTAAAAAACTAAAAGCAAAGATCAATGAACTTCTAAAAATACAAGACCCGCATGAATCATTGAACGTCTACTATAATTCAAACGTAAAATCGAAAAGGTAAAAATGTATTTAATATATGTTAAATACATTTTAAAAATAGATATATTGACTTGGGAACTATTTTTTTACAATTTCTGGATATTTTTAACTTGTATTGACCACTTATTCGATTTTAATTACGAATTGTGTAGCAAATAATCGTTTTGTTTATTAAAAAAAAGAAGAATAAAAAATAGTATCCTTTAATTATTGCTTGATACTCTATCGAAAAGCGTTATTCATGAAGAGATAAAGGAATATAATCTTCAACGTTCTTCGACGTTCAAAGGAGTAATATTAAAATGATTCCGCTTAATAAATCTCTTCTTTTGTTTTCTTTGAAAAATTCTTTGTTCTACCATAAATTAATAACATCATTGCATACATTTTACTATCATCATGGAACGATAATATTTTTAATATTTAAAAATTAGGCAATTAAATTAAAAAAGAAAGAGGATAAATAATAAATTTAAGAAATGATTTATATAATTATAGACCAAAAATTAGAGATATGTTTTAACAATTTAAAAACATATACAAGCCATTCGTAAATTCTCATATACAGAAATATATGATACATAACTATGCATACATAAGAACACATATTTCTCGAATAAACATCGTTCCCACGAAAACCATCAACGTTACGTGGTTGATTCCTATTCCAAAGTATGCTATTTGTTTTTCATATATTCCTAAGATATACTTCAATATTATGGCATATTTAATCATCGATATAGATCGATATTTTCCACGTGATAACATCTCTCTTTCGAAATAATGTGCACAGCTGTAGCGAAACTTAACGAGATCACTTTTCATTCCATTATCAACTTATCATCGAAGGATCTTTATATGCAAATTCGCTTTGAAAAAAAGAAAAATTTTTTATTGAACAATTTTGTAGAAAACTTCTTCATTTTAATCGGTTTAAAGTAATAGTATTTCTACTGATATATGTCCGATCATACTACTGGTCTGTTACTTTAAGTAGTACAAGCCAAAATTGAAGGAACACAAGTGTACTTTTTACAAATTGACGGAAAATGTAATAAGAAAAATATCATTTTTGTCAATATCTTTGTTCATCATTTTACACATATTTAATTGTTATTTTCTATTTGTCGATTCGAAGATTTACCAATAGAAATCAATAATTCGTTAAATCTGAGAGTAATGTATTCGGTAAATACAATTCCAATTCCCGTAACTCATCTCAAGGAAGCCATCGCATCAATCATATTGTTGTCATCGAAATCTAAATAAAAGATACCATACGGTCGAGGGAAAGAACTCCGTCATCGTAATTGTTCGTTTAAGATGATAAAAAAAGAATGCTTGTGAAAGAGACAGACAGAAAAATTAGTTTATCAAATTTCTTGGATTCGTTCACATAAAATCTCATGAATCCTTATAATAGAAATTGCAAGTATTCCATACAATTTCTAAATTTATTTTAGCATTCAATTAAAATAAGAAAACAATGAAATTAATGTAAAATTAAGAACTGTATAGCGTGTTTAAAATATCCTAGACATATATATATACTTAATAAAATAATCGGCAAATCATGATGTAAAACAAGTTCTGATTGGACGATATTTATATTTTCATTACTAAAACCTTACGTTTTCTGACTTTAAATAAATTTCTTCATATATTTATCTATATACATACATATATATTATAATAAAAAAATAAATAATAATAAAATAGATAGATGCATCGATAATGGATAGGCATACACGTGGTGTATACGTCACAAAAACATTAACTCACCGGTCCAAGATTGACGAATCCGTTTCTAACAGCAACTTGATCAGCCAAATATCGCTCAGCCGGTTGTCTCATTTTAACGAGGAAACTATTGGTGAAAATTTCGGCTTGGGTAGCAACGATAGTGCAAAGAAAAGGAATAAACGCGAGAAACATCGTGATAGTAAAATGATAATAACGACGACAACTTCGCCGTCGTGCCTCTCTCTCTCTCTCTATTTTAAAGTCGCGAACCGCTTTACTCGAAATACTGGAAGATAGTAATACTAGCAATTCGAATGCTCTTCTATCTCGAATCACGAAATATGTGTATACTAGAGTCTCGATGATTGGAGGGGATAAAGGGTTGAAAGACGAAGAGAGAACACCCAATGGTGCCTAGGATCCTTTACTTCAGGTTAATAGTGGTGACTAGAGATGATGTCGCAACTGATGTGTTGTTACTGGTACCCCAATGCTGCTTTTGTTGGTAGTAGTGCCGATGGTGGATTCGTTGACGTAAGTAAGTAAACACGTGCTTTCTTCAAGCTCGACGGAGAACGACTACCAGTGGACTGACTACCAGTACAATATGACTGCCTGCTCGATCCTATTCCTCAAACCGTTCGGTTCATGCGCTTCTCGTCTAAAACCTTATTCTATATCGTACGATCCTTATTTTCCTTTCCGTTCTACGCGCCATTTTTCTATCAATTCCTCTATCATCCTCCTCTCTCTCTTCTTCCTCTCTCATTAACACGTTATCACACTATTATCTTTCAATTAATATTTCTCATATAATATTCAGATAAATTCGACTAATGAAAACAAATTCGGATTACTTTTATATTGCGACAAAATTAATAATATTTTCATTTGAGAAAAAAATAAAACATTTGACGAGTAATATATTCAACAAATAAATAACCAATATCGGAAAAAGAAAGAAGTGTCGAAGCGAGTTGAAATATTACAAATAAAAGTCGTTTTCGCGAGTTTCAGATGTCGTCGGCCGAACACACTCGATGTCACGTGACTTCACTCGCATCATATCGATTCGACGAAAAGGTTCCGATACCTTCTCCCTCACCCCAACACCCCACTTCCACACCCCCGTGCTCTCTCACCCTCTCTCACTCCCTCTCTCACTACTTTCAAAGGACGCATGCGTTCACTCGTCCTTTACAGAACGCAGCCATTTTACTTTTCCCTTTACTGCGCTAATCACTTGACATCTGTTTCTATCATTTTAGGGAAGTTAAAAAGGTATCATCATACATGCATATTTACGACAAATTTTATGATTATTCGTTTATGATTATATTAAATATATATGTTGAAAATAACGATGATATGTATATGTATATGTAAATACTTATTTACTTTGTTATAGAATTTTTTATTTCCATTTCTACTTTCTTTTTTATAACAAGCTAACAGTTGGTCCAATCGAATAATTTTATTTACAAATTTGTAATCATTGGACGAAATTAACTAATACGTTTAACACAAAAATAAGATGAAGTCTACTTTTATCAAATATAAAATCTTTTCTTTTTTAAATTTTAGTTTTTCTTGTTTTTTTTATGAAGCTTTGATTAACCCATTTGCATCATTAGCGTATATATATATATATATATATACGCTCAATTTTGTTGTTCCTTATCACAATAGAATTGAGTGTGACATGAAATTTAACGATAAGGACTTTATTTTTCATTCTTTCTTACGATACAAATAGGGTAAAAAATATAAATATATATTATATATGAGATAGATACGTTGCAAATCGATTAATATTACATAAGAGAATTTTATTTATATTTCTATTCGAAAGAAAAAAAAATCTTATTTTGTAATTATGAAAAATATAAGATCGCCAATGTCTTGTAACTTTTATTTGAAATAAATTTTAAATCCATGTAATAAAAAAAAAACAGTCAATAATAGAGTAGAAATAAATATTCTTATTTTATATTTATTTCTATAAGTATTGATAATAACAATAGAATTGTATCGATTTGTATTTACATCAAAAATATTTTTTCTAATTAAAGCAATGCATGCATAAAAGAAATCTCATTAGAAAATATTAAATAAATTACATTGCTACTTACAAAAAAGACAAAAGAAAAAGAAACCATAATTTATCTTATAAAAAAAATTTAGTATACTTAATATTCTTATAGTAAAAAAAGGAGCTACCAAAGCATTACATTTATTTCGTTTAACATTTAAGTCACAGACTTAAGATATAAATTAATAATACTTTTCTATTAATAAATCGATATAAATGCACGGCTCTTATCTAATATAAATATTAATAGAAATGTATATGGTTTTTGCAGAAAAATTTTATGTTCGAACATTAGTTATCAACAATAAAATTAATGTAACCCTTTATAAATATAACAAAAAATACTATAACATGTTAAAATATTCTTCATTTATTTAACTGAAATACTTTGTAATGGTAAAATGTTAAAATGTTATTATTTCTATCCGCTATATATTTGCACTGTAGTTTCATAGAACTGATGTTACTATGTGATTTGATAATAAATTTGCAAAGTATTCACTGAAGATAGATTTAAAGTTTAAAATTTAGAAAAAATAACACTATTTTACCTTTGTATCTTCTTTGATGGTATTTCTGAAGTTATTGCTGGTTTAACATTTGTCTGTATTTTTCTTTTTGCTTCTAATCTCATTTTTGCTTCTAAACGTTTTCTTTCTATTTCTTCAGGTGTACATACCATAGTCTGTGAATTTCTCATATTTTTTATTTCAGAATCTTTTAACATAATTTTACTATTATTAAGTGTACGCATGTTTTCTATGTCACTTATCGATTTGATGTTTTGGTTTGCATTAACATTTCCATTTGTTGTATTTTTACCATTAGTATTTACATATAATTTAGATGGCAAATTTGAAGAAGAAGAGTGTTTTATTATTTGACGTGAATTAGATGTATTAGGTTTTGTATTTATATTAGTAGTTTTTTCATGTCCAAAATATGAATCTGATAAACTTCTAGTTTTAAAAAATTTTCTGTTTTCGGTAAGATTACTATTGACATTAGAATTGTGAATCGATTTATCCAAAGTATCCAAAGAAGTTTGATTAATACAACAGCTGTTGGAATTATAGCCAGTATTATTTGATTTTGTTACATTTTTAGTTGCATTTCTATTCGTTGAACTAGAATGTTTATAATCTCTTTCATTTTCATGTGGTTTAATATCTGAGTCCGGAAAAATATTATCATATTCTGTTGTTTCAGATAATAATTTATCATCTTCTATACAAGTAGCTAAACAATCATCGAAAGAATCATCTGGTATCTCAAATAATTCGGCATTATTACGTCTTACTAAATTTTTATAATTTTGTAAATTTTCATTATGATTATTTATAATATTATTATTTACAGAAGATTGCTTCACATTACTTTCTTTCGCTTCCAACCTTTTTACATCTATATCTACATTTTTCTTACAATTAGGAGTAGTCTTAGAATATGTTTTACAAAAATTGCTAACATTCAATATCGGAGAATTTTGTGAAAAAAAAGTGCTCTTTAAATTTTCACTTAAATTACTTGCACTTTTACTTTTTTCTTTTGTGATAAATGTATCCTTCTCTCTACTTCGTTTGAATGAGTCAAATGTACTAGTCTCTTTGCTTGTACATAGATTAAATTTTTCTTCTATTTCTTGGCTACATTTTACCATTGAATCTTCTATCGATTCATCAAATAATTCTTCAAAGCTTGTGCTTACTTTATTGGCAAAAGTATTTGTATCCGAAACAATTAGTTCATCCAATTGATCCTTTTCTTCATGATCCTTTTCTTCATGATCCTTTTCTTCATGATCCTTTTCTTCATGATTCTTTTCTTCATAATTTTCTACTTCATCCATATTGTTGTCTATGTCATTCTCTATATAATCCTCATCATTACGCTGTATAGTTTTCATTTTTTCAGTCAACGCTTTTAATTCGGCAGCAAATTTTCCAACATTTTCTACACTATCCGCTTTAATTAATCTCTTTCTTAAAGGTTTATACAATAATGGAGAATTTAAAATACGTTTTTTTTGAAGTAGCATTGCCTGTTTAGGTGTAGTAACAGTATGATCATCCTTGGTTTTGCTTTTCGCAGAACCAGTTGAAATTTGCCAATCCCAGGCAACTTCGCTGGCATCTTGTGTATATGGAATTGATATTGGACTACGATTGCAACAAGGCTCCGGAGACACTTCTATATTATTTTTAGAATATTTTTTTTGTATTGGTGTACTGTGACCAGGATGAGTTTGAGTTTCATTTGAGTTTCTTATTGGACTATTCTTTGTATTATTTTCCATCTGCAATGATGAATTATCTATAAACATATAAAAATACATAAATTTCAATTTTTTTTCTGCCTACATTACATAACAACTAGTAATATTAAAAAATAAAAATAAGATAGTATATTATTAGTATATATAAATATGTTATTTTAGAAAACAATGATTACCATGATTTCCTTGTTGTACCGGCTTTTGAAACTTATCTTTATTTTCTTCCAATTTATGTGATATTTTTGATTTCCTACTTCTACTCATAATTATTCTTTTTAATATTACATTCACTCCTTAAATCTACTTATGTACACTAAAAAAAAATAAAAAACTCTTATGAAAATTTATCAAATATGGATAATAACTCGCTTAAAAACATTATTAATTAATCGTAATTATTTACCTAACAAAATACAATGTAAATTATATTATAAAACAACACAGAACAGGAATTATTTTTATTTTTCTATTTAGCACATTTGAAATTTTATACATCTCTATTTATATTAAATTAAAAACCGATTTTCTGACAAATTATAACTTGCGCATACCATAAGTCATAAAACTATCAAAGAAAGGTATCGAAAGTGAATTTTCGTCTTTTATTCAGTTAATATTGGCAATAACTTTGAAACATAAAATAAATCAACTCCGATATATTTTATTATTTATATAATTGTTATTTAAAAAATAATACCAAAAAACATAAGAATTTACTTTATTTAGAATTATTCATAATATCTAGCGCATCTTATCAATACATTACAAAAGCTTGAAAATTTCTATACATTGGCAATACTGTTTCTTTATTTTTTGAAGCAATAAATAAAAATGTTACAAAGTTCGACGAACGCGTTATAAATTTTATTTATTTTTTTCAAAAATTTATATTATTATAATAAATAAAGAAAAATGGAGCTCGAATTGTATAATCAGATTATAACCTCAATTCACAAGTTCAACGGATTATCAAAAGACTGTGCAAAGATGTTAAGAGAAAAATATGACAAGTAAGTTGTGCTGTTTGTTTATAAAAATTATATTTGTACCTGTAATATCTTTTATTTTTTAATAAAATATATACATATAAATTTATATTTTTATATTTTATGGAAAACTATTTCAGTGAAAGTACTAATTATTTTATGTTTGTTTAGTGTGCCAATTAATACTTTGTTCAGTATATTATCGTTAGAGATACAGCAAAAAATGAGGATCAATCACACTAAATTGTTTGGACCAAATAAAAATTATTACGAAAAGTAATTGCATTTTATTTTACTTATACATTATTATTAGATACATTATAAATATACTTATTTTGTAATTTACAGTTACATAGAAGCTATACAGAAAGGAGAACCTGTAGGAATCTTATTAAAAATGGCAAAAGAAATCAATGCTCCACCGGCATTATTAGCACGTAATGTTTTAGAAAAACATTGCAGTCAGGATGACCCTAACAGTAAAATACTTTTACATATATACGCGCACACATTTGCCATTAAAATATCATAAATTATAATTTACATTCTTACCGTTTAAAAAGAATACAAATTATTTTCTTTTAGTCTCTCGTAAAGATGTTAGCAGACTTTTTAAGGATACAACTTTAATAGAAGATAAAGATCTATCATATGAAGTATATTTGGTAAAATCCCTCTTGAAATTATTTTAATAGTAAGTTTAAATAATATCTATCATTCTGTTTTTTTTTTTTATTATAGTGTATATTATATGACGATCTTTATGGACCGATAGCAGATGCTATGGGCATGTAAGTATTCCATTCTCATTCGACATAAAAATATATTATTTCTATTACATTAATAAGAAAAATATTAGTTCAATAGGCCAAGAGTATGAAATGAAATTAGAGAATTATTTGACAGAACGGAACTTTGCATTCCGTAATGAAGAACATTTACGATCAAGAGGATATGACAAAACTCCAGATTTTAAATTAGAAGTTCCTATCGCTGTGAATGGTTTTGTAGTGAATTGGATTGAATCAAAGGCACGTTTTGGCAATAATGAAATACATCAAAAGTACATAAGGGAACAATTTTTGAGTTATTGGAATAGATTTGGTCCTGGTCTCGTTATCTATTGGTTTGGTTATTTGAATACTTTGAATCAACTTAATGAGAAGAAATTTATTATCATGGACCATTTTCCAGAAGATATTACATATATGGATCCAAATTCGATCAAGCAAACGACGACATCGTGATTGTAAATAATAACATAACTTATCTAATCTTGCTTTCTTATTTATTTTTTCTTTATTCTTTACTTTTTTAACTTTCATAGTATATAAATATTTCAAACTAAATACATTCTTGTTTTTCCCTCTAATCTAGACGCTTAAATCGTCCTTGAATAAGAAGAACTCGAAAACTGGAGCACAGTGGCTGTAAACGGTAGAAACGCGCACCTGGTTTGCCGCGCAAGCGAAATGATACGCTTATTTATATATCCAGCTATGTGTTTGCCCGTAAGCGCCGCCGCTGTCGTGATTTCAAAGCCAGTGTGCAGTTTTCGGGCATCAGTTATCATTGTACGTTCAAAATTGGAAAAACCGAATCCGAGAAATATTTGGGAAAACATAATTTATCAATTAATCGAGAATTTATGAAAAGTGATATTGATATAATTAAGACGTTAATCTTATTTTAATTTTGCAACGATATATTTTTTTACAATTTCCATTAATATTTCTTTCTTTTCTATTTTATTTTTTTTATTTTTATTTTCTGTGTTTTCGCTTAACATGAAATAGAAAATTTAAAATAAGATACTAAAGAAAGAAAGAGAAGAAAGTAGATAAAGAAATATTAGAATAATATTTAACATTGCCGTTGAAGATAACAATATATCAACATTGAAATAGATACGTATGATTTTTCTGTTCCATTCAAATCCTACTAAGTTACGATATTACTATTCCTCGCGAATATGCGTGTTGATTGGTCGACAATTTGAATTGTAATGTTCGATAAACTTGAACGTATGTAACATCGAAGTAGTGTTTCGTGAAAGTTCATCGGTGAATGGAAAAATAAACTACGTTTTGCATGACAATAAACGTTATTTGAACAAGTAGACGATAACAATTGGATTCCTCTGAGTTACTTTTCTCTATATTAACTTATAATTTCAACGATTCGTATTATATCGTCGAGTGAATAAATCAATTAAAAATTATCGCATATTATTATTTCAATAATTACGAATTGAATCAAGAGAGTATAACATAACGACATTAACCGGTTTCTTTTGTGCGTGTGTTCCACATTCGCTAGTTCAAGGTCTTTCGATACCTTGAATCGATTGAATTGCATGTAAAGGAAAGAGAGAGATACATATATATATATATATATATACAATCACTGCAAAATATCACGGACGCAGACGCGTTAAGTATTCAGCATTGAGAGGAAGAGAAAAGAGAGAGAGAAAAAAAGAGATAAAGATAAAGATAAAAGTCTCCACTGTAGTAGTTTCGATGAGGAAATAAAAAAAAGGAAGACGGTGATGACTTGGTCCTCTTTGTCGACCGCAAATAGATATCCTATTTTCAGCATCTCTCTCTTTTAGTGCGAGCGTGTCAAATTTATGAAAAACTATAAAAAAAAGAATTTAAAAAAGACGACAAGCCAATGTGTACTATGATCCAACAATTGCCAATCTTTGAATTTGTTCTTCTTCTGTTTTTTTATTTGCCCAACTTATTATAACGAGAATTGATATTTAATTCAAGTTTTGTTAAGTTTCATTTTTTCGGTCATCTCTTACAACATAACAAACAACTATTATTCCACCAAAGGAGATATATAGAATATGTCTATAAATTCATCGAAACGTATGGGGAAAGATAACCTCACGAAACCGGCAATACAGTCTCAACTTGCCAGATTAAAGCGGGAGGTGAGACGATGACACGTAATTCAAAATATATATATATATATATATATATATGTATATATTGCTTTGACCTGCTTTTTCAGACTTACATATCATTCGTAAGATTCGTTATATTGAGAATATAGTGTTGTAGTAGTACATTTGCACTACTATCTAATTTTGTTAGTAAAACCCCTCACTCCTATCACCGTTCGATCAACGAAATATAGACACCGATTTATCGGTTATTAATAATGAACCAAATCATGCTAATAATCCTCTATGATTTAAATTTCAGTAAATTTCATTAGAAAATTTTAATAATAGTAATATAGCTTTATTTCTATTAGATATATTTTTAATACTAAATAATGTAATTAATATTATTTACAATTTTTAAATAATTTTGAACTAAATAATGGGATCCATATTGCGTTTGTTAATTTTTAGTTAATTTGTACATAACTGGGCCTATTATATTCTCGAAAAAATATGATTTGAATTATTTCTGCTTTATAGGAAGAAGAAGAATTATGGATATCAGGAGAAGAACTTTGTACGGAAGGAAGTAGCGATGAAGAGGATAGTAAAACATGTTCGAGATCATCCTATAGAACGAATAGGAATCATGATTCGTGTAATTCGTCGTTCAGTGGAAGACATCATTGGATTGTAGCGGATAATACGAAAGAAATTTCCGAACGATTAAATAGCAATTCTGAAATTAGAAATACGATGCCTTCGATAGAAATAATCAATTCGTCTAAAGTAGATACGCCAAATACACAATCGAATTTTTCGATAGAATCGGAAATGAATGTTTTAATGACGGATGATACATCGTGTTCGAATGTGACACAAGATGAGGAAGAAGGAGAAAGCTTTAAAGACTGTGAAATATCGTGGAAGGTTAACAGAGGTACCATCAGGTTACTTAATACAGGTGCAAAGGCTGCTACTACGAAACTCGAAAAACCGTAACACTGAATTTTTCATTAGAGATAGTATTTTTCTTAGGATTAAATCTTGTTAACAATCTTATATATATTTTTTATTATCAATTCTTGCGTTTTAATTTCGACTATAATTGTTTCGAATGAAATTCAAATTTTTCCCGCAAGTAAATCGTGACGTTGCGAAAGCATATTTCCTTGAATTTTGATTGGACAGCTTACATTTAATGTAATCCAATCAAAATATTTTAAAGCACGTCATGTGATTTTTTATTTTTTAAATTATATTTAGTTCGCTTAGTTTCTTAGTTTTTATTTGTAAATACAAATGTTAGTATATTGAATATACTCTTGGTTTGATAAAAGATATATTGACGAAGGGAATGCAAGAGGAAATAACTGAATTAAAGGAATTAACGCAATTAGGTTATCAACGAGAATGTGAATTTTTCGCGCGTTTACGAGAAAGTCTTCAAATTAAAGGTAATTAAAATTATAAAAAATTTATTGCGAATGTTTTCTTTTGAAATTCTGATCTTTTATTACAAGATGATCACGATGACATCGGGAAAGCATATCTAAGAAATAATATTAATAAATGCCAATTGAAAAACATTAGTACAATAAATGAGGAGTTGAAAAAAGAAATATCGAAGATAGAGAATTTGGATACTGCTATCAAAAAATTTGATAATAATATAGAAGTAAATATTTTTTGCAATTTCGAATATATTAAACACATTTAACTTATTCACTTCAATAAGTAAATTGTTGTAAATAAAACAAAGTATATTTAAGATGATTCTTAACATAGATAGAGATGAAAGAAACTTTATTATGTCAATACAAAAATCGTGAAAGATTGAAAGAGATATTAAAGAACGTACCACTTGAAACTGGAAAATTAGCTGAAAATACGCAACAATTTTTTAGTTTGTACAATGAATATGGTGACGTACCTGGTAACATATAACTGAACATATTTATATATGTAAATATATTATTCAATGATATCTCTTTCTTTTCTCTATTTATGAATAAGCATTTACGGATGGGCAAGACAAAATTAAACAAAATAAAATGCATAAAATTAAAATTTGTCAATCAAAGAAGAATAATATGGTATGTGTCATATTTAATTGTTTATGAATTTTTATTTTGATAGGAATATAATGAAAAATATTATTAACAGTTTAAAGCATATCAGTCAAAAATGTTTCATAAAATTACTTATAAAAAAAAAGAATGGCAATATTGTTTGGAAATATAATTGATAACAATGACAACATTATTCACGATAGTAATAATCCTTATTGTTTTAATAATGAAGAAAAGAAATTATTATGTGAATTATGCTAGAAAATTTCAATGAATAATTCAAATATTTTTACATAATTTACAATATCGCGTTATATTTTATAAAATATTGGGGGGACTGGAAAGTAATGTCATTTTTTTACATTAAATGAAAACATGACTTGGAAGTACACAATGAGCTAATAAATAATAAATGCAATTAACATGCGCAGAAACGACATTACTTTCCGGTCCCTCTTAATAGGTACTACAAACTGATGTTACATACAAAAATTGTAAAAAGCCTATAATACAAAAACATATGCTATTACCATCAAATACAAGAAATACAAATTTAATAAATGCATTAGTTAGCACTGTATTAACAATAAGTACTTTACAAGATATACAAAGACATTCTAATGGAGTTATTATAAGATTCAAAAATAATTATAGCTTCATCAACTGATGGTAATGAAAAAAGACAAATAACAGCGGCTTCTAAAGAAATATGATTTTTTTCGTTATTAATCTCTTTTACATACACACGCACACACACACATACAATATATATTATTTTACGGAAATAAGAAATAATATACATTTGAAATCTCTTATATATGCATATACATATATTATATCTTATATAAAATGAATATCTTGTATTTTCTGCTATTTATAGAAAAATTAAAAGTTGGATTTGAAGTTAAATAGATAATATTTTATCTTACAAATTTATGATCCAGCCGTTTACAGGCAACAAAGATTACTTCCACGTTTAGATTTTTTTCAAATAATAGTACCAAAGCGCATCAATGATGCTAAATTTTTTATATGTAATAATGAGCTTAACAAAATTAAACAACAAAATCTTATATGTTAAACATTGTATAAAACTTTATCGATTTTCTCTACTTTTGGTTTTATGGAATGAATCGCTTGGGCCTGTGAATGGCTCAATTAATTCATCATTATGACAATACATTCATATTATATTTGAATACTTCGCAACTATCTAATTTAGATAAATTTAAAATGAATCACGTGCCTCTCTCTTTCTCAAGTATATAGTAATAAAGATAACTACATAACAAGAATCTTATAAAACGTGATTAATTGCTTATAAATTCACTTTTTCAGAAATAAATCGTGAGAGATTGTCAGACGACAATGTATGATTCACGTTTTACAGGATTCTACCGAATTTATAATTCATTAACACATTGTCAACCACGTGGATTTTATCAGACTATATATTCTCTATCATCAATGAAATATAATCAAACACAAATATGTACAATTCCACACTGATCGGTAATGTGTTATATATATAATATTTCCTTAATTTAAATTTCTTCTATATGTAATTTTAAATACATTATTTTATTAAGTCTTTCTTTTTGTTTTTATCCGAAACCGTGTATTTGTCATAACTTTTGGTGGGATCGAAAGGTTCCCATCTGCTGGCAGGAAATATATGTTTATTTCTTTCGTACCATGACCTACAATATACATAATAATAATAATAATAATAATCATCATCATCATTATCATTCCATCATTATTTATATTAAAAACATGTAATTTATTATTAGATATAAAATAATATTCAGTTTATAGATGGTGAATAGATATACTACTAGGAAAAAAAACTTACCTTAACAAAACTTTGCCAGCATGTGATTCTTCAGTTTCAACAGATGCATCATGCATAACTCTGATATCATCGTGAACGTCAAATGTAAAAAGTGGTCCACTCTTGCCTCTCGCCTGTAACGAGAAAAATATATATTGAAAATTTTCTAAATACTTAATGTATAACATATATTAGTATATTTTAAAAGATATATAAAGACATACCTTGGTGACAATAAAGTCGTAAAAAGTATAATGATGCGGTAAGATAAGATCCTCTTTAACGTACATCAATTGATCTGCCATTACAGTTTTAAGTTCACTAAATTCTCGCCTTAAAACTTCCAGACATCTTTGAAGTAATTGATAAATCGAGTTACCTGTAAATAATAATAACTAGTATTAATTAATATGAACTTTTTTATTGATTTTATGCAAATACTTAAATTTAACAATTGCAGATGCATGTAAAACTATGATATTACAAATACTTTCTATGACTTACCTTTCTTCATAATGACACTACGTCTATGACCAGATCCATCCCAATAACTGAAAGTTATTTCTATTTCTTCTTCCTTTAACGCATTTTGTTTTTGCGCCCATTCTTGTCGCAGTTCTTCTCTTAATCTATTTTCTTCTTCTTCTCTTTCTCTATCCGGCAAAAAGCTTGTATCCACATCGGGATTCTTCTTAATTCTTTTAATAATTGGTCCATTAATTTCATTCTTTGACTTTTCAGACTTATCAGAATTTGCATCCGATTCATCGTCTAATTCTTCAGATTCTTCATCCAAATTAAACGATAACGCTTGTATTTGTCGTTTCTGTTTATTTTTCTCTGCTTGTTTTGCAGCTAGTGCTCTTTCCTTTTCTTGTTCCTTTTCTTGTTCTTTTTGTGCAAGTTTTCTTTCACGTTCCTTCACTATGTTTTCTTGTTTAGCTTTCATCTCATTCAAGGTAACAAGACCGATGGTAGATGTTTTTAATTGCTGTTCCACTGCATTGTAATGAGTGGCAAATTTGTTTTCTATATTATGAATTTTCAGATCATCTTCTATTTTCTTTTTTCTCAATTCTATTTCCTGCTGTGCAATCTCACGTTTTTTCATGAGTTGCATGGCACGACCAGCTTCGCTGGCAGCTCCTTTATAGTGAGCCATTTTTCTTCACAAAAATATATATTTTTGTGTGTATAAAATAATAAAATTATTTTTCTATCAAAGTCTTTATAACCTTAAAGATCTATGATACTTTTGTTTTTCTGTTACACTAAAGACGTTAGTCTGCTTAAACAAATTCACTGAATATTTTGTTTACGCTAAATAAACAAAAAATAATTTTAGCACACTTTAATTTGACAATAATAGTATTATCCTGTTATAAAAACAAATCAAAAATATTCCTTAATTTAGATATACGTAAGCGTGAATCTAGAGAAGAACATAGATTATACGTGATCAACAGAGGGAAGAACACGCCATCACATTACTTAAAGCTTCTTTAGATGTCACTTCTGCCCTGTCTTTACTAAAGTTCTGGTCTATAAATTTTATGAACTATGCCATTATTTAGATCCATTGTTTATCATATTAAAACAGTAAAGATTATTAGTAGTGTGAATAATGTCGTCATTGTGTGTTATCAATCATATTTCTAAACAATATTACTAATTTTTATTCATTAAATTTATAAATAAAATTGAAAATTTATCCTGTGCATGTTGAAAATGTACACCGATTTATTATAATTGTTAGAATTATTTGAAGCTTTTTCTAGAATACTAAATAGTTTCTTGGAAAGTTTACAGACGTTAATGATAATTCTTTAATTTCTGTTGCTTCCTTTATACAAATTTCTCAGTATTACCAAAGAATTCAAATTCAAATTAGTCGGTATTTGTTCATACATATTTTTAGCTGCTGATAAGAGATGTGTTAATAGTTGTATCTTAGAGTATTTGTAATATTACTTTCAGATATTAAATCTAACACATATTATTTCAGATTATTAATATCGTGATTTGAAAAATTGTAATTATTTTAATAATAATCTTAACAAATCAACAGTAAATAAAGTTTAAGAGGAATTACCAATGAAATGAATGTATTAATTCCTTTATATCTGTACAGATGTCATACGCAAATATTTTTGAAACAGTGGTTTTTTTTTTTATTGAACGATGCGTAATTTCTAAAGAATATAAAAATTTAAGTTCATAATTTGCAAGAAATATTCCTGAACTGTAAGTGATATGTAATCAAGTAAACATGCATCACGAGATCAAGGATTAGTAATATGGTGATGTATTAGTCACGGAAAATTTCCGATCTAATCGCAATAATAAAATATGGGAGTAGGGGAAATAGGAAAGCCTGAGTGTCGCAAATCGAACGTGGCGCTTCGAGACGTTCATTTGATAAGAGAACAAAAAAAAAGTGGGAGGAGGAAAAGGAGAGTAGTAGGAAGACCTAAGAAAGAAAGAGGAAAAAGGGAAAGAGGGCAGGAAGAAAACCGTTAAATGCGAACGAGCGTTCGTATGCGCGGGTCATAAAGTGAAATTAATTGGCAGCTTCACCAACGCATGGTTGTACAGAATTCGTATCTTCTATAAAATAACAATGGCGACTTTCAAAGCAAAGAACTTTCGCTTGGCTGATATTAATGCCGTCTTCTTCGATTTGGATAATACTATCATCGAAACGAGAAAAGCAGACAGTCGAACTTGTCGAAAGGTATATATATATATACATACTATGCAATGTTTCAAACCATTTATATTTAGAAACCAACCTTTACCCCTTTCCCTCTCTCATTCCGTCTCTTTCATTCTTTCATCTTATTAATGCTGTATGATGTGTGTATATATATGCATTATATATATGTATGGAGGATGGTATGCATATATAGCTACATTCATACGTAGGATGCAACATATATGCATACCGTTCAATGACATATATGAATAGTTACTTTTAGTAATATATGAGTAAGAAGGAAGTTAATCGGTAGGTCGGCAGAGGTCAGACGCGTCGCGTTTTATGCACATTGCTCTTGCAACGGAGGTTCGCGGTAAGATACGCGACGTTTTATCCTTTGCAAGTTGTTCTTCTCTCCCTTCTCGTCGACGGAGATCAAACCCGAAATAGATACGTCCCCCTTGACGGTTGTAATTCGAGCCGACTCCCCGTTATAGCACTTTCTCCGCGAGAACTATTTTCGTACCTACCGCGCGGTATCTTTTCATCGTCGATGCGCGCGAGACGCAGAAACTGCTCACCGACGCAGCAACGTGTTTTTTAACATTCTTCTTTGGATACCACCCACGTATTTACTTTCCACGTACTTCTTCAAACTTCTTTCGAAGGAATAATATAATAATATAAACAGATACGAACATTCTAATGTTGTCATTTTGTAATCAACAAATGGCACGATGGAAAATAATTGATGAAATTGAACTACTCGATATTCATATCAAAATAAGATAGAATATTTATTTTAATGTTAAAGGACAAATATATAAAAAGAGAGAAAGTTAAATCGTTCGATATCTTGGATAAGAAGAATGAGAAATGCTTATTTCACGTTTCATTAATCTTATTATTGAGTCGATAAAGAATTATTCTTTTGTTGGGAAGAACAGAAAGGCAACGGAGGCTCACTTAACATTTTCACGAAAGCGTTTACACGTACGGATCATAGTTTCAAACTAAGAAGTTATTTTTATACCAAGAGAGAGAACGTGTCAAAGGGCAAGGCTATAGAGCTTGAGGTGTTTGTCCTAGCAGCTAGCTTCTATGCCAGTTTCCTTTCGACAGTGGTACGTGTAAGGCGTGACTCTTGAGCATTTTTCAATTGTCAATTCTTATGAAAATCATTTTCATTTTGGAGCATCGATATTCGATGCATTTCGTGAAGAGTGGTCAGTGACGTATTGCTGTATTTTGTATATGTATAGACATATATATATAAATATATATTTATTTAAAATTCATTAATACAAATAAAGCAGCAATATGAGTATTCCAGAGGAGGTCAAAAAATGTGCTTCCATTTTGAAGTCGGTTAATACCGACTCAGAAAAGTTTGCAGTCCTTTTTATGGTAACTAAATTAGTTAATGCCACGGATTGTAATCTGGCTGCTAAGCAAATGCTTTTCGAAGCCATTGGTACAAAATTTATAAAGAAATTATTATCCAGCGATACGGTTCCTGTCGATTGTCCAGCACAAGTCTATAAATCAGTAGCACTATCAATTCTTTCTGCCTTTTGCGGAGAGCCAGAATTAGCATCTCATCCGGATATGGTAACGCATGTTCCTGCTCTTCTTGAAATTATTTCTCAAGCAGATGAAGATTCAGTTGATGACATGTTAATTATTGTTATCGAAGCTTATAGATGTTTGCAAAGCATTGCACAATTTTTACCAGGTCAAAAAATACTCCTGGAACATAAAGCAATATCTAAAATGTGTGATATTTATTCAGAGAAAAGTTTTCAAACTGACGAAGCTCTAGAGATTTTAGTTACTTTAGTTGGAAGATATGGTCCAGATGCTTGGGATGCAACTGACACAATACCCTTCCATGCAATTATGAATAAAATTGCGTGCGATTTTGAAACAGATCACACAGAGAGAAAATTTAAATTATGTAGCATTTTGCAGGCATTATTAGTTTCTTGCAGAAAAGAAATGATATCAGCTTCTGCAAAAGATGAATCTTGGCCACTTAGTATTCATAAAGGATTGAGCGATATTCTTGGTTCTAAGATAGGAAAAAATCAACGAGATCCTGCTTTGAAATTAGCTTCAGTTATGATGGATCTCTTAGGTGCTGAATGGACCATGTTAAATAAGGACAAACCAAAGATACTCATATTATTGTTAATTCAATTAGCATCAATAGAAGTTAGAATGCAATTGGAAGGTCATCAGCTTAAAACTGTTGTTACAAATGGTGATTTAGTTACAGCTTGTTTTGGCATTCTTGAAATTTCTCTGATGTATATTATCTCAGATCAATTAGATTTAGAACAAAAAGAAAAACAATCTTTATATACAGCTTTGAAGGGTGCTTTTGCTGCTATTATTGGCCTATTAAATTCAGTATCAAAAATGAAAGAATTGACTGATATCAAAGAACGTATTTTCGTTTGCGCAATGGTTAGAGTAGTTGCAGCATGGTTGGCACAAGAAACAACTGCGATGAGACCACAAGTTTATGCGGTATTGCCATTTGTATTAACAATAGCTAATGATACGTTTTATGCATATCGTAATAGAAAACTTGCAGAAAAAGCTAAAGCAGGTGCTAAAGGTGGAAGTACCAAAAACGAAGAAGGATCATCCTCTGCTGAATCTATACCATGTGATCCGCTTAGTGAAGTTGATTTATTAAGACTACTTCTACCAGCCTTGTGTTATTTAGCGGTAGAAGAAGATGCTAGGCAAATTTTACTTGCTCACAAACAGGATGAAGTCTTATTTGAAAGTTTATCTTATCATTGGACAATAATACACTACAAAAAACCACCAATTCCTAGGTCAGAACGCTTAAAAGCATTGAAAGAAACTGATAAAGCAGATGAGCTTGATTTACAAACTTTAGAAGAAATGCAGGATTCAAGGCAAGCAATGGTTTCTATATGCAATGTATTAATGAATATAACTGTGCTAGAAGCCAAATTAGTAGAGAAATCTCCGATATATATATCTTTATTGAAATTCATTTTCAATAATCTTCCGGAATTGAAACAAATGCCAGACAATTTAGTTCTGCATGGTCACTTAGCAGTCTTAGGACTCTTATTATTAAAGCAACAAGCACAGCGTATTAAGAAGAATGACTTTTCAATTTGCCGTTATATTCAAGCCACCATTAGATTTTTATGGGATGCATATATAATAGATGAAAGTAATGATCCAACTGAATTAGTTGTTGCTATGTCCTATAAAGAACGTTGGATGGAACTTATGGAACTTTGGTTTCTTGGGATGCAAACAATGGCTGGAGTATTACAAGTAATACCATGGTTATCACAATTTACAATTGAATCTGGATGGGTAGAAGAAATAATTGAAACTCTGAAAAAAGTTAAAGTTGGTAGTTTACAACCAAATGTAAAATCTGCTTTCGAAGATCTTCTATGTCATTTGGTAAAGGCAGATAAAGGCGTTGCAACAGTTTTGAAGAAATGCGGAGCATTGACAGTATGCAGAAATCATCGTTTGATGGAACTTGGAAAGCACTTATTTGGAGATTAAAATTCAATCCTTTAATAATTTTTGTATTACGTATACTCTCCACTAAAATTAAAAGTAATTTTTATTAATTTTTGAAAAATTCAATATGCTTTGTGTACTATTAGAAATAGAATATATAAATTTATTTTATTATAAAACATTAAATTATAATATTGACAAAATTGTATTCTTTCAAGCAGTTTTTTGATTGAATAATATTTCGTTCAGCCAAAACTACTCTAAAATTTCTTGAAATTTTGTCTATCGAAAATGTCTATACATACGTAAATCAGATATAAATTTAGATATTAGTCTATCTGGAAATAGTTGTTTGTATTTGGCAGCAGGAAAGAAACAGGATTTTCTAAAAACAATCTTCTACATTTTATTAACATGAATATTTAAATTTGTTGAAAATATGTTTAATTTTTTCATTGATTTTTTATTACATTTGTTTGAATGTAACTAATTATGTTATTATATACAATTTTGTTTTAATAAAGAAACATAATTACAAACGTTTGCTTTACCTTAGAAAATATATGTCAAATAAAAATATAGAAAAATTATAAAAAAAACTTTATTATGTAATAAAAAAGAAAAATGATAACAATATAAATATGTACACTTAAAGATATTGTAATAATTATATCTTTTATTTCATTTGTAATAATAGAATTAGAGAAGTATGGTTGTTATCATTAAAGAGAAATATATTAACAGCTTTGTAACATGACAAAAGCATTTTTCTATTAAAGCAAATACTCTTACGATTTATCTTTACTTTTTTTTTTTATTGGCTCAGATAGCGAACCATAACATTCATCATGAACATGAATGTGAGCGTATCTTTTAGTTATGATTGAATATCTAATTCTTTTTAATTATTATTTAATCTAATGGATGGGTACAATTTCATAGCTACAATTTATAGAGTTGGAGCATCATAAATTTGTTGTTGGCACAACTGATTTTGTTGTGATTACAGCAACGTCCGCGGGTGCTACTTCGAGTGTCCACTAATCGGCTCGAGTATTTCAATGAATCAATGCATTTTCTAGGTAATCATTAATATGAATTAAATGTCCTATATAATCCTAATTGATCGCTTCTGTCCTTTGATCCAGTGAAGTCTCTTTTAAGCTGTATATAAATCCACGTTCAATATTTTGTCCATTTCAAAAAACTATGCTTTATTTATTATTATATTGTTTAATAAATAGTTTAATTTTTCAGATATTATATTATCATATGTTTAATAAAACAAGTGATGAAATTACTTTCGTAAATAGCAATTTATTGAATGTGGAGATCATTACTGTCCTTTATTTTCCTCTCATTTTTCATTTTCATTCATCATTCTTAACATTATTTGAAATAAAAAGAAATGAATGTGAAATCTAAATCTAATCTGTGATATTATATATGTACCTTTAGCTGGCTGAGGAGCTGACACAAGAATATGGAATTCCTGAAGAAGTATCCATTAAAATAACGACTACATATTTGAAGCTATTCAGAAAATGTCCAGATAATTGTACCTGCTCGTTAGATGCTTGGCGAATGATATTATGGAATAAAGCATTAGGAGAAAAGTATTCATATTTAGCCAAAAATGTTTACGAGCGTTGGTTATATTTAAGATACCAATATTTGGCATTAGAATCTGATATAATTGCATTACTTCGACGGTTGAAAGAAAAATATTTGTTGGGATTAATAACGAATGGACCATCCAATTCACAATGGGAAAAAGTGAGAAAGCTTTCATTAGAACAATACTTTGATATTATTTTAGTATCAGGTGATTTGCCATGGGAAAAGCCAGAAACAAGAATTTTTGAAGAGGCATGTCAGTTTCTTCGTGTAACACCAAGTAATTGCATAATGATTGGTGATAAATTAGAAACAGATATCTTAGGTACGTTCTACTTATATAAATATAATATATTATTTGTTAGGTTACAATTAATATATTATATTATACAAACAAAATACATTTATAATATATAAATCCAGCAATAATATATTTTACGTATTAAATCAGGTGGAATAGAAGCAGGTTTTGGTGCCACTGTATGGATACCAATTGTAGATAAACTACACTTAAATGCAAATGATCCACAACCTGATTTTATTGTAAGACGTTTAATGGATATTTCAAATATATTGAATCGTAAACCAGGTGCACCGGAACTTGAAGATACTTCCTCTAATGCATCTGATGGCAGCTAATATAATACTATGCTTCTATCTTCTTTTTTATAATGCATAGTTGAGAAATATTCTACAATCATACACATCTCAAAAGTGACTTGTTATATTTTCGGTAGCTAACCAAGTTTGTGTTAGATATTGCAAATAACTCATTAGCTTGATTGATTAGCATATATTGAATATCACAGATCTTGTTTTATTTTTCTTTAGAGTATTTTGATAAATACTGCCTTTATTCTTTTCTTTTATGGTTACCATTTTTATCTGTTAAGCATTATTAAATATCTACAATGAATAATTTAGTTAAAAATTGTATTTTATATTATGATACTTAAGTACTTTTATCTCGAGTTCTCTGAGAAAAAAAGAGACGTAACGAATGTACAAAGCACAGTGCACAAATAGACCTACTTAGTTATGAACTTGGGGGGAAAAACCTGAGTATGGTAATGGGAAGGAGTAAGTGAGTCTTATTCCAGATAGATACAAATAGACTATTATACAAAATTTATTTGCAATGCAATATAATAAAATATTTTAGTATACTCGTGTTTCACAGTAATTTAACTGTGCGAACTTGTTCGGACTTGCACAATTTATACGTGCATCATGTAATTACGTGTAGATAAACTATGTATGTGTATATATACACAAAACAGGACATATATTTTTTACTATATATTTTATTTTTTTGAAAAAAAGAGGAAAAATAAAGAAAAACAAGTTTCACGATATTCTCGAAATAATGGGAATCTCTGTAATATAACACTTATAATATAGAAGAATAAATGTGTATGTAATGATATAAATGTATCTTTTTATGTAAATATCAAATAATCCTTAACATTTACAAAAATCTAAAAAGATTGAACATTAATGGAATATATATATACCATTTATATTATGGACGATAGCAATTTATAAAGATGTTTTTATTTTTTTACGTCATTTACGTTATAATTTTTTCTATCATTCTTATTGGTTTCACTTAAAAAAGTTTCTATTTCCTTATTAATTGTTGATCCATATCCAATTAATTTGGACACATTCATTTCTATTTTATTTTGTCCCTGAATCATATTTTAAATTATTAATAATTAAAAACAAGAGTTCTCTGCACGTCCGAGTTCAATTTTCTTACCTCTTTATTTTCTTGTTGTATTATTGTATCGATTTTATCTGTTATATCTATTCGAGTAATACATCTGGGAGATTTCCTTTTATCCATATCCAATTTTGTAATACTGATATTTCGAATTGGTTCATTAATTTTTTCTTTTGCTTCAAAAATAGATGGAGTCTTTGTTTTGCGAGAAATTGCTACTAATTTTTTTAATTCTCTATCTTTTTTTTTCAGTACATCTCTTTTTGGTTTAATAGAGATACTTTTGATTGACTTATTATCAACAGTTCTTGAAGATCCAGATCTCTTTGGAATCTTTTCTTTCTTTAATTTTTTTGTTTGCGCTGTTGACTTTGTCTGAAAAATCATCAACGTTTATTATACAAATTCTCTTTTTCATTATAATTTATATTTAAATATAAAACAGACCTTATCACTTATGCGAGAATCGTTTGAATTTTTCTTTATTTTTTGTGACGAAAGAAACTTTTGTGTTGATTTAATTATTGGTATTCGATATTTATAATCCAATTTTTCTGCTGATTTTTCTATAACATTCAATGCATGGGCTTTAATTTCAGCTGTTTTGTCATGACTCCATGGGAGGATATCTGTTGGAGGAATGCTTGGAACCTCCATATTTTCATTTATACATTTCTTTTCTTTGTACTCTTCTGTAGCCTGTACTCCTCCTAATTTGTTCATTTTTATTCTTGAACCAACATTTATTTGTATTTCTGTTTGAATGACTTCATCCGCAACATTCAATGGTATGTTCTCTTCTTGGTGTAATTGCAAAAATGTCGAGCACATTCTTGTGCATATAAATTTTATTTATAATTTTATAATTACTTGTTACATACACTAATATAATTAATGTATATACAATTAACACAATATCAATATATTTTACACCACAAAAACATAAACTTATTTGTTAACTATATACAGAGTAACAAATATTATCAGCTGCTCTGTTTGCTACACACAACAAAATAAATAAACTGAAGTTTTTATACGCATTTTTACAAGTTTTTTTATGAAGATATGTGTAATTAAGCAAATAAAAATAGCTTACGGCTCTGTATAATTATCATTGTGTAGAGTTACTGGGCTTCGCGGTGTTTGTATCATTTCATCCTGTTTTGATGAAAGATCATCTGTGATTGAGCTCTTGTTCTCGTTTTCTAAAATCTGATTTTTAGTTTCTGATATCAAATCTTCAAGAAACGTGTTTTCTGGACTGAATGTATTTTCTTTTTGAAGTTCTACATTGTTTAAATTATCAGGAAGAGTTTCTGATTTATTAGGAGGAATAGTATTTTTTATTTTTAATTCTACCTGTAATGTTTATACCATAATTAAAATATAGTTTTGTAATAAATGCAGCTATGCAATAAAAAAGATCATCAAAATAATACCATATTATCAAGAACAGTTTCCATGCTCTTATGATGTAAACTCTTACAAATATTTTCTGCTTGTTTAGGATCTATGCCAACTTCTAATAATGATGTAAGTATGTCACGCTCTGTTATGAGAAGTTCTGGATTTGCATCAATCAAAACTACTGACTTTTTTGATCTTGGTTCTTTGTTACATTGAGTTTCCATTAATTTTTGGTAAGATAACAACTTTCCTATTACTTTGTTCTCATCTAGTACCTTTGGTGGAGTTGGTGGTCTGACTTCATGTAACTGTATTTGATCCGTATTAAAAAATTCTGTATCATCATCCGATGCATCAGACTCTTCTGACACATTTAAAAAAGTTTTCAATCGATATATTTCTTTCAACATTTTATTCTATATAAGAAATAAAATAAGATTTTCATATGTTTTATAACATAAAAGTACAACTTATGCATTTAATAAATAGGCATATATTTACCAGATCAAGTGTAGTTCTATGTCGTTGTAAATGTTTTTTAAATATTTCATTTAGTTCCTTATCGGTATAGATACCATATTTAATAATATCTTTGGTAATCTCGTAAGCAAATTGAACGTATCTTGCATCCTCTTTTGCTTCAATTTCTGCATACTTACGTGTATGCATTTGTACTGGACTTGATAAGGCAGAAGAAGCATAATCTTCTTGTATTATAGAACTGGAACTTGAACCAGAATCAGAATGATAATGATTTGTAGGTGACTCAAAAGGTTTTCCACAGGTAAAGTAAATTGGTTTCTCATCACACCTGCATTTTCTTTTTAAAGAAAGCTCTTATTTAATTAAATCAACATTTAATGTCAATTTAAGTATTATTATAGCTATTATAAAAAGTTACTTAAATCTGATTGTAAATTATTATTAATCTTACCTGTGAACGATACGTTTTTTCGAATTCAATCCTTTAATGTATTTTTTTCCAGAAGTTTTAGGTCGATTCTCGCTCATATCTGATACTTTTTTTTTAGATTTTAACATTGAACGATTTTGATAATTACTTTTACTGTTACTTTCAGTATCAGCAGCTTGCATTGCTAATTGTGAATAATCTACATCGCTTATGTTATATGGATATGTTTCACAATTGTCTTCCTCTGAGTAACGTGAAGAATATTTATCTAAATTCATCCTGAGCATATCCTATTTCAATTATCGTTCAAGAAATATAAAAATGTTTTCATTAGTTATATATTATATATTCTATAATACGTATACATTAAAAAATATATGAACATACCATAGGATGATGTTTGGTATCAAAAGCCAATTGATCAATAAAATTATCCAAACTGAATTTCCTTGGAAGTTGTGCTTTTAATTCTTTTTTCTTATTATTTATATATTTTTTATTTCGAGCATCAACAACACTTTTTGCTAATAAAACTCGACGTATGTGAAATCGCATTGAGTTATATGCGGATAATTGTTCAAAATAATTTTCTCCAGCCAAGTTGTATACTAAATAGAAAATACAATCATATTCAATAATTATTTATCATTATTTATTATTAATCATTATATTATGTCATTCAAAAAATACATTTGGTGTATTGTGAAGTAAGTTTTGAAAATATATTTTTCTACTTCTTCATATAGTATTTATAATATAATTTATAAATATGCAATAAAAATATAGACAAATTTATTGGCAAATAAATTCAGGGAAAATTAAAACTCACATTACTCCAAATTCAGGCAACATTTGGAACATCTTAGATTTGGAATATACATGCATGCAAAAAAGAATACTTATATATAAGTACTCTAAAGAAAAAGATTCAGAAACTGTTATACTTAAGAATATAATAAATACATTATACATACCACTGCTTTTGAGATTAATATCACTGTTGTGAAGCCGTGTCATTTTTATTTTTATGAAAGATGCAATTAAAACTTCAAGCAGATATTGTTTTAGTATATAAATTTTCAAATAATATAAGAGATTAAATATTCTAACATTACACTTTATCCATTGTAAATTTTGTCATTATGGCAGTTTCGATAATTATTTAAGGTTTTGTTTCAAAATTTTCAATCATATTTGGAATAATTTTGCTTAAGGCAAAAGAAAAGAAAATCTTTGCTCTTTCCACTTAAAATTGACTGTACATAAATGCATCATTAGGTTGCTTAGCAACAGAAAACAGTTATGCTGAGTAAATACTTATGCTTAATCCTTTCATTAAGGGATTACATAGGTTTGGGACTTTCAAACAAATTTTTTTTTATCTTTTTAAATTCTATAACTCATCTAGAAAATTGTATTCAATTTTGAAGTCGATAGGAGTAGTAGTTTTAAAGCTAGAGCCCTGGGAAGTTCCACTCTTTAATGGCTCTTATACCAGCACTCAAATCTTTAAACGCGTTTTTCGACGGAATTGACGTCGCAATGGCTGAGTTTCAAATATTTGCAACCCTGACGCAACCCGTATCTTAAATGCTATAAAAAGTTTGAATAAAAATTCCATTTTTTATATAGAAAAAAAAAAATTGTTGAAAATATGCTATTTTTTCCCGTAACCCCTTAATTTAATTCAGAAATTAGGTTTACTTACAATTAGTATGAAACAGCATTTTTCGATTTTTATACATATATCTTAAGAGTGTGTATTGAATACTAAAAAAAGATAAAAAGAAAAATAATATCCATATCTATACATTATACATAAATATAGATAGTTGGTGTTAATACATTTGGTGTATTGTATACATAAGTATAAATAGTTGTTAGTATATATTAAATCATTACTTTTTAACTATATTTAATATAATTTTCAACCAAAAAAATGCCATTAAAGGGGATAAAAGTTATAGAAATGGCTGGACTTGCTCCAGGACCATTTTGTGGAATGTTATTAGCAGAATTTGGAGCTAGTGTAATAAGAGTAGATAAAGTAAGTACAATTATTTGTTACAAAATTTTGCTTGTAAACTTTACAAATATATATTTATAGGTTGGAAATGAGTTAACAATTCCTGATCTCGCTGCTCATGGAAAACGATCAATAGCATTAAATTTGAAAACCAAGGGGGGTGTTGAAGTTTTTAAAAAAATGAGCAGACATAGCGATATAATAATAGATCCCTTTCGTAGAGGTCAACAGCATATTCTATCGTATGAATATAAAAATAGAATTTTTATTTATTTATACAAATATTTATCTATACAATTTTTGCAATAGGTGTTATGGAAAAAATGAAAATAGGACCTGATGATATAATGCAGATTAACAAACAGATCATTTATGCCAGATTAACTGGATTTGGACAAAAAGGTCCATATGCAGATATGGCAGGTCATGATATTAATTTTTTAGGTTTGTCAGGTACTAATATTTCACATGTATAAGTATCAATACTTTTTATTTTACAAAGTTGTGTCATTTATTGTTTTATTAACAAATTAAATATTTTCATTTAGGTTTACTTTCTTTATTTGGTCGTGCTAACGAGAAACCAACACCGCCTGTCAATCTGGCTGCTGATTTTGGTGGCGGTGGTTTAATGTGTGCATTAGGTATCATTTTAGCACTTTTTGAACGTAGCCGTAGTAATTTAGGCCAGGTTGTAGATGCTTCTATGGTAGAAGGTACAGCGTATTTAGGAAGTTGGATGTTTAGGACTCAACAGGTACCTGGGTTATGGAGTAACCCACGTGGGCAGAATATGTGAGGATACTAATCTTTTTTCTTTTTTATTTTATCAAGTGAAAATGTAATTTATTAAGAGCACTTCAAATATGTTCTTGTAGACTAGACACAGGCACACATTTTTACAACACTTATGAAACAAAGGATAAACGTTATATGGCCATTGGTGCTTTGGAAGGAAAATTTTACAATAATTTGTTAGAGAAACTTGGTTTATCTAAAGATGAAGTACCACAATTTGACAACTTTGGTAAAAATCATGCATTGTTTGTTGATTTATTTAAGGAAAAAACCCAGGCCGAATGGTGTGCTATTTTTGATGGTGTAGATGCTTGCGTAACACCAATTTTAAACTTAGAAGACACACCGCATCATCCACATAATAAAGAAAATGAAACGTTCAGAATTACAGAAAATAATTTAGTAATACCAAACCCTACACCACGATTATCTCGTACACCTGGTATCTCAATGACAACTTGTAAAAATCCAGAACCAGGAGAACATAGTGTTGAAATTCTGAATGAATTAGGTTTCGATTCTAAAGAAATCGACAATTTTTTAACTAATGAAATAGTTATACAAGCTCAATTTAATAGTAAATTATAAAACTGTCCTATAATTATAATGAAACAAATTCAATATTTGTTTAATAATATTAGCAAATGGAAGGTTGGGAATGGTTGGGGAAGAACATAAAAACATATATCTTAATATATATGTATATATAAAAGTAAGAATATATTATATGTAAATAAATAAATTTAAATATTTTTTAAATTTCAAATTTAGTAATAATTAATGTTGTTTTTATATCATACATTTGCTAAGTTGTTTAGTAATAATCTAACCAACGTAACCTAAAAAGAACGAAATTAATTATTGTTAAACTCACAACCGGATCTTCTACACTGTCCATTACACAATACATCGCATTTTTCACAATACGCAAAAAATGTATTTGATTTTTTCGTGTGACTGTGTATGAGAATCGACGAATATTTCTGGTTTTAAATATCTACATATGCAAATATTTAAAAAACCTTGTTTATGCAACGTAACGATTCAAGTTTTTCATTTATATATATAATAACTGCTACGACTCTTAATGAATTTTCTATAAAAAAGTAATTTATATAATAACAAATATTGTCTTAAACGGATCAATTGATATTATTTGTATTCGTATTAATTTTGTACGATATTCAATTAAGTAACAGTCGTCATGTATTTGTGGCACTAACCTAAAATAAATAACGTACGAACGTACATTTTTTCTTTGATATATTTATATTTCTTAAAAATATGTATATCTTTTAAAAACAGTATGCGAAAATAGGTCTTATTTAATTTTTAAAAATATACAATAGAAATATATAAAACAATCCATAATGAAATATAAGATACAATAATATATGAAAAATAAATGTAATGTCTATATTGCAGGTTACAATTAATAGATTGTTGGAAGGAAATTGTATAAATTTTGTTTTATTTAATTATATAAAGAAATGTTGAGGAGAAGGCACGTTAACATTAAGACTGTGAAAGAACTTGATGCATTTCCTAAAGTACCTGAACCATATGTAGATAAAACTGCAGTTGGTGGGACTTGTAAGTACATTTAAATAATATAAGTTTAAAATAAGTTGCGAGATAAAAAATGTTTAATATTGTATGTGTATTTCTTTTCATCTATGTTTCAGTTTCTATTTTTACATTTTGTATTATAGCTTATTTAATAATAGCAGAAACAAGTTATTTCCTTGACAGTAGATTACAATTCAAATTTGAACCAGATACAGATTTTGATGCAAAATTGAAAATTAATATTGATATAACTGTGGCAATGCCATGTGGTCGTATCGGAGCAGATATTTTAGATTCTACGAATCAGAATTTAGTAGGTTTTGATACTTTAGAAGAGGAAGATACTTGGTGGGAGTTGAGTTCAGAGCAAAGATCACATTTTGAAGCTTTGAAATATATGAATTCATATTTAAGAGAAGAGTATCATGCGATTCATGAATTACTTTGGAAATCTAATCAAATTACGTTGCGCAGCGAAATGCCAAAAAGGTTTACATATCTTTTTAAGTTATTATGTAGTATACTTTACTTTGCAATAATCATATAGATTAATTTAATATGTCATATTATTTTATTTAGAACTCACGAGCCATCATATATGCCAGATGCATGTCGAATTCATGGTAGTATAAATGCAAATAAAGTAGCTGGAAACTTTCACATAACTGCTGGGAAATCTTTACCTCTTCCGAGAGATCACATACATATTTCTGCATTTATGACTAGTAGAGATTACAATTTTACTCATAGAATTAATAAGTTTTCTTTTGGAGGGCCTAGTCCTGGTATTGTACATCCTCTTGAAGGAGATGAAAAAATTGCTGACAATAGTAAATTAAAGTTCAATTTACTAATATTATAAATTAAATTATTTAATTTATTTTTGTAATTATTAATATTTAATTTATTTTTTAGATATGTTGCTATATCAGTATTTTGTGGAAGTAGTTCCCACTGATATAAGAACTTTGTTAAATACATTTAAAACATATCAATATAGCGTAAAAGATCATCAAAGACCTATCGATCATTTAAAAGGATCTCATGGAATACCTGGCATATTTTTTAAATATGATATGAGCGCTTTGAAGATAAAAATTACTCACCAACGTGATACCATAACACAATTTTTAGTAAAATTATGTGCTACAGTTGGAGGTATATTTGTTACGAGTGGTAAGTATGTGTATATTATAAGCCTGTGTATTATTTAATACAAAATAATTAGATTTTATAAATGTTGAAAACATTTACAGGTTTGATAAAAAATATTATACAAAGTTTTTGGTATATCATGTCTTGCAAATTTTTCCATAATGAGCCTGATATAAATAATCAAAGAGCATCTGTTTACTCTGTCGCAAGAAATTACGAAAGTCCGCAAACTATAAATTTACTTCAAGTTTCAGCACCCGATAATATTGATATTATGTTAAAACCTCAGAAAAACAGTTATATAAATTGATTTTATTAAGCATTAACCATTATGGTATTAATATGCTGCATTAATTTTACAATAATTTTTGCTAGATACCTAACATATTTGTTGAATCTAGTAAATATTGTAATATAATTAACACATTCAAGACCAGTTCTACGTCATTTCGAAATATGTAGCTCAATGTTAGCAATGTTATCCTACACAATTAAAAAAAAATATTCAAGTTTAATTATTAATTTATTTTTTCAATTTTGTTTGATTATTAAAGTATTTATTTTTATTGTATTTGTTCGTGAAATTTGGTTAATTGTAGTATTATTTCTTAATTTAAGAATATTTTATATATTTCCAGTTATTATTATATACGGTATTCAACTAAACATCTTGCATGAACAACACCGATCGTGAATGTGTCAAAGTATTATTGTGCATAAAGAAAATTTGAAATATAGATCTAATATAAATAATTTAATGTATATAATTTTTCCCACATGTAATTTTATTTTGAATTTGATCATTTTATACTATATATATTTGTGGGATATATATATAAACTAAAATAAGAAATTTATGCAACTGAGAGAAAGCTACACTTGATGTTATGGTAGAACGAATTAGAGATGCAGTTGCAGCTCTTTTGCAATAGAGCAATTTTCTCCTTTCAAATATTTGAATACGATTTTAAACATATTGTCTGGAGAAAAATTATTTATTTTCTTTAGAGCAATATTGCTATTATTCATTTGAAATCTATATAATCGATAAATCGAGTTGGTCGATTAAAACGATTATTTTCGATATTTAAGTTTACAACCGGGTTGCCACGCCTGCATGTGAGCAGTGGACGTATTATCTGCGTCCTGTCAAATTAAAAGTAGCAAGAATAAGGAGCTGTTACTTTGCAATGCAAAGTGTACTTTATGTTATTAAAACATGGGTTTTTTGGAGGATACTTTTGTGATCCTTATTACACAGGTGGAAACCCATTTATAGTTCTAATGAACCATTGACATTGCATTATGAAAAAAGAGGGTTAAGTTGCATATATGTAGTAATCAGTCAACACATTCTTTTTTTTTGAAAGTTGAATTATTCATTTTCTAAAAGTTTTATGCTACGAATGATAGAAACAACAATTTATTATTAAACAATTTAAAAAATATTTATTGAAATATGAATATATATTTAAATATGAAGATATTTATGTTACATTTGGTCTCACGTCTACTTTTATCTTTTTTTCCAAATACTTTTGAACCGTGTAAATATCTATAAATATTGTACGTTGATAAGTGTTATTTAATCATATTAAAGTAATCTTACATTTATATTTCATATATTTTTCATTGTAATGACAAGTATATTATTACAATAAATATACTATGGCATGACTTTTTCGTATTTTCTTTTATGATTCAATAAATTTTTGTGTAATTCAAACATTCATTTGGTCAAAATCTTGATTATTAATATATGAGTATCACATCCAATTATTTTGATTTTTTTTTTGCTTATATTGCAGGTAATATTTTTCTTAGGAGGATGGATATTTTTTGTAAAAAAATTATTTCGTGATTATGAAGTACACCACAGATTAGTACAGTTAATATTTTCTACAACATTTTCCTTATCATGTACTATGTTTGAACTTATAATTTTTGAAATAATTCGGGTTCTTGACTCAAGGTAAGAAAATGTTAATAAATATTAAAATAAGTAAAAAAGAAAAGCATTGTTAAACATAATTGTTTGTCATCAGTTCTAGATATTTTCATTGGAATGTTGGGCTATATATGCTTTTATTTATGGTAATAGTTCTTATACCATTTTATATAGCATATTTTATTATCAGTAACATTAGATTTGGTATGTACTTTTTTTCCTATACACTTATGTTATTTATATATTTTTTAATTAATTTAATTTTGGTATAGTAAGACTGAATTGGATAAGGCCACTTACAATCATAGTATATCTTTTTTACCTCTACTTATTTTGGAAAATTGGTGACCCTTTTCCAATATTGAGTCCAAAGAAAGGATTGTTATCAATAGAGCAAGGTGTAAGCCGAATAGGCGTTATAGGAGTTACTGTTATGGCACTTTTATCTGGTTTTGGTGCTGTAAATTATCCATATTCCTCTATGGCCTATTTTATGCGGCCTGTGTCTTACGCTGACGTACAAGCTATAGAAAAACGATTGTTACAAACAATGGATATGATCATAGTTAAGAAAAAAAGAATAGCACTTGCTAAAAAAGGTGAAGTGGTTGGACAAAGCGAAGCTCGTTCACGACTTTGGGGAATGTTAGGTCCTTTAGGTGGTACAAAAGGGAATCAAGAAAGTGTGTATTGTATTAACATTTTATAATAACAAATCAAATAACACATATGATTATCAACATTTAATATTTACTGTGTTAATTTTCAGCTATAAAACAATTACAAATAGAAGTTATAGCATTAGAAGAATTATGTAGACAATTATTTCTAGAAGCACACGATATTCAAAATGCTAGAGAGCGTTTAGAATGGGCAGCTACGTGGCAAGGAAAATATTTCAATTTCCTTGGCTACTTTTTTTCAATATATTGCATTTGGAAAATATTTATAGTTAGTATACTTTAACATCAACAAAATTACAAACAATAATATTTGATAAACGATGAAATATTAAATTACATTTCGTTTTGCAGTCCACAATTAATATAGTCTTTGATCGCGTTGGTAAAAAAGATCCTGTTACCAGAGGAATTGAAATAGCTGTTCATTGGATGGGTTTTGATATAGATGTTACATTTTGGTCACAACATATATCATTCTATTTAGTTGGATGCATCGTTTTGACTTCTATCCGTGGATTGTTATTAACTCTTACAAAGGTACGATATAAATTTCACAAATAATAATATGTACAGTTATTCAATCAATTTATGTCAATCAATCTCTTTATTTATATATTTTTAAGAATATTAGTTCCTTATTGTAGTATCATTTGATTTTCACATTTAACTGATTGACTGATATATGCAAAATTGTATATTATTTGAGTAAAAGTGAAGAACATGATTTACAATTTTTGTGATATACGACTAATTTTTTATTATCAGTCTTCATAACAAAAAAATGCTTACCACAAATGTAATTTCATGTTCATATTTCAGTTCTTCTATGCTATATCAAGCAGCAAATCCTCAAATATTATTGTACTTATACTTGCACAAATAATGGTAAGATTTGTTCTTTTTTTTTATTCCTTTATATATGACTTTTTCTTACAATTGTTTTGTTGCAATGCGAAGGCAGTTTATGTAATTTTATTTTCCTCTATTCTAGGGAATGTATTTTGTGTCATCTGTATTACTTATGCGCATGAATATGCCTGCTGAATACAGAATAATTATAACACAAGTTTTGGGTGAACTTCAGTTTAATTTCTATCACAGATGGTTTGATGTCATTTTTTTGGTATCTGCGCTATCATCTATAGTGTTTTTGTATCTAGCTCATAAGCAAGCACCGACGGAACGGACATAACTAAATAAATGATTTTTGTGAACTAAATATAATTTATATTGGAATTTTGCATTTCACAAAAAAAAAATCTTCAATTGTACATAAATTGTTATATTTTTCATTAAATAATAGTTCACATTGTTTCATTAACATTTATTTATTTTTCTAAAAAACTTCATGCATGCGATACAAAGAAAGATACCACATACATAATATTAATTTATGCTGCTTGATTGCATAGTGTTATGTTACACAAAAAAATTTGTTCAGGTAACAAATGCATTTTTTCTATTATAACAACTAAATTGCATTTGTATTTACTTTAACATACATTACTTTCTGGATCACAGATGGCTGAAGGATTGATATTACCATGAAAAAATTGATTTTGCTGTATAATTTCTGATTTGATATGAGAATAACCATTGGTTTAACGAATTAATTCAATAGTCCACTCTTCGCTCATATTTACACCTGGCTTACGCAATGTTAGTACATTGTTATTGGGATTATATTTAGTTTCTAATGTTATTGTTCTTGAACCTGTAATAAAATGAAGAAATTATAATTATCTTTCTTTTTAACTTTTTAAAATGAATTCAATCTATATTTTAATACTTACTGCGCGATACAAGCTGAGCAGATTTAATTCCTTTAGGAGGATTTGCTATATCTACTCTTTCCAACCAGCTTTTAGTTTCATATGAAGCTAACTTATCAATAAATGTTGAAGTTAATTTAGTTCCATCAAAGTTAAGTTTTAAATAAAGGTATTTTCCATGACGATATTCAAAGCTGCTTTCATCATCAATATACAGATTACCACTGGCATTGCCATTACTATCAGCAATAACAATTAAAGTATATGGATCATTTCTCATTGCAACTGTGCTACGACGTATTCTCATTTTACGCGGAATGATTGAACCACTTCTTTGGAATACAGGAATCTTGTGAATAGTTACTTGAATATTGTTTGATCCAGCTTGCGTATATGGTTGCATGGTATCGATATCATACCAGGTCACCTTACCTTCCCCTGGGAAGTATACATTAACTTCTGTAGCAGAAGGTTGAAATACTGGGCGTACAAGAATGGAATCTCCAACGAGTATGTGATCGTCGATTGTATAAGTTTGTGTTTCCGTTGGATAATGTGCCCATATTGGTAGTATTACAGGTGTGCCTTTTATTTCATGTTCTCTAAACAATGTATACCATAATGGCAAGTAGGAATATCTAACTCTAAATGATTCTCTTACTATTTGTGTAGTTTCATCATTAAATGTCCATGGTTCACGTCTTTTAGTCTCGATGTGTGAATGTTGACGGAAGAAAGGTAGCCAAGCGCCAGCTTGATTCCATCTGATAAATAGTTCTCTGTCTGGATTTTTAAAGAATCCACCAACATCGGCACCACAGAATGACATGCCAGAAACAGATGCAGAAAGACACATTGGGTAACTTATACGAAGATTTTCCCAATCTCCCATATTATCACCAGTCCACATTGCAGCATAACGTTGTGATCCAGCAAAGAAAGATCTTGTTAAAATAAAAGGTCTTAAGGATCCTCCTGATCTTCTAAAAAGAGCTTCATAAGTGGAAAGTGTATAAAGAAGACCATTGATATTATGAACATCTCTATGTTCCCAACCGCCATAATGTAGAACATCTTTAGGTAAAGTTACTTCTGGACCATTAAAAACACTCGGTTCATTCATGTCATTCCAGATATGTACATTGTTTGTAGTACCATGAAATTTATCTAAACTGTATTGACCAATATAATATTCTCGAACTTTTGGATCAAAGAAATCTAAGTACGATGATGACCCTGGCCAGCACCAACCTTCATAATCTTTTCCATCTTTAGTTTTAATGTAATATCCCATACTAGTAGCATCGTTATGTAAGAAATAATTTGGATCTCTTTTGATGTGTGGATCAATAATGACAACTAATTTTCTCCCTTTATCCGTTAAATTTTGAACCATTTCAAGAGGATTTGGAAATTTACGTGAATCCCATGTAAAATATTTTTTATTATCTGTATATTCGATATCAAGCCACATTGTATCCATTGGGACATCGTGCTCATCGAAGCCATTGGCAATTTGAGCTACATCATCTTGATCATTATAATTCCAACGTGATTGATGATAGCCCAATGCAAACATCTGCAATGTAAATTAGTTTTTGAATCACCTTGATAGAAATCATATCTATATAGACAACTGGCGTTTGCATTTTAATATACGTAAATAATGTATACCTGCGGTAAGGGTGCTGTACCAGTTAAAACAGTGAATTGTCTAAATACATCCAAAGGTTTAGGTCCTAACATGAAGAATACATCAATAATTCCAGATTCAGACATGAAGTGAACATCAACTTGCGATTTCTTTGTAGAACCCGAAACAAAATTAACCAAACTTTCTACAACATTATTGTCAGCACTCGATAAAACATCAATCCATGTTTCTGCTGCATTATGCCAAAAGATACCTGTTGTTTTGTCTTTACTATAAAATAAAATGTTAAGTTAGTATTGTATATATATATGGTATTATATCTATTTGAATTTTGAAAATAATTACACGTACCCATGCGCATAAAGAACTGGAATTGCTCCATATAATGACATTCGTTCATTTATCTCATATTCAAATACGTCTAAATTATATAGCCTATATGGCTCTAGTTGTTTAGTAGATTTTAAAGCAAAAGAATCTGCATGTTCCGGTATACCATAAGCTTGTTCTGCTCCTGGAAAACTAAAGTCTAAAGCTACTGCTTCAGGTCCATAGGGTTTAGAGTCATGATGGTTTTTAAAATTTTCTTCCCAAGCACCAGGATCGTTATCAGCACCGTCACCAGGAAATTGTTGCGATTGCTGTTTATCTTCAGTTTGAATATTTTCTTCTTTCTCTTCTTGATCTGATTTGCTAAAAAAAATCAATGAAAGATTATATTTTCGTATCTCTTTTTTGATTTAAATAACATATATTCTTTTCATATATGATGTATACCTTTGTGGTTTATTTCGAAGATGCTCAAATCTCATTAGACCACGAGCATTAGCTGAAATGACTAATACATCTTGATAATATAAATCTACTCTAAAAGGATTGATATTTAAAACAGCTTTGTTCTCTCCATTGGTGACAGATATGTATTCTGCAGTTTTTTCAACGCTATCCACCGTCGATGTTTGTGGCTGATCTTGCAAAGAATGTTCGACTTCATATCGTGGATGTAATGGATTTTTTTCATTAATGTGAAGTCTGAACGTATGATCTTTAAGTACAGTAAGTTTTAAAAGATAAAATACACCAGTATCTCTATTAAATAAATCTACTGTTAGCGTCGATTCATTGTGTGCAATTGTATTCGGTTCTAACTGATACGGTGTTTTTCCTGGTTCAACTTTTTTGCAACGCCTATATAAGGGGACAAATAAAATATTGATAAAAATATGAAAAGAAAGAATATAGAAAATATATAATAATACTATAAATGATCAAAGATTAAATTAAACGTTAATATTTACCGACAGAAACTGCTTTGTCCGCATGTTTTAAAAGCATCTCTATTGACTGCATTAATAATAAATGGGCAAAGTGCTAGCACAAAAAATATTCCCAGTCTGAAATAAGAAATAATTCCAAATTAATGTAATCTTATAAATTCTTAAACTTAATCTACTTTAAGAAAGAAAGAAAATATTTGAAACTTTCCATATTTATTTTGCCTTTGTAGAAATAAACAAGGAAAAAAAAAGAAAAAGAAAGAAAAAAAAAAGACAAGACTTAAACTACGACATTATCGCCATAATTAGAGTGCTCGAAGAAGTAACGTTAGTACTATCGATTATTATCGAATGCATAAAGATAATGTACGAATAATATTAAATGATATCCTTTTTTTTCTATTATATAAAATGTCGAATTTAATAATAGCCGGTATGTAAAAATACAGTAATTAATAACGAGAAATAAATATGAATGACACGTCAGCTTGATCATTGTTACGTTATACCGATTGTGTTAAATAAAATCGTTTAATTAGAAGTAATAATTTAATCGATATTTGATGGTCCTATCTTGAATGGATTTATCTAATAAAATTTTCTTTTATCGTAGACGAATCGATAAGCTTTTATGTGAAGGTTAAATGGCTAAAAAATAATCAACTCACCGCACAAACGAAGCCATGTTGAAAAGTACCGAGCTTCTGTCATGCCACCTTACATCTAACTGGATACGAATTCAGAAACGTAATTGATTTTATAGATGGCGCGTCATTTGTTCTTTCCTTCGGCGCATTTATCGAATGAGTTTTTCAATTTTATAAAAACAAATATAATATATATATATATAAATCACATTTTTCCAACATTTTTCTCTTCTATTCTTTATCGTTATCATAAAAAAACAAGTAAAATGACGTCATATAATGAGACGTAACAACTTACACGCACATATATACATATATATATATATATATGCGTATTTACTATCATGTAATAATTAACATCGCACATTCATTTTATTAGAATTACAAGAGTTATGCATTCAGTCAGCAGGGAAAATACAGTTCTATGAATAAACTATTTATATATTACAAGATTAATATAGAAGTTTGGCACTCGGATCGGTTCACTTATTGGATGTAAAAAAGCCTAACTGTTTTCCATTTACATATTATAGCATATTCATTAAATTCTTATTCTTATCGGATAATTCTCGATAGAAATGATGTTATTGTATATGCTATTAAATTAGCGAAAACAGTATTCGCCACGTAAATACATATTACGATAATGATTAATTTCTATTATTAACATTCACATTAGAGCATCTTACGAATCGTACAATCATCCCTAAGGGTCCATTATCAAAGTCGTCGTTTAATTAAGGTCACCGTCAAATTCGTCTGAAGGCCTGCCAACGTAATGTTTTAATTCTTCGAATAAAAACACGTACGATATTAGCTTCTTAATTTCCGATTAACATTGATAAATTTATGATATTATATAATATAATACTGAAATACGCATAAGATTCACTTTAACTTTCTATATCATTCATTATTTTCTTTATCATATTGGATAAGATTTTTATGTATACGTAAACAGAACGTAATTTAACATTCTTCCTTCTCATAATCAGTTAAATTTTACAAATCATTATAAATTTCAGATTTATCAACTATAATTTTCGTAGTACGATAAATAAATAATTCATGGTATCATCTAATTGATAAGAGACCTAATCTGTATTAAATTTCTACGAAAAATCATCACTATAGTAACCAATATGTTTTCTTTTCTATTTCTTCGTTTAATCGATAATTTTACAAATTTTCAATTAATTTCTTTTCTTTTCTATTTATTATTATTATTATTATTATTATTATTATTATTATTATTATTATTATTTATTTATTTATTTTAAAGATTATAAATATTGTTTTCTATTTTTCGAATGTGATGAAACGCAAGTAAAAAATTTGAATTTACAAAATAGTGCAGTGTGTAAAAGATATGTGCATAACGCGAGATTTCGAAGATTCTCTCATGTCCCAAGGTACGTTGTATAATTTTATGGGTTCACAAAATTCTTTCAAAGTAGCCTGCGGATAGGTCCGTCTAGTTTTAAAAATGGACGACGGATAATGCATATTTTACATGCGTTTTTTGTTCTCTCTCTCTCTCTCTCTCTCTCTCTCTCTCTCTTTTTCTCTTTCTCTTTCACTCACTCTCTCTCTCTCTCTCTCTCTCTTTCTTTCTCACTGAGTATATTTATTTTTATGTACAGGTATTGCGAACAATAACATCCTAATAAATCTCGGTGTCAGTCTTTGATAATAATTTGGCCCTCGTATCCCAACAATTCGCCAAACTGATACACAGAGTTCTTTAAGTACATTACGTATACTTTCTCTTCTGCGACGAATAAAATCTTCTGTGTCAAACGATCAATGTCTCTATGTATTATATATTACATTTAAAAATGTCTCATCTCTCTCGAAGATGTAAAGAAACAAATGACAAAGTTTGTCGGTGTTCAAATCGGATAATGGCCGAGGTAGACGGGGATGATTCAAAGTAGCGACGATAAGTAAGGCCGAAGATCTTCGCATGAAACTTTTCCTTTGACCGAAGGCATATATTAGCAAAATTGTATTTAGGTTTACTAACAGGTTTCGGTAAAAAGTCGATTTCTCATTTAGGCACATCGAGTCCTTCGTAGTGACAATTATATGTAATCACGGACGACAATAGGGTCTTTTTTCTTAGGCAAGAAATAAGATAGATGAGATATAGTCCGTTTCGTCGTATCTATCGTAATTAGAGCTATATACGCAATCTATTACATACATACATACTCGTTCTGCCATTAGGAAAGTCTCATATTAATTATCGATTTAAAAGAAGAGAGAATATCTTCATTTTTACGTATCCATCATGTATTATGTATACCATATTATGTATATACACGGTATTATCGAGTAACTTTCCTTTTAGGCACGCTGAGACAATAATATGGAATAATCATCCCAACATTTTTGTAAGAAAAACAGTCTTCTAAGCGAGTATTTGGAAGCGCTACAGCTTGTTTCGTTTACGGCCCGAAGGCAACTCCTCCTGCTAGACCCAATACTGATTTCTCCTCAGTAAAGGATTGTTGGTTCTTTGTGTAGTGGCCGATTGACAGGGTAGATCCGAAGTATCAAAGCTACTCCATTCGTCACCATCCGCAACCCCATAAGGATACCTCGCAGATACGTCTACTTCTGAACCTGTTATACTTTCCAGAGGGTTCAAAGGTATTACTTTGCATTGTGGTAAGGTTGAAGTCATGCTTGGTAAAACTGGTAGTGGTGTGCTGGATGTTATCGTTCCGTGTTCGTTAGCGAAACGTTTGAGATGCGGTGTTGTTGGCATCAGATGATCAGGAGGCCTAGGTAAAGGCATCACGCCAACCGAAGGTGTTGTCTCAGGCTTGTCTTCTTCGGTACGTTTGTATCGATTATGTCTACATCTGATCGTAATTATCACTACGATACTTAAGAGAAAAGCACCAAGCAACATGCCTAGAATGAGCAAATAATCGTTGCTCATGTTGGGCGCGATTGCCATTTCACCCTCGTGACCGATAGGGTCCATAGGACCTGCCAATGTACTGTTGTAATCGTCCATGTCGAATTTAACGCGTATCTCAAATTCACCAGCTGCCGGCTGAAATATCGAGGCCGCTAGTATAAATGCGAAACTGTCACTTAATCCTTCGTATTCCATACTTGGTATTTTTTTACAGACAAGATATATTACACCAGACACAATCTCTTGATGAGTAAATCTTCCGATCTCTCTTTCGCGCGTTCCCCTTTTTTCTCCCGATGTCGAAGAACTTCTGATGATTCTCTTGATCTTGCCGTACTTAGGTTTTCTGATAATGGTATAAACTGGATTGCTACTAGTGAGTTTTGCCAAAGGTGTTGCATCCATATGTTGCAAAGTTATCTGATTTTTCTCTCCCATCAATGCTATCATTGGGTTCATTATCATCAAGGGGACCACCCTGATCTTAACGCGAATATGTTGTTGTTCGAAACCGCTTAAACGAGCTGACAATTCCAAACTATCATTGGAAACTGTCATGTCCGTTTGTAAAAACATCACACTCTCGGATAATAAGTCTGTCTGTTTAAAATTCGTAGCAGCAGCGTCCCTTACATAAAGTACACCATGCTTCGGATTGTTCGTCACTTCGTAACTTACTAAATCCTGTCTTGCATTCGTGTCGAGTTTGACGTTTTCTTCCGATATTGACGCTACGTTCGAGCCTTGCTGCAACTTCACTGGGCTTGGTACCGTCACGTTCAAACGAATTGCCAAAACGTGGACGTTGAAAACCGTGTAGGTAGGATTGAAACGACCATCCCAGACTCTAAAATAAAAGGAGGCAGCTTGCAAAGGACCATTGTGCTCGTAAACCAACCTGTTAGAATCCACGTCGAGTTGTGAAAATTTATTCACTTGTTTTACTTCCGAACTGTTTTGATCGAAAGGTAAGAGTAATAATCTACCAAAAGTAGGTCCTGATATGACATCATAAATGATCTCTTCAGCTGGAGTATCAGGGTCGACCGTTAATAGATTGTCCCGTGTAATAGTTTGATTTTGATTCTGAACGACAGTTATGTAAGGTGCGTTGGTAATGAGTTTGAATGGTTCGTCATTAATTGGTTCAATTATAACCGATATACTGGTATTACATAATAAAACGTGTCCAGGTGTCAAATACAATGAAAAGAATATTCGATCCTCCAATGTATCCGAATGATCATGATAATATGCGATTTTTCCACCTTCGATTTGGGGTTGGGTGAAAGTGGTTACGTTGAGATCGGGGAGCAACATCACATGACCATGACTCGGTTGATTGACTAGTCTTGACAATACAGCAGGTTTATTGATCCCAGCGTTAGTTTGAAGGAAACTTATGATTCCACTGATGTTCATAATAACTTGAGCAGAACCACCTTCTTCGACTCTGACAGTTTTAGCAGAAACGTATCTATCCAAGCCACCACTCGAGACAGAGATGTCTATGTGAAAAACCTACAAGCAAATTCGATTGGATTAATATTTCATGTTATTCGTTTTGAAAATACGTTTTTGTTTTCGTCGGTACCTGATTCGTTATAGATCTAGTATAATGGGCTTCGATATCGAACGTGAACGAGTCGTTGGCCGCTAAATCCATGAACCGTATTCTATGCTCATAAAAGACTTTGCTGTCGTTTATGTCTTTCTGGGTAAATCGATCGACTTCGAGCCATATACCTTCGCCAGTTTCCATAATGATCTTTCCCAAGTGTGGACCGTTTCTAACACTGTACTTTATTTCTCTAGCTTTGTCCGAACACCTTATTAACAAAAGCTTGTTCGAAATAACTTTTCTTGTTAAGGGAAAGACATTTAACGGGACATTTTGTTCCACGGTTAATCGTACTGGTTTTGCCACAATCGATATATTGTACGCTTCTGTCGTATGTATACCATCGTTCAACACAAAACTAAATTCTGCTTCGGAACCATCTAAAAGAATATTTATCGATTAAAATAGTATTATATCATACAATATATTATTAATACTTACTGGTATGTGTAAAAACGATTTTGGATTCGTCGATTTGTTGTTGAGTAAAATTATAAATCTCAACTCCAGATCCTAGGACAGAAATGTATCCATTTTTCATACTGGTTAGATTAAACGTTATCTCGCTTG